GGAACTATGATCTGAATACGAGGCTTCTGTAGCAACTGTGATCTGAACACGAGGCTACCAATGCAACTGTGATCTGAACAACGGGTGCTGTGCAATGAGGAAATGCAGAAGAAAATGTGTTGTGAAAAGCATACCTGACATGGTCTTAGCTGCCCTCTCTACCCAACGGAAATTGAAACTGCAGGTGACTCAGCTTGTGTCGGCTTATTGTACCTGTTGGTGGCGGGAGATAGGGGGTCGAGGAGATGGAGAGAAGAGACTGGGAAAGGGGGTAGGTATGGATGGTTGAGAAAGAAGATTTACCATCTTAACTCCATATAATTGTGTAAGAACAATGAGAGATGCACGCCATAGCTTCACTCTGCCATCACACGCTATGTGTGGTTGAGCTGACAGCCTGGATTTAAGATTATATATAAATTTCTTGAAACAAATTTCCATGGACTAGAAATAGTAATTTTTATGAGAATTATACGTAGTTTAATGAGATTTTAATGTATATCCCAGCTCCATGTCCTCATGGAGCTGGGATATAAAGACAGAGCTGGGATATGAGGGCAAGGAGCTTTGCCATAAGAGCGGCGAGAATGAACGACATCCAACGACTTGCACCATCGAGGCTCGAACGCCGACCAGCAAGAAGCGAGAACGACGCTATTCCAATCAGTCTAAGTGGAACGATGCTAACTGCCCTCCTTATAAGCTAAGCTCTAGTACTGACGACAACCTAAATGTCATCGACATTACAGGGCATTAGCATTACGACAGCGGCGTTCTTTCGTCCAGAATTTTGAGGGGGGAGGGAAAAACCCCGCGCTGGAAATCTTGGTGAACGCGGAGTGAGATGGCTTGGCAAACATGCCATCCGTCACAGATTGTTGACTCTCGCCGCTAGATTTGTAGGCTTCCACCTGTCTTAATTTCTCCTTGCGATATTTCTTCGTGTGTGTGTATATATGAGAAATGTCGCGGCTTGCAATATATATATATATATATATATATATATATATATATATATATATATATATATATATATATATATATATATATATATATCTAGTCGTTACACGGGAAGGTGATCACATACACCTTCAACACGACATCATACATGAGAAATAGTACTGAACAGAACAGATTCTTAGCCTTACCACCATTCCCAAAATTTACCTCCCAACCACTTGGGCTGGACGGTAGAGCGACGGTCTCACTTCATGCAGGTCGGCGTTCAATACCCGATCGTCCAAGTGGTTGGCCACCGTTCCCTCCCCCCCCCCCATCCCAAATCCTTATCCTGACCCCTTCCCAGTGCTATGTAATTTAATGGCTTCGCGCTTGCGTCTGATAATTCCCTTCCCTTCCCAAGATTTACTTAAATTTACTATGATAACAAGGCAATTACCTTTTAAATGAGTCATTTATAGCTTCAGCAAAAAATATATATCATGTATAATATGTACTACATATTATTTGTACTATATTTAGGCAAATTACAAATATAGATCCTTGCATAAAGTTGGGAGTAAATGACTTAATGGCTCCGACCCCAGAGAAACAAGAGGACACGCGGAGTGCATCTACTCCCGCATGTGTGTGTCTACTCCCGCATGTGTGTGTCTACTCCCGCATGTGTGTGTCTACTCTCGCATGTGTGTGTCTACTCTCGCATGCGCGTCTACTCCCGCATGCCAGAAAATTATGATACCCTCTGAGACTAATAAGATCTCTAATAATTCACAAAATATCCTATATATTCACAGATGTGCTTGACCCCGTTACACCTGATAAAGTCCTGCAGGCTTTACCTCTAAACTTATGGCTTTATCCGTATAAATGACTTATAAAGAAACACTTTAAATTTGAGGTATCTACAATTATTTCAATGAACCTGGCTTACTTCAGATGCCCCGGTTTTCTCCTAAGTGGAAAAAAAAAATAGTCAACTCTGGCAGGATTATTCCGTAGATTGTTCTGACTACCTTTTCAATTGTTTATAACCTATACATAAATCTATCAGTTATCCGAATAATAACATTAGATAATTCCCATTTTCTCTTGATAATATCTTGTTAACAAAAAATAACTAGGTCAAAATGCTTTCTGTAACCGTCTTCATTCTTAACATATTATTAGGCACTTGATATGCTATTGTTATATCAGCGTTGCAACGGCAAGTGTTATTGCCTGCATAACACATCACGGCTATTCACTGCAACGAAATTGCCGCGTTGAACACTATCCATATATTCTACTGGCCCTACAGATTTGTCCGAAGTTTATTTAGTTTATTATTTCCTGTAACCCATTGTGAATGGATCACCGTTATTCGCAGTAGTTTGTTATGGAGTTGAGCCACTAACGTTAGTTATCGTGATCATCACTGTTGACCGGTGTTCACTGTTAATACCAACACACCACTGCAGGTTAACTCCTCGTGGTTCACCAGTTGATCATAGTTCACAGTACTTCACAGTGAGTGCAGTATTCTACCATGAGAAAGAGAGAGAGAGAGAGAGAGAGAGAGAGAGAGAGAGAGAGAGAGAGAGAGAGAGAGAGAGAGAGAGAGAGAGAGAGAGAGAGAGAGAGAGAGAGAGAGAGAGAGAGAGAGAGAGAGAGAGAGAGAGAGAGAGAGAGAGAGAGAGAGACAGAAACAGAGACAGAGACAGAGAGACAGAGACAGAGAGACAGAAACAGAGACAGAGACAGAGAGACAGACAGACAGAGAGCCAACCTTATCTAGAACAAGGCTAACAACCCGACCCCTAAGCGAGGCAGTTAGCACCTACTTCCAATTCAATTAAGTGCGCTGGGCAGTTACACCAATATTCCCCAAACATTTGCCGGCACGTGTTGGTTTTTCCTACGAATTCTCTCTCCTTTCATCCATCTTTTGTAAGCAGATGACAACTCTACGGTTAATATCCGTAATTATCATGTGGCCCCGCCAATTAAGAGCTACTTAGCCTAAATAGATCGCAACAAAAGCAAAGTTCCCACTCGACAATGCTTGACCAGTTGAAAAGATTCAAATATCGAAAAATATTACCACAAATATTACTATGATTACTTCAGGAAGTTTATCCCCAAGAAGAGTTCAGAGTGCAGCCAAGGTTGACGCCTTGCGCCTGAATTGTTTCAGGAAGTAATCTAGAGAACCAGCCAGAGTACCATCATGAAAGAACCAGTTGTTTAAACGCCCTTTAGGTTATCTTGAGATGATTTCGGGGCTTAGCGTCCTCGCGGAAAGGGTCACCGGAAAGGGTTACATCGATAGCCAACCACAAAAGGTTCAAGGGGTCACCCCTGATGGATATCTTTACAGGAGTTAATTTCATGTTCACTAAATAACAGCTTTAATTCCTTACACACAGAAATCACAATAGCGTGATGTATCAAATGAACGAATCCACAAGGGATCTTTTGAATCATGTCATAGCTCAGTCGATTAAGGCAGCGTCTGGGATCCTCTCGGACGTAGGTTCGAACCCTCGTCACGGCCCTTGTGGATTAGTTCATTAGCTTTAATTCCTTATTGTAGTAGGAATATATTGATGGGTAGAGGGGAGGGAAATGATAAACAGACCGTAGTAATGCGCCCCTTTTAACCAAGTTGAAGCCATTTTTTGAAATCGTGTTTGATCAGGGGGTTTTGGTCTGTTATGCAACAATAACTGCTCGAGCTGCAAAGACTATTTAATCAGTGAACAGGAGGCACGTTTTGGGCCCTCCTCCACCTTAATATGTTCTGTATTTACATGCACAAAATCACATATTTCCCTCTATAAAACCAACAGAAAAGCACTTTCAATATATATATATATATATATATATATATATATATGTCGTACCTAGTAGCCAGAACGCACTTCTCAGCCTACTATGCAAGGCCCGATTTGCCTAATAAGCCAAGTTTTCATGAATTAATTGTTTTTCGACTACCTAACCTAACCTAACCTAACTTTTTCGGCTACCTAACCAAACCTAACCTATAAAGATAGGTTAGGTTAGGTTAGGTAGGGTTGGTTAGGTTCGGTCATATATCAACGTTAATTTTAACTCCAATAAAAAAAAATTGACCTCATACATAATGAAATGGGTAGCTTTAGCATTTCATGAGAAAAAAATTAGAATAAATATATTAATTCAGGAAAACTTGGCTTATTAGGCAAATCGGGCCTTGAATAGTATGCCAAAAAGTGAGTTCTGGCTACTAGGTACGACATATATATATATATATATATATATATATATATATATATATATATATATATATATATATATATATATATATATATATATATATATATATGCTTCTATATTGGAGCGGAGTCTTGAGGTGGGTAGAATATAGTTGTGCAATAATTGGCTGTTGATTGCTGGTGTTGACTTCTTGATGTGTAGTGCCTCGCAAACGTCAAGCCGCCTGCTATCGCTGTATCTATCGATGATTTCTGTGTTGTTTACTAGGATTTCTCTGGCGATGGTTTGGTTATGGGAAGAGATTATATGTTCCTTAATGGAGCCCTGTTGTTTATGCATCGTTAAACGCCTAGAAAGAGATGTTGTTGTCTTGCCTATATACTGGGTTTTTTGGAGCTTACAGTCCCCAAGTGGGCATTTGAAGGCATAGACGACGTTAGTCTCTTTTAAAGCGTTCTGTTTTGTGTCTGGAGAGTTTCTCATGAGTAGGCTGGCCGTTTTCTGGTTTTATAGTAAATCGTCAGTTGTAGTTACTATAAAACCAGAAAAACGGCCAGCCTACTCATGAGAAACTCTCCAGACACAAAACAGAACGCTTTAAAAGAGAGAAACATACGAAATTTGCTTTTCCCACAAAATATTCACGCAAAATAGATACGTCTTATATACCGGGGAAATACGGTATTTATATGTGTGAATTTTCACGAATATATAAATGAGTCATAATTACCTACACGACTGTATGTAAGCAATCATACAAGTCTGCCACTCAGGGGAATTAAACAAAACCTCACACACATAAGTAATAAAAAAAGATATTTAATTTAAACCACATTCGCTTTCAAATTGTTAAGTATCCAGCCAGCAGGATGGATACTTAACAATATTAGCACTGATCATTTTAAGCCAACTCAATGACTGTTTAATAACACCCACTTTAACGGAAAAATCTCGAACAAGACTTTAATATAATCGCTTTTGCTTTTTTGTAGTGGTGTACGAAAATGCGATTTGGAGCTTGTGTCCGTGAAAGGAATTGTGATTAATGTTTTATATAGAGGAGCAGTGGTGTGAAGTTTATAATACCGCCCGAGTGCCGCCAAGACCGTTGATCACTTGGTTTACGGCTCAGGGTTAAGGGCTCTCGACTTGTGTGTCAATTACTGCGATGTACAAGGATTCTTATCTTGAAGTATACTCTGAACGCTACCTGTTAAGGATAACATTGTACTGTGTGTTTACGATGAAAAGGCCAATACGCAGATTATATTCTCAGAAAATGCATTTATAAATGGAGAACATATTGAAACTACAGACTTAGTCTTGCGCCCGTGAACATGACACCACCTCACGCTCCTCGAGGCTTGCTTGAGAACATGTTCCCGTGAACATGACACCTCACGTTCCTCGGTGACCGGTGATTTACACACGCGACTGTGCGTCAGCGCGATCAGCAAATAACAGCCGCTGACATGATAACTTCAGCAGCGTATAGATCGACCAATAAGAAAGAGAGAGAGAGAGATGGGGGCGTATCTGGGCCAGGAACCACGTTGTATTTAAACCCGGGAGCGAGAGAAAATGTTCAGTCGAGCCCCATCTCTAGATCCAGACGGTCGTTCCCTTCACTCTCCTGTACTCGGCTGATTCATTCGCACTACATCCTCCGGCAGCTGACTCCCCTTCGCCGCCGCCTCCAGCAGCTAGAATATATACCTCACGGGGCCGCAGTCACTTTCTTACTCTTTCTTAAGCAATGGTGGCGTGGCAGATGATGCTGGCGTTGGTGTGCCTGGCGATCGTTCCCACAATGGCCCAGATCACCTTCTCCCGGTCATGGGTGCCCCAGGGCAAGAGGTCCGGGCCCCTCGTCAGCCCTGCAGGTGCCCCTAGCCTCGACGTCGACCCATGTAGGGACACCAGACTCTCCACTCTTACCGACGTCGCCTCCCATCTGGTGGTGAGTACCGGCGGACGACACGTTCATCTCTAAATACTCACATCTTGACTCATCTCAAACTCTCTCGCTTCTTCAGCGTATTAATTACAGCACATAAACATTATTTCTTGTTCCACGACCTGCCACTGTTAATGGTTCTCCTTTTGTCTCCAGGAACTGATGGACGACGTCTCAGACCTGACTCAGGATGATGCTGCTCTTGCTCTACGCCTCAAACACGCTCTTCTTGCCAGGTGGGTCACATGGCAGCGTCGCCAGTTGCCATGGTAGTTACCACGGGACATGGCAGTGTTCCCAGATAGATGATATGGTAAACTTGCCAAGTGCCACGGTAGCGTTGCCAGGTAGGCGACATGGTAAAATTATGGCGTCCACTGATCGGGGACAGGGAGCCGTTAGATTCATTGAGGTCTCCATACACTAGCCAGAGCAAGGATGTCCTCGCGGTTACCCGTCCAGTTACTAGCCAATCCCATCAGTGTTTAACCGTGTAAAGTGCACATTCTCTGTCAGTATATGACGCACCACCAACGGGTAGAAGTACTCAACACCATAGTATTCATCACACAGCTCTAGCAGCATAGTATTCATCACACAGCTCTAGCAGCATAGTATTCATCATACGTGCTCAACAGCCTATTATTTGTCACAGTTACCCATCAGCATAGTGTATTAATAGATGAATATTACATATTACATTTAGCAACATGCATTATAATGTCTTGTGGATTCGTTCATTGTACAGCAGTAATGCTGTGCAACGGAGATCGGGCATGTGTAATGCATGATCTTCATTGTTTCCAATGCCATACAATCATTATTAACTCACTTTTTTAGATGCCAGACAACCTACAATCGACGAGGTTTCTGCACCAATTGACTTGTGACGAGTTATCAAGGAAATATAACTCATTCGTCCAATCACATTTAATATGGGTAGAGAGTTGTGGTAACAGTTTATAACTGTTGCAATAAGATACGCAGCCACTTTCTTCACCGGTTTAGGAAACTACCTGCCAAGCGAATGAATAGAATCGGACACTGATTAGGAACATCAAAATCACCATCAGGAAAAGGGACCGCGTACCTAAAAAAAAAAATGATTTTAACGTTTGAGTGTGTTTACTCAAAACGTGTATACGTGTACTTTCCTAAAGGTTCATAAACGAACGTATTTTAATAAACGGATTCTTTTTTTTCCAGGCAAAGGAGACTGACTTGAAGAAACACAGCGGGAGACGAAACGACCTGGCAACCCCCCCTCCCTTCCCTCCACCTAGTCAATATATATATATGCAGTACACACAAAATTATATAAATTATATATAATGTATGTACGTGTATCTGTCCACGAGGAGTTACATTTATTTCTATGGACATTACTTGATGGTGATCAAAGTTAAATTATTAAATAACTCGGTGGGTAAAATGATTCAGTAATACTGTGGATAATTTTCACCAACTTTGTAACATGCGCCATAGTATATAAATGTTCCAAAAGGTTCGTCTCATACAACGACATACTGTTAGGAATAAACAAAGAAGCCTCTTATCAAATACCAGTGATACCAAATCAAATATCTTGATATTTGAAGAAGCCTCTTATCAAATACCAGTGAACCAAGCAGCTTTGTATTGATCTTCAATGAGTGAATAAATTTCGTCGCTAACATATAGTTGTTTCCTTATTATTCCTGCTCTTGAGAATTCTAACATATCACAACTTTCGGCAAATTATAATGAATTGCTCACTGTATAAGAATAATGTGAAAAGAATACATTAACCAGCAGCAGTGACTTACCATAATATGGATACTAGTTAATATAACATAATATGGATACTAGTTAATATAACATACTATGGATACTATATTGATGCTGAAAGTAATATACCAGAGGGACTAACCTATAGCCTAACCTTGTCCTAAATATTGTTCTTCTCATTCTATTGATTAATAATATATATGGATACTTCCTGTGGGGTGTACCAAGGCGGCGACGCAGCTCAGTAAACTCACTGCTCTTGAGTAAATAGTTTCGAATAGTTCGCCGTTCTCATTGAAATTCAAAGATTGAAACCAAGGAGATTAGGGCCAACAAAACCCAAGTCTTATCAAGCAGTGCTACACCATCAATGGAACGACTTAGCTTAGAAAGAAAGGACTGGTTAAAGATATGAAATAAACCGTACTGAAAGTCAGCACTTTTCAGAGTTGATGCTGAAAGTAATATACCAGAGGGACTAACCTATAGCCTAACCTTGTCCTAAATGTTGTTCTTCTCATTCTATTGATTAATAAATGTATTTTCATTCAAATAATAGTTCCTAACTTCCCAGTAATGTCTCGACACACTTTCGTAAGCATTTACCACAAGCACGTTTATTAAAATAATATAATACATCCCAAACCGGTAGAGTGGCTTAGGCTATTTCTACCCTCCATATCATCTTGGTAAACACTTCATTTTATATTAATAAATTAAACCGAGGCATTTGTAATTTACCCCTAAACTGTTACCATTGAGACTTTAATTGTATAGAACAAACAATTATAAACCCATGAATATTTAATGTATCTAATCATAGATTCTTAAAATATTTGTAATTTACCAACGAAGACTTTAATTTTACTAAAATCGATAAACCTTGTGAACTCTTAATTTGTCTTGTCTTTATGAATTTTAAATTGATGTTGATAATTTGATAATTGATACTGATAATTTCCTATTTATATATCTGCCCATTAATGTTAGTCATTAGTCTAGGACCACATATGGACTAACATAACAGCTTCTAGTCTTGCTTCTGGTATAATTAGTATTAATGTATAATGCTGATTATACCAAAAGCAAGAGAGGCTGTTATGCTGGAAACTGCTGGGAAACTTACATTAATGTTAATCATTAGTCTAGGACCACATATGGACTAACATAACAGCTTCTGGTCTTGCTTCTGGTATAATTAGTATCAATATATAATGATGATTATACCAAAAGCAAGAGAGGCTGTTATGCTGGAAACTGCTGGGAAACTTACATTAATGCGGCCCATTAATGTTAATCATTAGTCTGGGACCACATATGGACTAACATAACAGCCTCTCTTGCTTCTGGAATAATCACTGAAAGGACAACTGATCGCTGTCCTATCTTCCTCATAACATAACACCATCGGATACGAAGACATTAACGTTCAAACCACAAAAAGTAGCAATAGGCAACTTTATCAATGCTCTACACAATATGAACGAGGAACTTGAAAGTTCATAATACACATGACATATATATTGGTCCCAATAATAGTCGGGTTCGTTCTCGACTTATAATCAAGAATTCCGGGAATCGAATCCCGGCCGGAACAGAAATGGTTGGGCGCGTTTCCTATCACCTAATGCTCCTGTCCACCTAGCAGGAGTTAGTCAGTTTGTTATGGGGTTATATCATGGGGAGGGGGTCTGTAATTCGACCCTGGGGGGGGGGGGGGGAAGACATTGATGGAAACCTAACATATTCACTGGCTGCCTGTCCCAGACACAATGAATTACTAATTTTATTATATATATATATATATATATATATATATATATATATATATATATATATATATATATATATATATATATATATATATATATATATATATATATATATATATATATATATATATATATATATATATATATATTTTAGGGAGTTACCACCTCTGACATTATATTTATCACCCAAAATTTAGCAAATTATTAATCGCTTGTTACAAATGATATGAGTGGGGCTTCTATGGGGTACTGGTACTATTAAGGGGTATAGGTAGTTAGAAGACAGGAGTATCAAATATGGGAGAGCTAAAAGGCCCGGCCCCCAAAATAAACTATCCACAGTAGTAATAACTTGCTACAAGACCAAATATGTTCGTCTAAGGGTTGATCACTGCGCTCCCACCTTGGAAGAAGAGATACTCTGTAATTCATGTACTTATTTATTAACCCGTTAACAACCCCCCATATACACTCACACCAATAACAATAATAATAATAACTTTACCACACTATCTTACGTTAAAAGCCTTGGTCCACGTAGGCAGGATACAAGGTTTACACTAATAACAAGCTAGGGTAAAGTACTACTGGATAAGCACTGAAGCTGGATGCAGCTTAGGGTAGTGAAACCACGTGGGACCCTAATACAAAACACAACACTTAGGGGTACCCAAACACTGGCAAAATACTATCCCCAGGTCTCCCCAATCGTTACTACCAGAGTAGGCACACTTACACCATATAATACTTAACTTAAGGGTACAGGAACTTCAGGTAAGGGAAATAAGTAAGAGGAGAAGGAAGGAGAGTAGGGATACAGCCACAGAGTAGGTCTTAACCTCACGCCACCAGCCAAGAGAAGAGTGAGCTCCTCGCGACCACCTGCTGCCTCCCTCATCGTGGTGCCGGGAGGAGCCTAATTGATCGTGCAGCTAAGCACATTAAAGATCTTCCCCTATGCAACGTATTGTTACTTTATGAATGATTAGAAAGTATTAGTAAGCAAAGTTGGTGCCTATGATATTATTTAATAATCAACCCCCAGCTCTGTCTTTAAATGCTCTTTGAGAAACAATAATAGTCTTACGTCTGGCAGGGAAGATACAAACAATTTCCATTCGCAATGCGCCAACTGTACTACTTAGGAAGTTTAATAGCTCAATTTTGACCTCTGGTTTCCACTGGAGAACCCAGGGTCGTAACATCGCTATTAGCGTTATTAAACATTAAATGAATACACTTGAGCCCACTCTGAATTAATATATATCGCACAGATGCACCCAAGCCAAGATATGCGTATAATAATAATAAAAATAACGCGAATCTTTTCATCAGAACGACAGAAGCAGAGTACGACTGAATGAACGAACCCTTTGGAGCCCAACTGATCAACTGGGCTGTGAACCATTGATGTTGACGCGTGCATGGACACCAAGAGAAGTGCTGCTCGAAAGTCATTTGAAGTTATTAAAAAAAAGAATAATGTCAACGTTTTTTGCACTAGAATATTAATATCTGATTAGTACTTAATTGTGTTATGTAACCATAATTGGTTACATAACACGTATGTAATGTAATGGTTAAAGGTTATGTAATGGAGCCGGTCGGCCGAGCGGACAGCACACTGGACTGTGATCCTGTGGTCCCGGGTTCAATCCCGGGCGCCGGCGAGAAACAATGGGCAGAGTTTCTTTCACCCTATGCCCCTGTTACCTAGCAGTAAAATAGGTACCTGGGTGTTAGTCAGCTGTCACGGGCTGTTTCCTGGGGGTGGAGGCCTGGTCGAGGACCGGGCCGCGGGGACACTAAAAGCCCCGAAATCATCTCAAGATAACCTCAAGATAACCATATATCTCGGGCTGAACAAAAATGGTTTGGTGGAGTCACCAGGTTTTCATACAGGTCGGCGTTCAATCCCCGACCGTCCACAAGTGGTTGGACACCATTCCTTCCCCCCCCCCCCCGTCCCATCCCAAATCCTTATCCTGACCCATTCCAAGTGCTATATAGTCGCAATGGCTTGGTATTCCCTGGTAGTTCCCCTTCCTTTCAAGGAAAAGAAGAAGAAATCTCTGGTGCGCCCTACTTGGATTATTGTATCCAAGCATGGAGAATCTTCAGAAAAAAAAAGACATTACAGCTTTGGAGAACGTTCAACACCGGTTGGGGGCAAAAATAATAACAGAACTAAGTCAACTCCCAACATATGACGGGGCTGATATCATCGAAACTTAAAATACTGAACAATTTGAAGAATGTTGATTGAGACAACTGTCAAATGGCGAGTTGTAACACAAATAAGGAGCAACAGTTTCAAAACCTCCTCCTCCTTGTCCTCTTCGAGACCACTAGGGTGATAGTGACCCTCTGGTAAATGTATGTAAATATACTAGCAACCCGAAAGAAAATGGCTGAAAATATCTCATAAACACGCAAATAAAACGTATTTATGCCGTACGACAGGAAATATAACCAAATATTTTTACAAGCATTACAACGAAAAACATATTTTGCCAAACTGAATATATATATATTGGTCACCTATATTAAGTAAATAACGAGGCTAGTTTAATTTAAATTAAAGGTGAATGTACATACCTCTTAGTAGCGAGTCATTCATTACACACAGACCTGTGGAGCTGTGTACTTCACCCGACGATGGTCACCTCGTTACTGCTCCCTGCCCACGTGTTGGTGGAGGGCGTTCACAATTGATATTTGAATTATTATTTATTTAAATTACTTAGTAGTCATTATACAGTTATTGTATATTTTTTTGCTGTTGATCATGATTATTATTTCATACAGACACGAAAAAATAGTGTGACACGCGATTCAATTTTTCGAGGGAAATATCCCGCATTTTTTTGGGGGGAGGGGGGGTAAATATAACTGAAGCTGAGGTCAAATTATCGATTTGTAAGTAATATAGTTATATTAATTAATGATAAATTATACACGGTATATATATGATGTATAAGTATTATGAATAAATTAATTGTAAACTATAAATGATGACAATAATAAGGTGTGTAATTAATGTGAAAAGCCGTAATTAGCCTTCATGTAAAATAATTAAGTTTCGTAATTTACCTGTGAACAAATGATAATATAACTGATGAAGTTAATGAGTACAAACAGGATAACTGAGTTAACAGTAATTGGCAACCGCTGGTAACAAGCCTAATTAACGTAATGATTGATACCAATTGGGTGTAGTGGTGGCGTATATACACCCTACATATCTACCCCTCACACACACCCTACACAACTACCCCCACACACAGCCTACACATCTACCCCAACACACACAGCCTACACATCTACCCCAACACACACCCTACACATCTACCCCAACACACACACCCTACCCTATCTACCCCAACACACACACCCTACCCTATCTACCCCAACACACACACCCTACCCTATCTACCCCAACACACACACCCTACCCTATCTACCCCAACACACACACCCTACCCTATCTACCCCAACACACACACCCTACCCTATCTACCCCAACACACTATATCCCTGTAACTATTTTCAATACTGACTGTCTTCCGCAAACATCTACTTATACCCTACCTGACTCCACCAACACACGCCCTCCCTCCCTCTTCCAACAAAACTTCTCCATATTTCTCCACATATACCATCCCCCGTCTCAACCCACTTACATCCTCCCCATTACCCCACACACTATCCCCCCCTACACACCTCCATCTACAAACACTTTCCCCATCTCACTTTGAAGGTCTCGCTTCATGCAGGTCGGCGTTCAATCCCCGACCGTCCACATGTGGTTGGGCACCATTCTCCCCCCCCCCCCCCACGACCCATCCCAAATCCTTATCCTGAACCCTTCCAAGTCCTATATAATCGTAATGGCTTGGCGCGTTCTCCTGATAATTCTCTTCTCTCCCCCCCCCCCCCCTCCTCTCGCGTATCTGCCTGCATCACTGCAGTCATTTTCACTACACAATATATCCAACTAAAAAGTTGCATCCACAACAAAAATCTGTCATCTGAACATACATTTTGCATGGCAATATTCCTAATTATATTGCCACCACTAATATTTAAATGGGCCATCCCTGACCTTTCCTTTGATGCCTTCAATCCAATAGCCATTAATCCTGTAAAGCTTAGTGAAGCTAACCCCAAGCATCTGGCTTCCAGTCTTGGATTGTTATTCTATTTTATAGATATACTTGATGGGGTACCCAGCAAGACCCGAGTCTCCCAGCATCCCCTCCCCTCTCTCCACTGCTCTCCTCCCCTCTCTCCATCTAATAGGACGTACTCAAGAAATTTATACAACATTACCCCTAGACTTTAGCTATAACTATGATTATGTGAAAATGCTATTTTAAAAGAATGTGAATTAGTCCCTGAAGTCTAAAGGCAGAAATTAGGAAAGCAAGGACAGACTTCTGTAGAATTTGCTTGATATGTCTCAACTGTTTGATAAATGGTGCAACTCTGTCCACGTGAATAGCTTTGATAAAATGTGCAATTTAATGCTAGTGGAAGACTTTTTGTTAGGACTTCCGACTAACCTGAATATTTACTTAAGTGATAAAGATATCTTGAACAAGCACACGTTAGTCCAAATGGCTGTGAACTCTTCACAGACCCTGTCTTGTTGAATGGGCTGCGATGCACAACATACCCAACATGAACCTTAGTCCTGGCTTTGTTGCTATTGACTCCTCCCTTTCACAGTACATACTCAATGCTCTAACCTTTCTAACAAACATGACTTACATACACCTACCCATCCTTTTTCTCATGTTCCCATTCTGATACCCATTATTACTCCTTTCTTACACGCATCCCATCCGAACTGTTTGCCTTGCTCTTATCTAGAAATTTCCTCCTCCTCACCTCTCTCTTGCCTTACTAAATACCCGTGCCTCCCTCGCTTCCCCCAAAAAGTTACAGCCCCGCTCCTGTGCCGGGTAAGTCTAGTACGGGCTCACCATAGCCCGTATTACTTGGAACTTTTTGTTCCAAGTAGCTGAATCTAAAACAACCAACCACCACCTCGCTCCCATAACAATCGACTTGATAATAGTCCAGGATGGACCGAAACGTTGTTGTCTCCTCATCTTTTGGTGTGTGGTTTAGTTTTCATATCTTCAGCCACGTTATTGTGACCCATCGCCTGCATACTGCATTGGACATTCTCTCATGTCAGTGCACCTGTCACCCCTCTCGCCCCAGCCCGGACACCTAATCTACCCCCCCATGGGTGACCACTCTGGCGGGTTGTCTGATGACCAGAGTAGGTACCTATACATTGGTCTGTTTAGCATATGTACAACACCCAGAAGCAACATCCCTGGCTCTAGACATGAGCCTCTTCACCACAAGGCCAGATCTTTGAAAGAGGGGCATGCCAGGCAAATAACCGACAGGTCAAGACTGGAAACCGAGCTAGATGCACAGCGCTCTGGTGGCTTCAGGTTAACTAGCAAGTGAACTGCTTCCCTAGATTGGTTGTTTCAGTGTTCGTTGTTTTGTTTACCTTACCTTGTTGTCTGTATTCTCTCTACCTGTTGTTGATTCTGAGAGTCAATGTCCCCATGACATTCTCTGGAGGCCTTTTTCATGCTCCAAGTTAGTATCCTCAAGCTCCCTATGGCTCTTTACAGGGGGGCCAGGCTTTAGTCTCTGATCCACTGTGGGCTTATAATGACTCACAAGGGCTTTGTATTGACTGAAATAGGTAGAGCTATCAAGCCAGCTAGTACCAGTGAGCACTTTCAGATAAAAAATGCTTCCAACGTGCAACCGAGGCACTTATTAATGCAGAAATTTTAGAAAAGGTTAAATATACAACTAAATGCAACCAAATGTTTCTTTCCATTAACTAAATATAAATAAAATTTCAAAAATATCTTTGGTGTATCAGTAATTAATCATGTACATACAACTGCCTGCCATAGTAAAACCATCAATTCCATCTTTAAGGTTATACTGTACATATAAAGTGCCTCTACCAACTGCTGTCTCATGGTGTCTAACAATCTGTCTGTGTTGAAAACTCGGCAAGTTCTTAAGACAATTAACATAAGATAAATATACAGTATCTACACTATCTTGGGTGAATGGCCCCTCGAGTGATTTCTCTCCAACATGGAGTGTGGGGGTAAAAGTAGTATTCCATCACATTAAATCTGCAAAAATCTTTTCATTACATTTGCCTTGTTAATTCTGTGATAACTTTCATGCCTCGATACTTGACCTCAAATATAGTTCTCAATGCTCTTTAAGTAGTGTACCTTTGAGTTTGCACTTACACTGGGTCACTTGCTTTCCATTATATCCTCTTAAAATATCATGGATATTACTTGGCCTGTCATGCATAAATTTTTGTAGCTACTGTATCCTTAACAAAAAATTGTAATACAAGAATTGGTTCCACAAGGCCAGTTCTGGTACATATTCAAGCAAGATAGCAGTTTAGGACCAAGACCAAGTGCTGGAATAAGATATTATTATTTAGGGCTGCATCACATTGAATCTCTGCAAGTCACAGACTTTCATGAACCCTTGACAACACAGTATGGCACAAATCTTGACTCTCAAAGCTACCATCTTCTGACTTTCCATCTTGCCCATGCACCTTTGTTATACACAGGTCTCATTCATCCTTGCCTAAAGTACTGCTGTCACATCGGAGAAAGTTCCCACCAAAGTTGTTTATGCAGTCTAGAGGAAAACACTAGACTGATCAGTTCCCTGAAACTCACATCTAAGCTAGTAAGTAATTATCAAAAGAAGATGCATCTAACCTAGTATCAATCATTTAAGTCATTTGTGAACCTATAGTAATTCTATACTGATATTGTTTGTCTCCATTACTGAGTAACTGACTCTACAATAACATTTTAGGAAAACAAAATTCCAATCTGTTAGTACAACCACTGCAATATTTTCACTAAATCATGCTTTCCTTCCTCTTTTTTCCATAAATATTGTGAGCTATACAACTCTTATAGTATCGTTCCTTTGATATAAATTTTATGAAATTCTAGGTTTAGATAAATTTACATCTGCAAACTGTATGTATTATCCTGCAAGAAACACAATGGAATAAAAAAGTGTCAACATTTTACCCACTTGGCAAGCATTATTGTATCAGCAGATACCGAGTTAGCAAATTAACACCTCCATATAAAGGACGATATTTACCGACAAATCCTTCATCACACATTCTATGCATAATATGCCTATCAATACTTATTACATAATCTATCAGTTTTTTTTTTACAAGACAGTATGATCACTCATCAGACATGTAATACTTATGAACAAATACCAAAAGTCAGTGCCTTCACCTCTATTCATGAATTGACATTAAATACAACCTCTATGTTCCAAAAAGGCATTACACTACATTTGAAGACTAACAAAGCTGATCACACGGCATATATTTCAAACTACAGTATTGAAAAAAAAGTCTACCCAAGATATAGGGAATGCAGAAGAAAAACAAAAAAATCCCATTATGATCTTGTGTCAAAGAAACTGTAATATAGAATAATTAAAAATATAGGCTTGAAATCAACAATAATGAAATATCAATTTTTTTAATACATAAACTTAAAAATAAATTAATTATAATAGTTACGGCATTAAATTTGCTGCAAAATTTCAGTTAACATGAAGGTTATCAAAATGTATTGGGCTTAAATGGCAAATATCAGCAGTGTTAAATGTAATGAAATGCCTCCTTCTGGTGGGGTTCCTTTGGTGGCTCCATGTTGTCCTGGACTCCCAACACAAATGGGACAACCTTCTGGGGTCCACCCCAGGCATTGCTGGGTAGCATATCCAGTACAGTATTGACAAAGATTTATGTACAGTACATGAACAATATCCTTTCGTTAAGAGCCTAGTATATCAGATAAGATCAAGTTCATTTAGTACTTACATAATACATAAATATAAATGTATTATGTTTACAAAGATAGAGAGGATGAATGAGAATGGAACCAAAATACTGTATAGACTATAAAACTTCAATCGGAAAGCATTTGAGAACAGAAAATATTTTTATCATTACCTTAACTCCTTGAGAATTTATAACAAAAATGTATAAATGGGAATGCTGTATATATATATCACAAGATGCACTTTGGCTTGCATTCACATGGTCTCGTGTACATGTACACTGTACAATGTACATTACTACTGTATTTAAAATTACAGCTCAACTTTCATCAAGATGAACACTATCACAAGCATTGTTCATGGATCCTCATTTATACAGGCATACATGGTACATACATGCTGCATAACTAAAATTAGTATTGTTAACTCATGCCTGTATAACTTGTCACGAGCCCTAATTATCACACATTCGCTGCACGTCACAAATATTAAAAAACAATAAATTTGCCGAGTATAAGACTTCACAGGCAGTATTGCTCCAGTCGTAAGTGTGTATCATTAGCCTTTTAGCATTCCAATGACTCATTTTTTGGGTCATCGGTAATTGACAATAAACGAAACGATGATGCTAAAATGCATCACCTGATCTTGGAAAGTCCAAAAATCACTTCCTTAACCATTTTATTTGTGCTTTCATGACTAAACTCTTAAAATACACCAGCACAGTGTTGGCAGAGCTTATCAGGGGACCAACTAAAATATAGAGGGACACAACTGAGATCAACTTGACCAGCCTTGACTGGGGCCTGACGGCTGAGTGGACAGCGCTCAGGATTCATAGTCCTAAGGTTCCAAGTTCGGTCCCGGGCGGAGGAGGAAACAAATGGGCAGAGTTTCTTTCACCCTGATGCTCCTATTCACCTAGTAGTAAATAGGTACCTGGGAGTTAGACAGCCGTTTCCTGGGGGTGTGTAACAAAATGGAGGCCTGGTCGAGGACCGGGCCACAGGGACACTAAGCCCTGAAATCATATCGAGATACACTATTCTCAAGATAGCCCCCACACCTGCCCGTGGTCTGGAATGATTACAATCTGGTGCATGGTGATGGACCAGAACACTAAAGTGTTAAGCATCTTAACTAAATGTTTAATGCTGCTAACTTCTATCTTCCCTATCATCATCATCACAGCTCTCCCAAGATATAAAGAAATATATAAAAATATCATAAATCATTAACAATGTGATCCATCATTTGTGTGAATCTGATCAAGGACTGAATGCGTACATGCATAAAGCTACTAATTATAATGACACAAAAAATGCATGATGTCAAGATCCAATAACTTCATTTCCTAATTTGCTAAATGACTATTAATTTAAGTGATTCTTCCAGCACAAACCAAAAATCCAAATTTAACATCCCTTAATTAGATGCCTCTACATTTTTAATTTATTTTTCTAATTCTTCCAATAAAGAAAATCAAACAATTATGGGTAGTTTCAACCAGATCATATTCTTCCTACAGATTAAAATATCACATCTACTTTACGACACTTGTGTGCTGGATATCACTGTACAGGTATTAGCCAATGAGACTATTGTTATAATGCATACACTCAGTCTCTTATACTTAAGTTGGCATTTTTATTCAAGTCATTGTAGTATCTAAAATTAAACAAAGTTATTTCTTTATGATCCATAATTTTTAAAAGAAGTTTTGCCCTTTTTTTTAATACTAGTTACCACCAACCTAATATGAATAAGCACTTCCTATAACCGACTGACTGACTGACTGACGTGTGGAATGATTGACAGGACATGCACTCATAAAATTATTACATTACCTTCAATCGCACTGTCTGGGGAAATATGGTACTGTACGTGCACACACTTAAAACAATTAAAAATATTATATAATTTAATTTTATTCTCCAGTTAAAAACCCACTTGCAGTTTCAGCCAACTGTAAATGTTTGAATTTTATTTCAGGTGAAATATCCATCCTTAATTTTCCAACAAAATAAACTGCAAGCAAATTATCTTACATGTTCACAGAGATAAACTACAACATTATTAGAAAGATTATTTCTCCATACTGAATTCATATTTTTAGACTAATTAAATCAATTTTAATGACCAATGCCACGAGAGCTGACTGATATTTATACTGTCACTAACATTTGTAAACACAGTTTGAAGACTTTAATACAGCAGTATCAGAAATGAGGAAGTTAACAAACCCACACAGCTTCATTTTCCTGAGGCAAGAGCAGCAATACATTATTAGTAATTATCCAGCTACCAAATATCTTTCTCTTCATCTTTCTATTAAACCTACTCGCACCACAAATTATATAAAATTACTATTACAAATGACCAAGTGATTGAACAGCATCCATACAATTCATCAATGTCTAGCTTATGAAGCTTACATCTCGTCATCTTCATAGTTCAACACGGGAAAGTCTCCAACTTCACAAAAGGCTGGACGAGTGAAACCTCCATACTTCATTGGTGCATCAAAATACCGCTTCCCACCAATGCTGTAAAATGGAATTTAAACTATGTATGCACGTAAAAGCTCCTCAGTATATTGATAACTAATTACTAATATATATTTCACAATTTTTGTAATTCTACTCTGAACATATGGCACTTCAACCTTTTTTCCCAAATGGAGAAAATGCTACCTAGGAACATGAAACTTTAAAACTCCTACACTGATTTGATTACACTTGCCTAAATGCTGACCTGTAATGGCAAGGAAGCATCCAGAATACAGATGGATAATGCTGCTTTTATACCTAAATTTTTTTTATCACAGATACAAAGTGCAATACACAAGTAAAACCAGTTAAAATTTGTTTACCTTCCATCATTCTTGCCAAGAGGCTCATCATACTTGATGCCAACCCATAAGCCTGGCTTGAAGTGCACCTTGCCAACATACATGACTTCTCCACGGCGTGTAGGTTCACCAAGAGCTTTTACCTGTGATGAAATAAACTATGACTTTTGTTTACAGTTCATTGTTATTGCTGTTTCTTTGATGCAACTTTTATACAATATACTGCACACACATGTGTACATGTAAGTGTTACATTTCAATTTCATTGGAATAAATATCTTTAAAAAAATCCTCAGACCTTAAATAGAACTGGAACTTAACACTTTCGCGCTCTCGGCGCTCAAAAAAAAACAATACCCCAGATGCTTTCGGCACTTCGCGCGCCTACGCGGTAAGACCGAAAAGTGTACACTCTTTTGACTGTCCTGACAATAATTGAAGGCGCACGTATTTAAATTTGGTATCACTGTGTTCGCAATGAAATTGTCTATAAGAGCATACCTATAAAATGCCGCCCAAGCATAAGGAGTATCAACACCAAATAAAAAACTATGCAGATCACTCGCCGAGAGCGCCAAACAGCAACAAAATGTTTCCACTCTCTTAATGGTTGCGAAACCTACAGTTGTCCTACATCGCTAATTTTGGTATCATTGGAATCGCAATAAAATTCTCTACACGGACATATGCATATGAATGTTTAATATAGGTAATTGCCCACCCGCAAGAGTGTGTGAAGTGGAGAGTAGTTAGCTGCGAGCGCACTGGCGAAAACACAGGGGGTAAATAATGCTTGGAAAGTTTATACGTTTCCTGACCCTACTTTTCTATGTACGTATTTCTTTTTTATACCAATGTGTTCGCAATAAAATTTTCTATAAGATGAACTGTATAACATTTGTACAAAGCATGTGTAAGAGAAGCGGCAAATATAGAACCACGTCGCTCAGTATGCGTTCGCAGCAGAAACGAACGCATTGTTTTCGTTCGTTTGATGTTTGTCATGTTTATACTTGTTGAAACATTTTATAATTTGTATGACAGTGATCGCAGTAAAATTCCCTACACAGACATATACATAACACATACAAATATTTCCCACGTGTTGGATATATCAACGGCTAAAGGGAACCCACTGCCACACGCTCGCCACACCCCCAAACATACTTTGTGTATTTTTTTTTTTACTCATAGAAGTTTATGTGATATAATATTCATTCTGGTACCAAAACATTCGCAAATAAATTCCCTACAAAACAAAAGTATCCCCATCCATTTCGGTTAAAAAATGGAATTTATAGAAATATTTTTTCGATGGACGAGAAAACTCGGCTGTTATGCGGAATCGTAAGAGAAAACGGCGACGAGTTATCTCTAATCTAAAGCGCGAAAGTGTTAAGTAACTAAACCATCTTATTTATCTTATTAATCAAGTACAGTACATCAATGTACCTTGACCAAATTAGCTATAATTATTGGTTTGTTGATGAACTTGAGGCCTATCAACTGTAGGAGGTCAAGACCACCATAGTAGCTTACCGATCAACCAATAAGGCAAGATAATTAGCAGGAGAAAGCACCAAGCCATTACAACTATATAGCACTTGGAAGGTATATAAGGATTTAGGATAGGATAAAGTAAAGGAATGGTGCCCAACCACTTGGAGGGTCGGGGATTGAATACCAACCTGCAACAAGTGGGCTCATTGCTCTACCATCCAGTCTAAGTGGTTGGGCTGACCAACCAGCTAGTACAAGTTTTAGTCTTGAACATAAATAAAGACTAGAGTAAACTCTCAATCCATATACACCAAGAAGTGGAAAAGGTGAGCAGCCATAAAAAATTACATTTTTATTAGACTACACTATGTATAAAATAGTTATTTGACACTTGTGGAGAATAAAAATGATCACAAGATAAAGTATGTGTTTTTCCATGTTCTGGTCATAGACAAGCTATTTAAACTGTCCCTGGCAGCCTACTCGGCCTATACTGTGTGGCAGTAATGGCATCCAAATGACACTACAGGCATTTATAAACTCCAGAATTGTAACTGTAACAGACTACCCAAGTGTAGTTACAAGATAACAACTGCGCTCGTGCTGTCCTGTCTTCGTATTCCTAGCCTGTGATGCTTTGAAACTACAGACGGTTTTTAGCATCCACCACCTTCTACCTTAACTTGTTCCAACCATCTATCACTGAAATAAAAGATGACTTTCTAATTTTTTTTGGCACCTTTATTTCTTTAGCTTTTTGTTTTCTCGCCGGCGCAAGAAAACAGGATTACATGTCCAGCGTTCTGTCCACTCAAGCCACTGGCCCTCATATATGAGTGTATGTGTATGTGTGTATGTGTAGGAATGGTGGTGTAATGTACAGTATTCATTCCCTTCAGGACAAAAACTCGAGGAAAATTGTATTGTTGGCACATCTTCAAGCTTAACTTTTAGCCTGTGTCATATTGCAGTGTGGTTGACCAAGTAAACAAAGATGCTACATGGGTTTCTAAAGTAGCAGAGCATTCATTTGTGGTCATTCAAAAAAAGGTCAATTATCGGTAATTAGAATAAATGATAAATTAAGCTTGCAAAGAATAACCAACCACAAGTGGAAAACATACCTCACAGCGACTTCCTACAGAGATTGCTTTGGCTTTCTCCTCCTCTTCTCTCTCAAGAGCTTTTCTCTGCTCTTCTAGTTTCTGCTGTTCCTCTTCATTATATTTGCCCAGTTTGTTCTTCATCAGAAATGAACGTACACTTTCTGCGATAAAAAAAAATAAAAAAAAAAATAATTACCATGGAACTATATACACTAACTATACTGTATAGTGAATCCAATTTGAAAATTTGGGTAACCAGTCACCAATTTAATGCCCATGTGAAAGTAAGGTACATAACATATACTGTATTACTGTCCCTTTACAATAACCTTAACAAAATGTGTTACCTGTATCAAATGCAGTAGTGCAATTATTAACATGAATGCCTAAATAAATTTATATATGTATATATATAAAGTATAATATATATATTAATATATATGGTATACTGTGCGAATAAGCTTGAATGGGTCCCAAGCCAATATGCAACTGAAAATATCAGATGCATATTGGCTTGGGACCCATTCAAGCTTGTTCGCATTTGTGTTGTTCATTTGGCCCCACCAAGTGAGGTGATTCGATGAAATATCTATGCCAAAGTTGACCACCAAGCGCTGTCGGATTTGACTACCAAGATTTTTGTATAGTCGGTGTGATCCAGTGGTTAAGGTACGCCAAGGTGCATAGTGTTCCTGGCTGTCTGGGTTCGAATCCTTCTAGGGTGTGGAGTTTTCAGTGACAGTATACTGTATATATATACACACACATAAGATAGCGATACTGGCACAAAATCTACATTAACTCCTAAAGTGCAACTATGGAAACATGTGCATGTCTGCCCAGGTGCAAAAATTATACAAAAATTTGTTTCCCCTTATTAAATTATTAATATGGATTAAAAACAAAATGTAGAAAAAGTAGAAATAAACCAACATCTACATTTTCATTGGTTTGGCAAGCTGAAGAAAGTTGGCGGGTGATGGGCTCGGCCAGCACTTGACATGGCTGAAATGTCTGGTATTGACTTTTGTTTACATCTATGAAAACCATTAAAAATATGATTTGGAGCCACATTAAGAGAGAATTATCAGCCATACTCCTAATATTTCCCCACAAGTAAAAATAATAATTTCAAATGTGCAAAATTTTAAATTTCAACTTATGAATTATAATTACCATACGAACTTGTCTGTAGTGCTATTTTACCACATCTAGCACATTTACCATGTCCCAGCTTTGAAATTTCATTTTCAAAGGAAAAAAGGAAGAAAAGCCCATATTTTAGTGAAAGCAAATCACGACATCTCAAAATGAAAACGAACCATTAAATTTATTCTTAAATATCCTGTGATGTAACGAGTTAACAACTAACCATTTCGTTTGCTGTATTCTTCTTCAGACAACTCAAATTTTTCAACCTTTGACAAGTCTTCAAATTCTCCCATTTTTTTGGAATTATCCGTTACCTGAAAAAGATAACAAAACTTAGAAGAATTTTCAAAATTATATAAATTCAAATTAATTTAAGTTAAATAAAACATTTAAGATCTCAGTACAAAAAGTATGACTGTTCATGCATACATTACTGTAATAAAGTAACACATTAAGGGAAGTACAGTGCGTACACCAGCACTCAAGAACTCTGCCTACAACTTGCAGCAAGTTAAATTGCCATACTGAATCCAGGACATGATCATTACAACTTAATGCTGGCCTCTACCTATAATTTCACGAGACACTGCAATCCTACTTGATAGATTTTTGTTTGTATATTCCTATGTAAAATTTAACGAAGGCCAATCCCATGCAAGCAAATTTATAAGCAAAATTTCATAATTCGATCAATCTAATAAAAAGTCTGCTATACAGTACCATCACAAACAAAAAACACTCCTTGTCAGGGAGACAAAAGTATGAACTAACATTTGAGATGCTACATTTCTATACAATGAACTCCAAAACTTACATGGATACGGTAATTTTCTTCCACATTAAATGAGCCTAGAAGGGCAGCATCATCACTTAGAGAACACACAAGTTTGTCATTTTCATCAAAAGCCTCTAGAACCATTGTGCCAGAGGAGGCTCCTGTTACGAGCTCCAGACGACCCTGAAAGAAAAATATAAATTACTAGCCAGAAGGGCAATAACTTTACATAATGAGTACAGGTATCAATAACAAATATATTTACATCTCATTCCTGCTAACTCACCTTACAAACTTGTTCCAATATTCTCTTAAATAAGTCTAAACAATAGCAAAAATATCACTTTTTTTTTGCATTCATTCCATTCCATTCTTTCCTTCAATTGTTTATGAACTTTCTCCAGCACCTTACCACATCACAATTAGCCAAATCTAGTTATATGCTGCCTAGTGGAAGGTTAAAGATGATGGAACAGAGGTTAGATGGTTCAGAAAGCAGTTCTGTATTATAAAAAAAAAGCCATGGGTCATGCAACTCCCCAGATGTTGCATTTTCTTCAGGGAAAATGGGGGCTTTTTACCAAATATAAATTTGTTGTAACTATTCTGCTGTAAGCCTTGCAAAGAGAATAATGGTGATAATTGTAATTATTTAAGATTAGACTGCCAACAGCACTGAGTCAACTGAACATGGTTAACACTTTGCATGACAGAAAATGAACATATGGAAGGTTCTGACAGGCTTCTGATGCATCCTATACAATTCAATGGTCAATGCAGTCAGTTCACCAAGTCTCCATATTTAATTCTTACAAAGGATAGACACATTTCCTTTCACTCATGATCCTTTGTTTTCTGTCTATCAGGTACTCTTTAACCCAGTCCAATGTCTCCTCTTATTTTCACTGGTCTCTCCATCCTGTGTATTAGTTTTTAACAAGGGCTTATCAAGCATTTTCTAGTAGTCTAGGAAGATGCAGTACAGTATATCATTCATTCATTCTCTTTTCTTATTTTGGTTACCCTATCAGATTTCAATCAAGGTTATCAAGTATATTTTCCATCTGAGGCCATATTGTATCTGTTACAAAATTTACTCCCCAAATGTTCTACAATTTTTTCCTGATGATTTGCCCAGCATTTTACATGGAATACATGTTAGCGACACTGACCTATAGTTTACATTTCATGTCTGTTCCCTTTCTTGAACACAAACTACATTTGCCTTTTGAAGCAATTTTGAATGTCAGATTCTGAAAGACAGATCAGGGGACAAAGTGCTTAGAAATTTTAGTAAAACTACACTCATTTATCTTCAAAATACAGTTTTGTTTTGAAAAAGGTTAAGATCAATACTATTTTACTAAAAGACATTATTAACTTGAAAAAAAGGAACTTACCTTGAGATCGCCAATGGTCAAACCGCGGTCATATCTCTTCTCCGACATGAAGCTGTTCAGGTTACTTGTGATACGCACATTGACCAATGGGGCCGTTATTACTTGGATTTGATCACCCATGATGTAATGTTTGTGTCTGCAAATAAATAATCTTACAGTCTCACCAATCAACAATACCAAATAATAAAGTGGCACATCTCAACCTAGCTTGGGTAAAATAATAAAGATAAAGCACAGAACTATTAAAGTTTACAAGCTGAACCTCAACACAGGAGTTACTTTACCCAGTTTTATTTAAATATCCAGTGAAGGAAGGACATGGAAGGGGAACTTCCTTGCATAGTGTCACTATAATGTACAGTACTCACAAATTACACGAGAGCAAACTGTATGCGAGGAAGTCTTCGCAAGGTTGAATATGATACATTTTAACAAAATAAAAAGCTCAGGTTTCCTGTTCCTGACGGACAGACACAACTTTATGACCAAACCACACATCAGAAACTGAAGAAAAATGACGTTTCGGTCTGTATGAGATTATCAAGCATTATCGACCATTATGCCTAGCTTCACACCAATGCCCTCACATCAGAGCCAGCGACTATCCTGACTATCACATACAACACTAAACCTACTCTAATATATATTGTTGACAATATGATGCATATTAATACTCTATACATTACCAGACATTAACTATGTCATCACTGTCGTATGGTAACATAGCTTATGAAGCTTTCATGAAATCACAGTAATAATTCAGAGTAATGAGTATAACCTTATCTACAAACATATAAACACTGCATTTTTGCACATATCAAGTCAAGTTTAAATTTTTAGTTAACTATACTGTATATACTGTATCTCATATCGAGTACCTCATACAGAGAATTAGAGTACCTACACATTGAAAATGGCTTCCCCCACCATATAATTATCAAAACACTAAAGCAAACCATCAAACTTTTTGCCAGACAATTCAAATAGATATTGCTGTTGTTAAAGGTGCCGAGGGAGGGGCACCACTGGCCCCGTGGTGGCAATGGACTACTGGCCTCTGGAGTTACAAGACTCCACTGGGCCTGCAGCGAGGGGTTAAGAAGACATGTTTCCTTTCACCTGATGTATCTGTTTGCCTAGTATTAAAATAGGTACCTAGGAGTTAGACAAAAGTTATGAGATGCATCCTGGGGGAAGGTCAAGGGTTGGCTTATGGGGTTAACTCGATACAAGACTAGAGATGAGATTCAGATGTTTATTCAGGTAAGGTATATACATACAAGTGATGTTACATTAATGGATTGATATATAGATAGAGCTAGTACATACAATGCCTAAAGCCACTATTACGCAATGCGTTTCGGGCAAGAAAAAACATTAATATCTAGAACTTAATACTAATTGAGCATAAAGAATAAAAGATGTTGAGAACAAATACAAATAAAGATAAAAAAAAAGGGGGAACATGACTGAAAAAGCAGCACAAATACAATAGGTTGACAAACAGTGTTGATTAAAAAAAAAAAAAGAAAAAAAAAAGAAAATAACAGACATGGGTTGACAATAGAGGAGTGAGGTAGATTACAGGGAATTTATTAGGTAGTGTTTAGTTTTTATCTTAAACTGGTTGAGAGAGGTACAGTCTTTAACATGGTTGGGAAGGTCATTCCACATTCTGGGCCCCTTGATTTGCAGAGCATTTCTAGTTTGATTAAGACGTACTCTAGGAATATCAAAACTGTATTTATTTCTGGTGTGGTGCTCATGGGTTCTGTTACAACCTTCTATGAAGCTTTTAAGATCAGGATTGGCATTATAGTTTAGCGTTTTATATATGTATAATACACATGAGAGAATGTGCAGTGACTTAATATCTAACATATTAAGAGATTTGAGTAGGGGTACCGAGTGATGTCTGGGGCCAGAGTTGGATATTGTTCTAATAGCGGCTTTGTGTTGGGTAATTAGAGGACGTAAGTGATTTTGGGTAGTAGAACCCCAAGCACAAATACCATAGTTGAGATAAGGATAGATAAGGGAGTAATAGAGAGTCACCAGAGCAGGGCGTGGTACATAATATCTGATCTTAGAAAGAATGCCCACAGTTTTTGAAACTTTTTTTGATATATTTAGAATGTATCTAATATCTAACTAACTAACTAACTAATATCTAACTAACGAATGTAACTAAATATCTTTTCATTTCTTTTCAGCGAAACAGAGTTTCTCTGCCCAATACACTATGCGTGTTAGTGGCTTCGCATGAATGTAAAAATACCAGTCTTATATAATCTCACCAACCCATTGTACCTTCTTGCAAATAACAATTAATATTCTTATTATTATTCTTAAGTACAGGTTTTCTGTCCCCGACAATGAGAATTAATGCTATCAAATACATGTAGCAATAAATATGAAAGTAACAAGACTTCTATAACCTGACAATGTGAAGCAATTAGCAGCACTATAAGCTCTCTAAGAACCGTACGAATACAGCCAGTTACCAGGAGTGAGGGCGAGGTGAGAGCAGGTGTGAGGGCCTAGACGGGCGGACTGTCTGGAATGCGTCGATCCTCTGGGTGACTCACATTTGTTGACATTCCCTCGAGAGGCAGCCTCACATCTTCTCAAAATTTTATCTTAATTATGCTTTAAATCTCAGAAAGACTCACGATATTAGAGCCAATTCATGCATAAATTTATAGTATTTTTATTATAATTTAATGTTTTGGGATTTATGGTTTATTAAATAGCTAATAGCGGTAAACAATGTTCTTCTAGATGTACTTCTCGTTGAACGATAATTTTAACAAAATATCGTCCACTTCCCAGAAGAGTACGCGAATATTCTCGACCCTTCTCGATTTTGCACGGACAATGACTCGCAAGCTCGCATTTTTTAATTCATTTGTATTTTGTATCCTGAAATAACGTGCTCGCATTTTTTATTTATTGTTATTACGTATCATTTTCAAAATCTTCATGTTAAGTAGACTAAAATAACGAATATATATGTAAATATATATATAAAGGTACAGTGGAAGACGAATGAGTTCATGTCTCTGGGTGGGTTAATAGACAACGTTGGGTGTGGCCAGTGCTCGAGAGGGTGACCACGTGGAGAGCCTTGCCCTTGGATTTGTTGTTTTAACTGTTACCGCCATACAGAGGCAGCTACTTTATATCGTGCACCTCCGTGCTGGGTCGACGTTCGATCCCCGACGATTAAATAATGTGGTAGAACACCGTTCCCGCGGAAATGCCAAAACACTACTGAATTTCAAAATCCAGCTTGATAAAATCATCAGGACAAATGGGAAAACCTTTGACAAGCTGACGACTTCGTGTCGTCGTCGAGACCAATAGAGAGTTTGTGCCCCCTCAGGTAAATTCAGGTAAAAAAAAGAAGACTTAGCTGAGAAGATTATGTATCCGGTACCCCCCCCCATATACACCCTAGTGTGAGCGGTAGTTTATTGTGCACCTCATACTTTGCTAATCCTTCAATAGTTCCTAGCTGGAGTTTTTGTGTTGTGGGACTGGTTTCCCAGTTCCCCTTCCCTCTCCCTGGTCGTTTCTTGCCACCGTGTCTATATCTGTCTGTTTCTCTGTCTCGCCATACCACTTTGAAGGAATAGCACACAAGTCGTTTGTTATTAAATTAACATCACTGTGACCCAAGTTAATTATGAGCGCCGGCCCTCTCACAAGGAATGTTATACATTGATTACAATTTGCAAGATACTGAGGTGGACAAGAATTACCTCTTTAGAGTGAGAAAGCAGAACAAGAGGACACAGGTGGAAGTTGGAAGCACAAATGAGCTGAAGGGACGTAAAAATGTACTCGTACCCTGTAGTACTAGTAGTAGGCATCCATCAGTCTCAGGAGACTATGGAGATGTACTCTGGTGTCGGCCTGGTCTGGAGTGGCCTCACCAGGGCGTAAAGCCTGGGTAGGTTGATTCGGGGAAGAAGCTGTTACCCAGGCAGCAGATCCCCCCTCTCTACGGCGCTGAAAGTCTCCAATGGAAAGGCATACGACAATACAATTCATTCCAGCGCCGTCGCAGGAACTGCGAGTTCCGAGGATGACCTCGTAGTGAAAACGGGAACAGGGGCGTCCAACCCCGGAGACCGCCGTGGACGTGACCGGAGAAGAACCACCCCATCAAGGGTATGAACGACCCCAGCCTCCTGAAGCAGAGCCTGGGCCGCACGACCCTCGGGAGGTGGACGTCCCGGTCCCGCACCTACGGGTTCCAGACAAAGATCGTCACGGGCCCCTTTCATCCGAGGCCGGCTTCCTTCAAGACCAAGTAGAAGGAAGAGAGATAATTATTAATATAACAATTATTATAATAATCATTATAATAATAATATAAATATTTAATAATTATCACTCTTCCTTCTACTGTATGATATTAATAATTCATTGTGTCGGGGGAAAGACAGCCAGAGTATGTATAGCCATGTAGTAGCCAGAGTATAAATCTCAAAATAAATCTCAAAATAAACAATACCCAAATTTGTAACAAATTAGATGGCAAATTCCTTGGCATTCTCATTGACCACAAGCTGAATTTCCAGGGACACATTCTAAACATATCAAAAAAAGTTTCAAAAACTGTGGGCATTCTTTCTAAGATCAGATATTATGTACCACGCCCTGCCCTGGTGACTCTCTATTACTCCCTTATCTATCCATATCTCAACTATGGTATTTGTGCTTGGGGCTCTACTACCCAAAATCACTTACGTCCTCTAATTACTCAACACAAAGCTGCTATCAGGACAATATCCAACTCTGGCCCCAGACATCACTCGGTACCCCTACTCAAATCTCTGAATATGTTAGACATTAAGTCACTGCACATTCACTCATGTGTATTATACATATACAAAACGCTAAATTGTAATGCCAATCCTGATCTCAAAAGCTTCATAGAAGGTTGTAACAGAACCCATGAGCACCACACCAGAAATAAATACAGTTTTGATATTCCTAGAGTACGACTTAATCAAACCAGAAATGCTCTACAAATCAAGGGGCCCAGGATGTGGAATGACCTTCCCAACCATGTTAAAGGCAGTACCTCTCTCAACCAGTTTAAGTTAAAAACGAAGCTATACCTAATAAATTCCATGTAACCTACCTTACCCTTCTATTGTCAACCCATGTATGTTTTTTGTTTTTTTTTTTTTGTTTTACAAATCAACGCTGTTTTAATGTAATTTTCTGTAATAATTTATAATTGTATTTGTGCTGTTTTTTCAACAATGTTCCCCCCTCTTTTACCTCTATTTTTATTTGTACTCAACGCATTTTTTTCTTTTTACCCATTAGTTTTAAGCTTTAGTCAGTAGTGTTTTTTCCTGCCCGAAACGCTTTGCGTAATAGTGGCTTTAGGCATTGTATGTACTAGCTCTATCTATAAAGCCAACAAACTTTGTAAAATCTCTTTATGTATGTACCTTTGCCTAAATAAAAATTATTATTATTATATATTATTATTATTATTATGTTTATACACGTAAGGCTTATATCGAGGTTCCCCAACTTCCCCCCAGGATGCAACCCCACAACAAGCTGACTAACGTTTAGGTACCAACTTGCTGCTCAGTGAACAGGTGCATTATGCAATCCGTCCTCGTCTCAAGTCTATTACATCCAGCGGTCGACCCCACAGACGCATTCATAATTTTTTCAGCCCGTCCTCCAAACAAAGATCTAAAAGTGATTCCATGCACCCGCCTAACCCCCTGTTTATGAATGAAAACGGGTTTACACACGACTCACAACTGACTTCGTTCGAACACTTCCGGAACTTCCGGAACAAGTGCTTCACTGATGAATTTTGTTCGAACCACAACGCTATAAACCAGCCCGTCCTCCAAACAAAGATCCAAAAGTGATTCCATCCACCCACCAAACCCCCTGTTTATGAATGAAAAGCAGTTTACACACGACTCACAACTGCTGACGTTCGAACATATCCGGAACATATGCTTCACTGACGAATTTAGTTCGAATAGCAACGCTATAAATGCTTCACCCACGTACTATAAATACAAATAATCGCCAACAGAAGCTAAACACCTGACCTAACCTATCCTATGCCTATATATACACAATATGCCAATATATTATAATATTAATTTATACTTGAGAAAATGCACGTTTTGAATGAACAGCATGTTAAAATTTATGAATGCGTCTGTGGGGTCGACCGCTGGATGTAATGGACTTGAGTCGAGGACGGGTTGCTATAAACAGCCCGTCCTCCAAACAAAGATCCAAAAGTGATTCCATGCACCCGCCAAACGCCCTGTTTATGAATGAAAAGCAGTTTACACACGACTCACAACTGTTGACATTCGAACATATCCGGAACATATGCTTCACTGACGAATTTTGTTCGAATTTGCCAATATGGCTTCAGACCCAAAGAAAGCACTAACGATGCACTTATTAGTATGCTTAACTCGATTCATACAGCTCTTGATAAAAATGAGTTCCCTGTTGGGTTATTTGTGGACCTGCGTAAAGCTTTTGACACTGTCAACCACCAAAACCTTCTTCTTAAACTACATCATTATGGAGTCAGAGGACACTCCCTGCAATACCTCAAATCCTACCTTACTGACAGGCTCCAGTATGTTTCTGTGAATAATACAATTTCTCCCACCCTACCCATCAACATTGGTGTTCCTCAGGGCAGCATACTTGGCCCTCTCCTCTTTCTCATCTACATTAATGACCTTCCAAATGCCTCCCAACACCTCAAACCAATTCTATTTGCTGACGACACAACCTTCATTTACTCCAGTCCTGACCCCCTTGCTCTAAATGCCACAGTAAATACTGAGCTAAATAAAGTCCATCTTTGGCTAACTGCCAACAAACTCACCCTTAACATTGACAAAACTTTTTATATTCTGTTTGGCAATAAATCCTCTAATCAAATAAATCTCAAAATAAACAATACCCAAATTTGTAACAAATTAGATGGCAAATTCCTTGGCATTCTCATTGACCACAAACTGAATTTCCAGGGCCACATTCTAAATATATCAAAAAAAGTTTCAAAAGCGGTTGGCATTCTTTCTAAGATCAGATATTATGTACCCAGCCCTGCCCTGGTGACTCTCTATTACTCCCTCGTCTATCCATATCTCAACTATGGTATTTGTGCTTGGGGTTCTACTACCCAAAATCATTTACGTCCTCTAATTACTCAACACAAAGCTGCTATTAGGACAATATCCAACTCTGGCCCCAGACATCACTCGGTACCCCTACTCAAATCTCTGAATATGTTAGACATTAAGTCACTGCACATTCTCTCATGTGTATTATACATATATAAAACGCTAAACTGTAATGCCAATCCTGACCTCAAAAGCTTCTTAGAAGGTTGTAACAGAACCCATGAGCACCACACCAGAAATAAATACAGTTTTGATATTCCTAGAGTACGACTTAATCAAACTAAAAATGCTCTACAAATCAAGGGACCCAGATTGTGGAATGACCTTCACATCCATGTTAAAGACTGTACCTCTCTCAACCAGTTTAAGATTAAAACGAGGCTATACCTAATAAATTCCCTGTAACCTACCTTACCCCTCTAATGTCATCCAATGTCTGTTTTTTTTTTTTTTTTTTTTTTTTTAAGAGCGCTGTTTGTCGACAGAATTGTATTTGTGCTGCTTTTTCAGCTATGTTTTCATTCCATTCTGTAGCGAGTAGATTATCCCAATAATATACTCGCTCCATATGTACTAGCCCTAACTATAAATCCATCACTCTTTGTAAAATCTCTTTTATGTATGTACCTTACCTAAATAAACATTTTGATTTTGATTTGATTTTTTTTTTGAATCACAATGCTATAAATGCTTCACCCACGTACTACAAATACAAATAATCGCCAACAGAACCTAAACACCTAACCTATGTCTATATATGCACAATATGCTAATATATTATAATATTAATTTATATTTGAGAAAATTCCTGTTTTGAATGAACAACAAGGTAAATATTATGAATGCGTCTGTGGGGTCGACCGCTGGATGGAATGGATTTGGTCTAAGGACGGCATGGGAATCGCACTTGCAATGTTAAATGGGATTCTTGTAATGTTATTTGTCTATTTGTACTCACTGAATTTGTGCGCCCCTTGAGGGACTTGAAGTAGAGGGGGGTAGAAATAGCCTAAGCTACTCTATCCCTTTGAGATGTATTTATTGCTTATCTCAATAAACATACTTGAACTTGAACTTGAATCGCACTTTCGGTTAATTTAGTTGATTTTGCCCTCCATTCCCGTTCTATGGCGGAATGGCAGAAAGGTTACAGTGTCCGAACATGCCCGAAACGCTTTGCGTAATAGTGTACATGCATGTACGTAATAATCTGTACATGCCCGAAACGCTTTGCGTAATAGTGGCTTTAGGCATTGTATGTACTAGCTATACCTATAAGTTAAACAATCCTTGTAAATATTTATTGTATGTATGTACCTTACCTAAATAAAATTGTATTGTTGTTGTATTGTAGTGTAACCCCAGTCATCCTAATTCCAGATGTCAGAACACATTTTTTGTAATTACTATTTTTTCCTTTTACCCTATACATAAATTTGACAGTGATGTATAACAAAGGTGATTATTTCCTTAATTTTATTTGCATACACATGTTTTTATTTTATTTGTAATTGGTATATGAATTGAGTAAATAATAAAAATAAACACAAATATTCGAAATTTGATGCGATTAACCGGACAAGTTTCTTTTTCCTACAACCATGAACGGTGTGACGTCAATGCTGTTGGAATGCTTGCACGGTTAGAAAAACTTTAAATATATGAGCAAGAACAATCAAAATATTATAAGCATCCTTAAGTATTTAATTAATCAAAGAAATATGTAAATGACACTAGACTTACAGCAAGTCCTTAGATGAGAAATATGGAATTTTAATACGAGGGAAGTCGTTGGTTGAAGGATTCAAACGCAGTCTAGCAGACGACCTGAGTGGCTGAGTCCGGATAATAGATGACAACTCAGTGTGTAGGCGGGATTACGCTGTGACGCGGCTGCTTCTTATTTATTCTCCTGATTTCCACTCCAGTAAGGTTATATGGGGGCTAACTTTGGTTCGAAGCTACATTGAGGCTTACTCTTTTTGTAAGAACGTTGGTTCTGATAGTGTTAGAGGTGTTGAGAGCCCACCTGACGCTACATTCACTGTGTGTTGTTATCGGGGTCAGTTACAAGCAGGTGTGACTTGGTTATCAGTGTGAAGTGCCACCGACGGAGCCAAGTGGTGTCGCTGATAGTACCGTTGGCACCGTGGTGGTGGGTGTGGCCCTGTGTTTAGTGTGGCTCGAGGTGTGGGTGACTGGGGAAGTGTGGCTCCAGCCACCCACCATACTGTAATGAATCATTTGTGTCGGGGGACAGGAAGCCTGTGTAAATATGTACTTTAGGGACTTATATCGTGGTCCCCAGCAAGGTCGAATTACTGATCTTCCCCACAGCATGCAACTATACAACTGTTGCTTAGCTCCTGGGTATCTATTTACTGCCAGGTGAACAGAGCCGTTTGGTGACAGGAAACGTTCCTAACCACTTGTGTCCCATCTGGGATTGTAAGCCCGAGTCCCTGATTGTAAGATATAAACGAAGCCAGCTGTACTAAGGGCAGGGCAGGGACTGGTTGTTGGAGACATGAGGAGGATCTGATCCAGTACTCTGGGTACTCTCGAGCACTTGATTTTTTTCCCCGATGCATCGCGGTAATGTGATGTGTGTGTGACAGGTTGTTGTTGTTGCTGGTTGGGAGGCTGTGACAATTCTGGGTCATGAGCCCAACTGACCTTTGGTTAATTAGTGTGTGATAGTTTTACTGTGCTACCTATTTACGCCGATTGGCTTGCCGCACCTGGATTGGGAGGATCGGCTGGGTCTGCCTGTGCCATCTTTTTGGTGTGCCTTTTTTTTTTCTTTTATCCTGGTGTAGGTTTCGGGAGTTTTTTATCTCTTTGGGTAACTGTCTTCCCTCTACTTGGGCCATGCTAGTGCTTCTCTGGTACTGTATTTGTTGTTTTAATACGGTACTGAATTTTCTAAATCCTGTTGCTTTCTGCTGCCCCGAGGTCTGGTCTGGGACTGTGCTTGTCCACCCGGCGCTTCCTCTTGCAGCCCTGCCCGGCTTTGTAATCCCTGAATCAAAGGTGAAATGTTTGACATAGGCTGTAAGAGTAGAAGTGTATGAAGGTGGATAGAGTTATTTATCTAAAATGAGCAATAAAGTCACTCTTCCTTACTGTACATACTATATATATAATTTTAAAATGGGAATACAGAATAAATGCTAAATAAAAATACTCTTTACCCCCCTCCCATGCCTCCCTCCCCTTCTCCCCCCCTACTTCTTTCTTCCTTACCACCACCTCCTCCTCCCCATCCTTAAAGAAGAATTATTAAAAAAACATTTAGTATGATCCCTGTGCCCCCTGTACAACAACAATAATAAAGATCCAGAACAGTAATTTAGTTCAGGGAAAGATATATATATATATATTTTTTTTTAAATGTTCAGTATTTTGGCCTATATGGCCCCCAGTGACCTTGTTGTTTTTGCACCACATCTTTGTATAATCTTATCAGCTCAGAAGCTATTAGCTTGGGTCTGACAAGGCTATTAAAAGTAGCCCAATAGGTACTTCAATATTATTATTGTCACAATATTACTAGTACAGTAGTTGAATACACACAAACATTAATGTATGCATACATACAAATGTACACAATTACATCCACAAAAATGTGTATCCAAGCATGCATGTGTTTTATTTACACTTAAACACTTTTGTGCACACATGGGGTACAATTTTGCACATGTATTCAACATGTGTATACACATTTGTGTAAATATACACACCTGTACATTATGGATTCAGAAAAATTCATCTCTTTAGTCAGGTGCATCATCTAGACCACTGTGAAGCCGTTTCGTCTAGCTAACAAGCGCTCTCGTTAGGCTCCAATCTGTTTACATGGGGGTGCCCATTAGTGACATACCAAGATTTTTGCCTTATCAGTATAATACCTTTTAACAGTTTAGTTGTTATTTATAAGATGATTACAAGTTTGGATTTCTGTGCTACTTTATAGCCATTTTATTTATCTGGTGAAGGAAGGGTTGTTCATTGGTGTGTGTGTTTTGTATACTATAGTGTATACGTATATGCGTGCACGTGTGAACAGAGAGAGATTCTGTAACATTTTAAATTTTTGTGATGCCTTTAGCATAGATCTTTTAGGGGAAATGAGTTTGGTTTAAAAAAAAGTATGAATCGGATATTCTACATAACATAATTTTTTTTAAACCAATGGAAATTCTCTTAAGATTTCAGAAAATAGTCATTACACATGTTCATACAAAGTTCACATACTCTTTCACCTATGCTTTGCTTTGCCTTTTAATCTTCCTGAATAACTACAATCCCTTAATTTTTGCTTTATTATTACAGTATTTCCTTTTTTAATTTTCTTACTCATTTCTGTAACCTGTTTCACCTTTTCACTCGGTTTCCTCTATGATGTGCTTTTCTTCTTCCTCACCCATTTTCCTTTTTCACTTTATTTTCCTTGTCCTGTGTTTGCATCTTCATATCTACTTAGCCTTCCTATTTTATTTCCATTTGTCTATCTTAACAATAGGTTGATTCAGATCTTTGAAGTATACAGACACTGTGTATAGATCTCTATTTTTGTGCTCACATTGCAAAATAGATCCCCTACTACAGTACCAAGATAATCTTCAGATTTTGTTACAGGTACTGGCACTGTAATCCCCCCTCCCCCTCCCCTCTCCTTCCATGTTAAAATGCAACCCTTGTGAGGCCTATAAATTCTGGATCTGAAAATGTAGCATTTGGCAGGTGTTCTGTAACAGGTGTTCCTTAGTGTGTCCTACATTTGCCGGTGTATTGTATCTTTGGTTTGTTCTTATCCAGTACACTGTGTGTTGGTTGTAGACACTCTTTCATATAACTATAGGCTAATAAGTGAATTTTATATAATTTACATTTTTTAACATGTTACCAAAATTTATGAAAAAATACTGTGTAAAACAAGTTACCAATGAATATTGCAGTCACCATGCGTGTTAAGTATATATTTAGCAAAACTTTTGACCTTGGGGGTTAGTTATGGTTACCAGATGAGAGGGGCTGATAGTTTAGTGACCAGAACTAGTTAGTTCACAAGTTACAAATTAGCTGCATTATCTGCATCCTGTGATATTTTTATTGTTTTTATTCAGTAGAACTATAGTATTTAACAAAAAAAAAATTCAGGTGTTTTTTAAACAATATTTTATGGGTTATTGAACAGTATTTGAACTGCATTGTGGTAATGTTCCATTAGATACAGTGTAGTGATCCACTGTACTATACTTCTGTGTTTAGTATGTGATGTTAAGGATTCAAAGGGGAAATGGATGATATGCTTGACAGTGTATGGTGTGATTATCATCATCAAACATTTAGGCATGATAATAAAGTCTCTACAAAGACTAAGTGCTCTTGTTAGGAATGTGGTGACTACCAAGCACATTTAGTGTTGTAATCCAATTGGTCAGGATAAGCAATGTTCAGATGGAATGGTTTTTGAGCCTGTGGTAATTACAAACAATCTTTACAACAATGGGAAATCATTGTTGTAAAGATTGTATTCCTACCTTCAGACTCCTAGTGATGTAATAAGTTATGTGATTGTCAAAAGTAGCATAATGAAGTGTATCGGCCAAAACAGACTAGTATCCACACTCCCTTCCAGGTGGCAGCATCATTGTAAGACAGGCTCTACTCCCAACACCTCACAACCTGACTACGCAAGTAGCATGTTGGCAGACTGGGAACAATTAGGCAAGTACTCGTCGTAAGTCAGCACTCGGAACAGTAATACCCTCCAATCCCAGAAATTGCTCGACACCCTTACTGTAATCCATGAATATACATATTGCACATCTTGAATTGCTTCACATGTGTGCACCTAATATCTCAAATGGTCAAGTATGGGTGACCTGATGCTTGCCCCATCAACTTTTAAAAGGTAGATAGGCTTGTCTAGGCCTTTTTTGTGTAAATCTGAAAGTTTTTTATGTGACAGCCCTCTTATGGGGCCTATTAATTTATAGGCAACTATGGGGTCAACTGCAGATGTTCAGCCAAGTGTGTATCAGAGATGTTAAGCCTGCTGGTCTGGGGTCTGCTCTTCAGCATAACAAAGTCTCGCTGACAGATTACATTCTTAATAAAATATTTAACTTGACACAACAAAACTTATCATATTACTGTGCATTTTTTGTTGCCATTCAGTTACATAAAATGTCATGAAATAAAGGGACCATTTTGTTTGACTAAATCAGTAGAGGCACAGTGCATTACACTACAGTATTGTTTAACCAGGTGGTTATATGGTGGAAATTTGTGAAAATAAAGTTCTTTTAGATGCTGTATAATAGTTTAATCATTAATGTCTTTTTAAACCGGTTTTTACTAAAAGTGAATGTAAAATAAATGAAAGAGAAGTACTTCATCTTAAATGATGACCACCACACTTTAGATTGGGTGATAAGAGGAGGCTGGTAGTGATTCTTCACCTTTATCAGATAATTTTAATAATCGAGAAACTCTTTCATTGATGGTGCGAATAATTCTAATACTAGCAGTATTTCTCGATACATAAAAATATAAAACATTTATTTTCTGATTTTTTTTTTCCTGAGTATTTACCTGTGTTGTGATATTTGGTGTTTAAGATGAATTTCTTTCGAGTGCACGAAGACAGAAGAACAATGGATAGAGTTCTATCCATTGTCTATCCTCCTTCCCCCTCTTATAGTACATTATAGTACAAAATAATGTACTATAATGCATTTTGTTAGACAATGGATATTCAGGAATGGTGAAAATTAGATTCAGCAGTGTAATATAAGACTTGGGAGAAAACAACTAAGGTTCACAACTTGGGAAAGGAAAAGGGATGATATACAATATAACTGAAGCATGGTGACTGTAGGAAGTGTGGCGTTGGACAGTATTGAAGGGTTGTATTGGTAAGAGTTCTTTAGATATGTTGCTGGTATTATTGAAGAGGGTTGTATATAGTATTAAGTTTTAGTCTTAAATGTTTTTCCTGCCTGAAACGCTTTGCGTAATAGTAGCTTTAGGCATTGTATGTACTAGCTCTATCAATAAATCTATCAATTTTTGTTTAACCTCTTGTATGTATTTTACCTGAATAAACATTTGAATTTGATTTTTTTTTTTAATTGTGTGAGAGCTGTCTGATAGCAGTTCTTGTAAATCCCTCTGCCTTTAAAAGCTTTAAATTTGTGGGTTTCATATACATACCTGTACTGTAATTATATTAACTAAATGGGGTACTTTTTCGTTTCATTTAAATGTAACGGTTTTGTTTTTAACGTCATTCAACATAAATACCAGAAATATTTTAAAATTAAAGCCTGTGTATAATGATCTGACTTGAATGTACAGTACAGCTATGCATTTGTTAAAATAACTAAATTTTTCAGAAATGGCAGCAGATGAGCAAGCATTGGACTTGATCAAGACACAAACTAAAGGTTTGGATGGCATCGCAGGTGCAGCGATTTCTGACATCGATGACAAGAACACGCACTTGTTTGCAAATTTTGATAAAATGGATAAGTGTTGTGATCTGGAAAATAGAGATAACGTCATGCTAGAGCAATGTGAAATCAAGAAGGAAATTGATTTGGCAAGAGTTTTAAAGGAAATCTGTGTTGATGAAAGTAATTTGGCAGCAAATGATGTAGAAAGGGAACTGGAAGATTATGAAAAATGTATGAAAAATGGCTATATACATGGTATTCCAATCATCAAACAGGATTACAGAGATATTTTCCCAGATAAAGTTAACAGCAGTAGTGAATTTGAAAGAAGTAGGTATTGTGAATTTGGCAGCTTCAATACAGATATGAATAAGGTTTCTAATGATGATGACACGGAGTATACAAGAAGCTGTGGTGCAGGAGATATTGCAAATTGTGACGATGAACTAGACTCGGATGGTCGACCAACAGGTGAACGATGGCCTCCCCTTGGGGCTCCCAATGACGATGAAGATAATCAGTCCCTGTATTCATATTCAGAACTTAGTTGGTACGTCTAGTTAATCTTTCTGGGAGAGGGCCCCCTCAGGCGCTCTGTGAGCTAAATGCTGGTCCAGCCAAGCCTTGGGAAAATGTACCAGGTTTCTCGGATCCACCCTTTATTAAAGGGGAGCTTGGAGATGCACCCTAAACCAAGAATAAACACACCAGAAAGTACAAGTGCAACAAAACAAGCGACTGCTTGAAGAAAGATAGGTGCCCAAAAATAACCAGAGTTACTTGAATTTACCCGAGGGCTCCATCTCGCTAGTTACTGTTGCTAGTTGCCTTGTTTGTTTTCTTTGTCCTTCACAATTGTGTTCTATGTCACCTTGTGTGTGTGTGCTCGAGCTTTAAATTTCACTCCGTGGCCTAGAATTCTCTTACTTGGTTGTCGGCTTTGAGGGGTTTTGGATTCCTGCTCTGAGCTGAATTATCAAAAGTCTCCTGGCTTCTGTGTGGCACATGAGACAACTTTTCCAGTGTGAGGCTTGGTGATGAGTTAAGCAGTTAGCCGTGTGCTTGTGTTGTAACCACACTTGCCTGGCTCTTTGTACTTTGCAACTTCACTGAGGGCAGTTAGTGATTTTTCTTGTCCATAGCTGCCTTTTGTAATTTTTTCGACTGAAATTCTTTCCTCACACTGTCTGCATGACAGTGGCTAGCTGGTTTTCATCATCCCCTGTGGTTTTCTCACTTTAAGTTCTCAGGTGGGTTATCACAGCCTTCCCTGTCTTTTCTGTATCTGACTCTATAGTTTTGGAGTGGCCACCCTCTTTTTGCCTGCTGATGCAGGCCTCTACCTACCCTGATTGGCTACTGCTGGCCCGTATGAAAGTGGGTTTGGGTCTGTAAAAAGTTTGTGTCTGGATTTCCCTGAGCTGTTTGGCCCAGTTGTCCTCAGACTGTGTGCTAATCTGTTTTCATGGTTATTCATTCCTGGGCCACATTGCTGTGGTTTCCTCTATTCCCAGAGCTGTAAATTGTGGATTTTGGGTCCGTACACCAGGTTTTCCTATCTATTGGTTTCCAGTGACTTCAGCATGCTATGGCCCTTTGCTCTGCATTCCTGGCAACTTGGTTAGCTTCTTTGAGTTTGGGGCTTGTTTTGGGTGGTCTCCTTGGAGATGGCCTTTGTCACTAACTGCAGTATATCTTTTTTCTTGCCACATTTGAATTACACTTTTGGCATGGGCCAGCCTAGGCAGCTTTTCTGTTTCAGAATTGCAGGCCTATTCTACTGTGGTGCCATTATAAATTAGCATATGGGAGCTATTGAAGAGGGGAAGGGGGTCTGTCAGAAATCAAGCTTTGACTACAATGAAACGACCTTCTCGGGTGAGACCCTCAGTTGCTTCTTGTCCCTAATCTGTTCTTTTCTTACCTGAGGAGCGGTGGAGCATTTCATTTCAGGCAACAAGTGATTGAAGGAGTTGGCTTGCTTGAGCTTTTGGTGACCTGGGCTGCCATATGTTTATGGTCAGGCACAACAGGATTGGTAGCACAGTGGTCTATGTTGTCAACTCTCAACCGAAGGTCCCGAGCAGGACCTAGATGGTTTGGACAAGTTTCCTTTAACTTGATACTGCTGTTAATCTAGCAGTAAAATGTTACTTGGTGGTTAAAAAATTGCTGTGGGTTGCATCCTGGAGAAGTTATCATTGGCCACAGGGGACCTCTATAATCCTAAGTACAGAACAGACTTTCTTTCCCTAACAATGAGGAAACAATTGTTGTAAGGGTTGTATTCCTACCTTCAAATCTTTAATTTCACTCGAGCAGTGGCTTGTTTTTTGCACCTGGGTTTTCAGGTGGGTTTTCCTCAGTTTTGGGTACATTTGATTTCCCAAACTACCTTTGCATCATAAAGCAAGCCAGAGTTTGGTATTGGCTTGTGGTACATTAAGGCAGATCTTGGAGGTCTGGTGTTTCCCCTTAGGCATGGCATAAATTAAAGAGTACTTAACTCAGGGAAGCTACGAGGGCCCTCCACGAAAGATTGTTTGTCATTACGTACTGTCAACACTTGATTTTGTCCAGTTCTGTATACCAATTGTATGTTTTTATATAAAATGTTTACAATTACAGATACAGTTCTATCAAACAGTAGCACACCTCCATGGTATTAGTAGCAGATAATTTTATAACTGTACAGTGCTATATACAATAATTGATTACAAAATTTTACCCATGCAGTACTGCTATTGCATTTGGCATGCAAATGCACGTGCTCTTTCCCATTTTACAATAGAAGATTTCCAGGCAGCGAGGCCATTATGGAAGGGGGTGTGGAGGGAGTGGGGAGGAGGAGCGGCTGCAGCAGCTGGAAGAAGAACAAGAACAACTCAACAATTCTCTGATGGCTCTTACATCCCACTTTGCACAGGTAGGCTATGCTCTCCAGGTGACTTGGAACTTAGTCACTTCAAATTCTGCATTTTCAATAGGATGTCACAATATATTTTATTTGTATAATTTTAGTTATTATGTCTCAAGATAGCCACATTTGCAAGTGCCACTAGCTGGAGAGTATTTGTCAGGCATTTACTTTGGCCATCCCCCCAAAAAATTTAGATCGGTTGGAAGGAAGCTTTTGGCAATGTTTACTCAGCCCTACCTTTATCACTGATCATCAATATCAATGACCCTTGGCCCTCTTTATTATTATACCTCATCTTAGAACTACGTAGGGAATTGGCCTCGACTACCTCGTCTTGGATTGTTCCACTTGTTCAATACTTTTACACTGAAGTGTTTTCTTATATCCTTACGACTTCTTTAAGTTTCAAGTTTCTACCCATGTCCTCTCGTCCTGCCCTGTTCGTGAAGAGCATTTTGTTTGTTCACGTTGCTAATCCTTTTAAGAGTCTTGGTCATGATCATGTCACCTTATACCCTTCTCTTTTGCCTGTGTGGTGAGGGCTTAATTTCCTTTTGTGTTTTCTCATAGTTCAGTCCTCTTAAATTTGAGGACCCCTTTTGCAGCAATTCTCAGGATTGTTCTAACCTTCTAAGAATAAGGATTTGGCTGTTTCTGCTTGCTTTACCAAAAATGTATGCAGCACTATAGTCTGGGGTGAATAGCTAGTATGTAGCAGAGATAATAGCATTATTCTCGGGCACTAAAGACTTCACTATTCATTATTTATAGGCATACATGGCTATTATTTATAGGCATACATTTGTCTAAATACAAATTAACATTTGTTGTATCACATCCTATATGAAAAATATATAAAATTTGATGATAATTTCCACAAAAATGGGCAAATGTTATGAAACTCCAGGGTTCATGCAAAAATTCAGATTGAGTTTGAAATGATATAATCCAGATTTTGGAGGTGCACCTCCATAATCCCGAGGCCCCCCTCGACCTTTCCAGGTATGAGACTCTACAGTTCTGGGATGATTTTTATTGTTGGGTTGTCGAGGTTTATGGGTTTAAGCGGTGGGGCCCAGGAGTGGCAACATGAACTGTAGCGAACACAAATAAGAAATGTTAATTTTGGTAACATGGACGTGGGTTTTTTAAAACGGGTATTCTCTTATTCACATGTCTTAATTACTCGCCCACAGGTTCAATTTCGGTTGAAGCAAATTGTAGATGCTTCACCGGAAGAGAAGGAGATCCTTCTTCTCCAGCTGGAAGAGTTTGCTAACAGAGGTATTCCTGATTTGCGGGATCTGTCTGTATGTAAGAAGTCTACAGTCAGTGAACATGTAAGTTTACTCTTAATTTGATGTACCTTTTGTGTATGTGTGTATAATTTTTAGTGTGATTACCTATTTGATCAATATACTTTTCATTTACAGGACAGAGCTAAAGCTGATTGGGTGTTGTCTTCCCTTGCCCATTGAGTGTACAGTACCATACAGTACTTGCTTTTGTGTATTTATTCACGCACCGCTTTATTTTACAGAGCGTTCATGCCATCAACAACTTGATTTAAGAAATGTTTTCTAATAGCTCACCTACAGGTCATTTTTTGCTAGTGTTAGGTGTGTTCTCTGGTTATGGCTAGTGCTGGAGTAACAAAATCTTCCCTTTGCCCATTGTCTTCCAGGTTGGTAAGCTTTTATATTTTCAACCTTTATATAGTTCATATCATTCAACTCCAGTAACTATTTTGTTAATGATTTCCAAAGGTTAATAAATGAAATTAATAAAATGTTATCTTATTCCAAGATATTACGGTACTATAAATGAGAAGGTGAATAATGGTTATTTACTTGATTCTAGGATGATATCCTGAGGCATTAACTTTAAAAAAAAGTCTATCATGTTTTACTTAAAAAAAATTAAAATGATGGGAAAGGTAATAAACAAGTGCCTGTGTTTTGATTAAAATAATCTCGCTTGTATGGTTTATACTGAGAAACATTTTATAGATGCATTTTAAGGTACAGTACTGTAAAGCCATGATTATAATTTGGTCAATGCTGTATAATGTAAATATTGTACTCGGTTCCAAAGAGATGCTCGGCATGTCTTGTGAACATGGTTGAAATTAATCCATAGTCATTTAAATGTTATAATATCTAGCACTGTACTGTTACAGTATCTCTATATTGCAAATACAGTACTGTAACTAATTTGAGGATCACTGTAATTATGGCCATACCAGAGGCATATATGCTGCTCTGTTTGCAACTAAAATAGGGTGTATTAGCAAAGGTTTCAGAATTGTATGTGAAATTGCAGAATATTGTATGTGAAATGGCAAAATGATGCACACACTATTGGTAATAGAAAGCTGATATTGTAGTAGAAAGACAGGATCTTTGTTTAACTTTCTAAGTTAATATGAATAGCATAGTTGTGTTGGAATTAAATGTTGTACTGTATTTCTATGTAAAAAAAAATCCAGAACTGCCTTTGTTGTTGCAATTTATAATGACAGAAGCATCATTGTTATCTATGCCTAGAGTGATGGAGGAGTGGACAGCATTGGGATAACACGACAGAAGGAACTAATTGAGCAGCTAAAGCAGCAGTTGGAAGATCTCGAAAACTATGTATACCAAACGGGAGAAGGTGGACCCCCACAAGCCAAGGTTATGGAAAAACAGCGGGTCATTATAGGTGAGAAAAAAATTGGTAAAGTGCCTATACTGTATTTTCAATATACTGTACATCATTTATCATGAATTTAAATTGCAAAAAATAGTTACGCAGGAATAATTTTTTAACCACAAATTATAGTTTCTTCTTAGTATTTGATATAGTATGGAATAGTAATCTGGAGGTCTATTAGAGAAGAGGAACTGATTGAGCCTGTACGTATCAACTGTTTGAAATATTTGGAAATTATATTGTGCTTGCTAATCTGGGATGTTCTTAGAAAATGGGTAAAGCATTCAGGAGTGTATCTTCATATCTTAAAAAGTGCTTGCTTAATTTATTACCTTCCAGAACAACTAAAAGGGAAACTCAATTTGAATGTGGATGAACTTGACAAGTTGACTGTGGATGATCTTCGTGTCAAAGTGGATCATGCTATCAGAGAGGCAAGTTAATTATTAACTTCATTAACTTGGGCATTTTGCGAAGCTGTATAGAAATATTGGCCATGCATATACAACAATATCTAAACACTGTACTGTATTCTTAAACACTTCGACACATACAATTTCCTTCTACTAAGTAGCAGTTTCAGTATAAACGTAGCACTAATCCTCTATTGAAGTACCTGTAATTGTTACTTGCTTACTGGAATTAATGTACAGGAAACATAATAGCAATTTCAATAAAAGCTGGGAATTGCATGTGCTTGTAAGGGATAAAGTAAAGAGGTTTTCATGTGTAGACTACTTAATATAAAACTTTGTATCTTGTTTGCATGGGTAGTCTCCTGTATGCAGCCTGTATTGTATTTATATAAAGTGCACCATACTTTGTAGTACAGGATATACACCAGGCCATATGTTATGTATGTGTAGTGTACTTAGTTTTCCATCACTGAATACCTTTTTCTTCTCAAATATTGGTGTGGGTTAATTCTTTTTGTATCATAACAAAATATTTCCTTTTCTTCATGCTACTCTTGGATACACATCCATACTGTTGCATCCCTGGACTAATGTGGACTAACCATTGCCTGGCCTTGTAACCCGTGGAAATTTTGGTGTTTTGCGTGCAGCTGGTGAATCCCCTCAAGATGAAGGAGCAGTTGGTAGCTCAGCTCCAGACGCAGATTATAGACCTGGAAAGGTTTATCGAGTTCCTGCAAGGTGAGTCCCCTAGTTATTCATCAAATGCCACAACCATCAAAAGAATGTAACTGTGAAAGTCTTCTTCTCCCTGTTGTTCAGTGTCGAGTGTAATTTAAGCTGTTGTGTGCACTTTTAATGAAATGTTTCTTCGTGTAGCACTCTACATTTTCCCGTTATGTGTTTGACAACACTCGCAACAGAATAACTAATAGTGACTAATCATTTTTGTTTCTGAAAATGTTGTATAATATCCCTGTAAATGCTCATTGGTTATATTTTATGTATGGTAGTATATTATTTGAATGTCTCTTTAAATGACAACTTGTAAATAGGCACCTGTTCTAGTTATATGCAAAGGTGGGCAGGACCGAATTTGTGGAACTCGGTCTATTATGAGAACCATCTTGAGATGATTTTGGGGCTTTTTTTTTTTAGTGTCCCGCGGCCCGGTCCTCGACCAGGCCTCCACCCACAGGAAGCAGCCCGTGACAGCTGACTAACACCCAGGTACCTATTTTACTGCTAGGTAACAGGGGCATAAGGTGAAAGAAACTCTGCCCATTGTTTCTCGCCGGCACCTGGGATCGAACCCAGGACCCCAGGATCACAAGTCCAGCGTGCTGTCCGCTCGGCCGACCGGCTCCCTACCATGACCAGGAAAGTTGGTCCTTTTTCCAGGAAGGACCAAAATGAGGATCGGCAATATTTTATAGCAATTCTGGATGGTCCGATGTTCACCCCCACACAAATCAAAGGGGCTTCAAAAGAAACGTACTATACAAACAAAATATGAACTCAATGTAAGGAATAACAATGATTGAAAGTCTAGTATGGAACTTGGTTACTCATGCATGTAAAGTGGACAAAAAAATTATATATATATATACTGTATATAATCCATACTTACTTAATTTTCTCACCACTCACTCAATGGCTAATCATGGAGTTCAGATGTGATTTTCATTCTTATTTTGTTTTTTTTCGTTCTTTCTTTATACTGTGTATCATTGTTCATGTAAATAATTTACTATTGGCCTCTATAACAATTGGAAAGTGATAACGAGTTGGTTGCCGAGTTACGCCCACTCCACATGACGCATCCATGCTATATATGCACTCAACTACAACAAATACAAGTCTTGTATGAAGAGGTGTGCTGTACTGCTCTTAGTGGTAGCATGTACAAAGGAACAAGGTTGATGCTGGAACTAGAGTTGTGTTGATGAATAATAGTTTACACCACCCTGGCTAGTCAGTGAGCTAGAAAGTGCTCACTCCTGGATTAGTAGCACTATTCAAAGTCATTAGATATGGGTACTAACTAGTCAAGTCTCGCAGTAATGGTACATCATCACTCCAAACTGTGTGAAGTGCAGGATATGCGGCAGATTCTCTCATTTTCTTTCTTTTAAAAAGTGTCACATAAGAGCATGAAGAAACAAGAATAGTGGTTTGAAACAATGCTAGGTGGCAGCAGCTTTTGAATAAGGAGCACTGCACCCAGCCTCCATAATAGGCGCTGAGGTGGTGGTGTAGGTGACCTGCTTGTGTGTTGTGGTGCCAGTTCTCCTTCGTGTGAGAGATATGGTGCAAGTGTGGATGAAATTTTTAAACACCTTGCCCTTTCTTTATTAAACTTTCCTATAATGATGAATGAGTAGATTTTTATTTATGAAATTAGCCTGATAAAATATATTCCTAAAATCTGGACTTTTAAGATGAGAAATGAAGTCCCCAGAAAGTTTAATGTGTCTGAAACAAGGAAGCCAGTATAAATGAAGACAAAAAGAGTTGATTATTCCAGTATTCCCAAATATGACATTCCTTTACATCTTTTCCTTGTATTCACACTTGATTTCTTGGAAATGTTTAAAGGAGGAGCTTAAAATTAACCCTTGTCTGTCTTGTTTATAGGTGAAGGAACAGTTACCAAGGTAAAAGGACCCAAGGCACCTTGTCATTGCAAAGAGCCGCGGCCACCTGGTGATGGTAGACCACAGGAGTCGGGCAGCAAGTGGGGCAAGGCCGGAACTCAGAGAAATAAGAATCGAAGACCAGGAACAGATAAAGAGCAGGTTTGTTATTTCTTGAAGTACTCTATTATACTGCAATTATTCAATGACCAGACTAGTTCTTGTTAACCTCTTCTTCTGTTAGTTCAGCAACTGAATAAGGCCCTTCATAATCACTTTTAATTTAAATAAGGGTAATTTTCTTAATGTCCATCACATTAAAGGCTTCAATACTGCACTTATTTCCAGCACTGATGTTATATCTCTGATGCATTATCTATCCCTGTTTATAATGATAAGTTGGAGACATTTTTCTTTAAAAGTCAACAAGGGCATTGATAGGTGTTGATCGGCAATTGTTTGTTCCTTGTGTAATAGAGTTCTTGATGGTTTTTAGCTACTGAAGGAAACGGAAAATATCATGAAACAAGCCGCAACACTGATGAGCATGTTGTCATTCGGGTGTGGGACAACCAGAGGCAGGTTTCAAAAGAACACCCTGAAAAAAACACCACGGGGAAATCATTATGGGTGAGTTTGATCTCCTTGAAGTATCCTTATTGCTGATGGTTTGCAAAAACTTGGTAATGGAGTACAAGTACTTTGAAAAAGTGACTTCTCTGAAATGATGTACTTGCCTAATTATGCCTGCAGGGATTGAGCTTCAACTCTTTGGTCTTGCCTCTTGACTTTGAATTAACTGATGTTCCTCTGAAATTGTGCATGGAGTCTGTCTCCATTACTGTACAGGTACTTTAGTTTTTAGTACATAACATTTGTTCACTGCTCTGGAACTTATTTTTTACTTTCTTCTCCCCCCAAATATATCTGTTGTTGTCTGTGTATCATCCCTCCCAAATAATGTACATAACCTTTTAGTCTTCCAGTGACGTGTGGTTTAATTCAATTATTCTTTTCTTGTAAATCATGCTCTCATTTCTGGGTCTAATCTGGTAACCCACCTCAGGACTAAATCCTACTTTTTGTGTTTGATAAGATAAGGACTCCACACTGGTGCCGCATATTCCAGGTTCAGTGTGATCTCGACCCCCAGTTTTTTTTTTTATCCTCCTGATTCATGACTAGTTTCATCCCACATTTGGTACCTTGTGTCCAGCCTCCTGTTCTCAGCACCCAGTTTCATTAATTTGTACTTCCTCATATAATTTAATTTCAACAGTGGTTTGTTTTGTTGCACATGGACTTACTGCCCAGTTTTCATAGGAATTTGGGGCAATCTGATCCCTATTTGCCTTTCACCTTGAGTAAATCAGGTTCTGGTTAATATGGGTAAGCTCGGAGGCATGATACAACCATTAGGCTTTGCAGTATCGTTGCTTAAGTTACAGGGAAGTACTGAGGGGCCAACCATAAAGGGGTATTTCATTATGTTTAACACTTGATTTTTTGGGAGGATATCAGAAAGGCCAGCTAATAGTTTTCCTTGTAAAAAATGGGTTAGATATTTAAGCTTTCCTGTATTTTAATTAATTTTCCATGTTATATGATAAATCCTTCTTGATGCTGATCTCTTGTATAGGTGAACTATTTTTTGCCACAGCACATGCTAGAAGCATTGGTTGTAATACTAAAATAAGATGAAGTACAGTATTTGTCTAATGATTTCATCTCTCTGTAGAGATTTAAGAGCATCACTAGAAGTTGCAATCAACAATGTGCTGGAGTTATTAGGCCCAGAAACTCCTGCTGATAGTGACTACACTAGTGACTCTGAGGAGATGCCCATTATGTCTGGTAATGAAGAACTAACCGTGGCTGTCCGCAAGCACCTTGCTCCTGCCCTGAGAGATCTCATACAACATGGACTAATGCCTGTAAGCTGAAATTCACGGTACAAGTAATGAGCTTGCATTTTATTTTCAACTAAATCCTGTTTAAATTCTTCAATTTCTTCTGATAAAACATTGCTCATAATATAGTAGGCTTCTGATGTACCTTGTTCATCACTTCTAAATTAATGTAAATTTACATTTGTACAACATCTATAGCACTGAAAACAAAACAATCTATAGTGTAATTGATGCACAATGTGGGCCTCACCTGGGCTGTTCCATATTGGATCTCCTTTGAATTCTTATTGGTGACCTTTCGGTTATCATTTTACACGTGTTGTGTACACTTTTTTTTTATTACATTCTGCACTTTATTACGTACTGTATTGTTGGGAAGTGGTTGAAGTTTGCAGTGATGATGTATATAGATATGTACTATATAAAATGGGATATATGTCTGAAGTAGGAGGCTATACACTTGGGGCTAGCCTAGCCTAAGTTTCCCAAATGCATAATCCCCCCCCATGTTTCGAGTATCATAGGCCAGTTGGGGGTTGGCCCAGGTGGCATGCTTTAAGAAGTATTGATATCTTGAATGTCCCCCCCCCCCACCACTATTATCCTGTGATTTTTCATGGTCTGAAATAAAATCACGTGTGTTTTTTGTTGAGTTTTTAAGCTGTTTTTCAATGTTTTGTAATATTAAGTATTAAGTTCTGAAAGCAATGGGGAGGAGGAAGAGGATGGATGTCAGGGGGGGGAAGGGGAAGAAGACAGGTGAGAGGGGGAAGATAGGGGAGAGAGACCCCCAGCTGCAGCTAGATACCTTATCTAGTGTAGTTACACAATTCCCCTCTCTGGTAACAGGAGACCTGTACTCGGGCTCATATCAAGGCCCTTCCCCCATTCCCTAGGCCAGCTACTGACCTTCCCCAGGATGCATCAGTTGCCTTACTTCCAGGTACCTATTCACTGCTAGGTGAACAGAGAGGTGAAAAGAAACCTGCCTAACAATTTCTGACTTGCCCAAGGACTGAACCCGGGAATCACCAATTGTGAGTTGAGAACGTAGACCACTGTATTACAGGACCCATATATACGAGATATAAAAAAATTCGCCAATGAGTTAGACAATGTGCCTGACAAAAGTTTGCATGGGTTTTGTCATACAGTAAACCTTGTAGGCCACATCCATGTGCTGACCAACCATGTTTATATTTGTTTTCTGTATTTTGGAGAGACTGTATGCTCCATACTGCATTTCTGCACAGATCCATCTGCTTCGTGTAATACACTTTATGGAGCGCATTAGGTAATTATGAGTCTTGATCCAGCTGCCTGGCTGCTCCCTTTGACCTTGAGGCATACTCGGTTTCTAATTAGGAGCCAGTCTACTGCTACTGGGTATTTCATGATATTAGCTTTATTTTCCCATTTGTTTGTATAATTAGTATATGGACATTACAACTAAACACTTCTGCCAATTTGCAGCCACAAATACATAATGAAGTGCAGAATACCTGCGAAGTTCCATTATGCATGATAATCCAAAATGAGTTAAAATGTAACATTTTGTAAATAATTGTTAACTCCTGTAATGTATTGTTATATCTGATGTATAAGTCCATTAATATATTGCTGTGTCTTTATCCAACATAAACATACGTTGCATATTATAAAGCTCATAACATTAACTCATGATTTTGATCATAACTTTTTATTACGAGATCTAATTAATTTCATTTGTCGTTTGTAATAATATCACAAGTAAAAAAAAAGAGTTGATACAATTTTATTTTTGCACAGGTTGGACAGAGCAAGAGTTTGGTTCCTTTTCTCTCATGTTTCCCACAACAATCACAGAAAGCTGCCAAGCTCATGCACGCATGGGACCTCATTCTCAAATATTACCAATTTAAAAAGGGAGACCAGTATAATCGAACGCCAGCTAGAAGGCTTAGTCAAGTAAGTTAATTTATCTTACCGTAGTATCCACAGTTCTATCCACAATAGTGTATAGAATACCGTACTTTACTGGACATAATACCGAACAAATGGGATGGATTTCAAGTTGTGGAACATGGATTTTTTTTTTTTGTATAGAGTAAGAGTTTAAATTTAGAGATGCTCGTGTGGAAGAAATGAAATATTTTAATATTAAAGGGGGGGATAATTGCTTATAAAAAAAGGGTTTGTGGCATTATTTTATGAACTTTTTGCAGAGTTTCAACTTGGAGATTACTGGTGGGTCGGCCATGACTAACAAACAGAGTCTTTTAGGGGTCATCGGAAGTATAATTTCTTCACATACACCACTAAAGAGGAGCTATGACTCACATTTTAAGGCCTTTGTGTGTGCTGCTCTTAAGTAAGTACCATTTACTGTATCTTAGAAATTATGAACGGAATGCTATTACTAAATATAATTGAGATGATATTCAGTTAGTGGCACCCTTCCAATTATGTGAAGAAAATGAATATTGTACTGTGCAGAAAAAGAGAGATTATGATTAAATTGTCTCCCTTTTGCTTCATCATCAGTCAGAAGAAGTTGATAATCTGGTTGCGTCTCATTTTCCGGACTCAAACGTTGACAGAAAACTATTACCAGTCTTGGAGTTATGTCGGCAAAACAGGTACACGTGACATTCTGTTCTCTTTAGTCCTGTCTTGATCACAAAGCTAAGACATTCTTTGAACTTTGGTACATATTTTTATAAAGATCCAAGACATGTTCATATTCAAAATTCAAATTTTATTTTGTAAGAATATTGTGGTGTACATTTGAATACACTGTACTGTAAATGCGCATTGGAACATATACTTTAACCACCACCTTTTTTTTTCCAGGTTTTGAAGATGCCTTTCGATCATTGGAGAGGTTAAATAAATACAATTATAATCTACCGATTGACTTAGCAGTTCGACCATTTCAAAACATTAAAGATGCATTCTGATCAAGTCGTAAACAGTCAGAAAACGGGGAAAACAACTTGTGGAGTCGAATTTCACAAAATTCAGAGTATGGTCTTCCTATGGTAAGGATTTAAGTTGTCTACTTGTGCACATTTGCATTGTGCTTTATAAAAAAAAATCCAAGAAAATAGTTTTTAGTGTTATTAAAGCAAAGTTTTGGTAACCATCACGTATAGTAGTTAATAAATGATCACACTTGCTGCTGCTTTAGCTAGAGCACAAGAATAAAAAATAAATTACTAAAGATAATTACTAGTATTTTTTAAGACATTAACCTTTTTATCTAAAAAAAGATAGGATTTCCTTTTTATACATTTATACAATGGTATATTATTTTGAATTATTTCTTAATACTTCTGCCATGACTATTTGTAAAAAAAAAAAATTCTTTGTCAGTTATCCAGCCAATAATGCCCAAAACATTTGACCCAACAATTTCCCATCAAAACGGTTGCCTTTTATTATTAAGATAGTGGCCATTATGTGTTGTCCAACTGTTTTTGAGCATGGCCCTTTCCAAAAGGGTAAATTGTTACCATAAGAGCAGACCTTCACATGGCAGTCCACTTTTTGCTCACTGTTGTGCTGGGATGTAGGTCAGTATCTGCAGTTATTAATTACAAACTTTTCACCTCCAAAGTTCTTCTCTTACAAAATGAAACAATGAAGTCATGATTGTGGTAAATATAGCTTTGAAAACATTGGTCAGGGTACAACAGCATAAATAACCCAACTGGAAGATATTAGGATTCTCTTCCTTTAATTATAGTGCCCCATTTACATTTATTATTATTTAAAATTTCATTAAAGATTTTACTGAACCAAATATCCTGCAGTAGAAAATTATTCACAGTACATTAAAGGAGTCTAGCATGAAGGCAGGCATACATATTTATACTTAAACTTGGAAGAAGGGGGCATAGTTCATCCTGAATATAAAATTAAATATCTGCATTGTTACAGGCAGCCATTAAAGTTAGTATGAGTAATCGGATATAACAATAGTGTTAATTATAACAGACTATACAATTGAATTCTTCCAAACTTAAGATCCACAAAATGTATTGACCATCTAAACAAGTGTTCAAGTGTGAACACAGTACTGTATTTCCAAGGAAAACCTGAAAATGTTGGTATGTAAAAATTTCCAGCACTTGTAATGTAGAGTATGCCAGCAAGCAAGTCTAGTTACTCTCTAGATGCTGTAGATTTTGTGAAAAGTTTACCATACTACAGATACTGTTGTGTGATGAATGACTATTAAGTTAAGCACTATGCCAGTATCATGTATTCATGGCAAATGGTTGGATTCACTGAAATGAAAATATAAATCATCTAGTCTGACTTTCAAAGGTCATTATTATTTAACTTTATTTTTGTGAGTGTGTTTTCTTTAACCAGTACTCATTCAGAGGTAGATTGTTAATTATGAATGCTTATAAATATATGCAAGTTATATCTCCATTCTTATAGAAGCGGTTGTGTTCTCTGTGCACTGTTGGAAATCATTTTTTATCACGTATAGTGTTACTGCTAAATTGTAATTGGAATATTACCACAAGTATGGTTCTGAAGCCATTTTAACAAATGTCCCAGACAATGGAAATTAAAAGCCAAAGTTATGTTATTGAAGTAAATATTTGTTTTGTCTAATTTTTTAAATGCATTCAGTTTATTAAAAAAAATCTTTAAGTACTACTGTAGTAAAAAAGACGGTAGTATAAATGGAAGATAAAAACTTGACAAAAAAAGTGTTTAGAATGCATCACAAGTGCACCCTTGAGGAATGAGAACTTCAGCCTACTTCACCATTTCTGTTCCGAGCCTTTGAATGAGTTTGGTGGTAGATGCGGTAGCTGAACACCAGATGCCATTGTTGTGATGGTTTCATGTTTAGTAAATTGTATTTTGACAATCTCTGAATTTCTCAACAATTTAAAGTGCTCTGGGTTGGAAGCTCTGTGGAGTTACTGAGAAGGGTTCACTCTAAAAATACTGTTAAGTACAGTACTACTTGCTCTATAATGAAATGAGTCTTTTTGTGCAGTTTTCCCCATTTATCTGTTTTCTAGGGGTTTTCTCTGGCTCAAGAATGAGTCGCGGGATGTGGCTATGACTGATTGACAGCACTGCCATCTGGTGGAGGGAGATGGAAGATGCAATGTGGTATTTCGGTTATTTAAAATAGTTTTGAATTGTATTTGGGATTTAATATGTAATACCAAACATTTGTCAGTGTTTGAGATTTTTTGTGACCCTCTGCATTTTTTTTTCCTCGATACGTGGTATTGTATTGAGCTTCCCCACATGTATAAGACAGTACAGTAGGATTCTGCTTCCTTCTCTCATTAGACCTTGAAATAGTCTCATGTGTTCGGCGAGTTATTGGCCTAGAGGGACCAGTAACAGGTTTTTCATTAAATGCATATTAGCACATTACATAAAATACTGGCATGTTTTAACTGATGCTTCAGTTATAAAATGTAAATTAAAAACATTTCTTGTTTGGTGGAAAGGGTTGCCAGAGAAAATCTTCCATTTAGAAGTTTTTGATTCATCAAGCATCAGTTATGCTGCCGCTATAGTTCGTATTTGATTGCAAGTTACCTTGTAAAACTTGCATTCTGATTGCAAGTTACCTTGTAAAACTGGCATTCTGATTGCAAGTTACCTTGTAAAACTGGCATTCTGATTGCAAGTTATCTTGTAAAATTAGCAAATGCTACTTTTCTAAGTGACAATTTTTGTTCTTAATTTACCTTTAGGACTAAAATTGATTAGGTGCATGAGGTTGCTTAAACTAGTCAATAATTAAATGAATATTAACCTTTTGTAGGGAAATAATTAACAATTTTAATTTTATTAAAGTAAATTGTGATGTATTTTAGGAATCTCTGAATTTGTTTTAAATGGCTGTGAATCTGTAAATACTTACTAGGCTATGAATAGTAATTTGTTTCAGAAATCTTAATAAAAGTAATGTACCGTGTTTATAAAATATGCCGGCTCTGGTTAATTTGCCATTCCGATAGTATTTCTTACTTGGGGAAATTGGGTTTGGGGCCCAAGAACTTGAACCATTTAGGTTATTCACCAATATTCACCTTGTGTGTATGTGTTATCTTTATTTATTTGTCTGTGTATTTATATTTGGAAAAGGGCCTACTTGACCTGAGTGGCAAATGAGACTATTTCTATACATAACCATAGCAACTATACCTCTATGTTTTACCAGCTAAGGATGTTGGGCTGGTCTTGGGGAGAGGTAAGATGTTTGACCTCTCCCAGCTGCTCGGCAGATCACACTGATCTCTTCCTTGTCTGGTCTACCCCAGACAGAACATTGTATCCTTCCGCCTAGTCAAAGTTTTACCAAGTTACTAGCCAGGTTTAAGTTATAACAATTAACCTCTGTTTGTACTGAATTGATCCAGACTGGTTGAATTATTTTACTGAAATTAAATTACACAAACATCTAACGGCAGAGCTGTTCCCGATCCCCCAAAAATGGATAATTGAACTTTGAGAAATAGTAGACCTGTCAACCCTGCTGACCTATGACCGCCGGTCACTCCGCCTTACAAGTTAGATCTGATTCGTGACGTCACTGATGGTGACTTAAACTCAATAATTAGAATACTCTTGATATTGTACCCAGTACAGTGTACCCACCCAACACACGACGAAACTACGATGTTACTACAATGTTTGAACAAGTTTTAACACCTAACCAGTTGTAACAAGCAATATAGCAAGTTGTAACAAAGTTCTAATACATCATAAAAAAGATGTATCGACTTTATTACAAGATGTAATCAGCAGAAAATAGGGACAGTTACGTTGTGTGTGTTGGCAGGGTATGCATTGCTGCCTCCATCGTTAGTGTGACCCAGGGAGCACAACGTAGAGGTAAGAGAAGGTCTTGGTCTCCTTCAGTATTATTATTATTATTATTATTGAATCTGATATTCTACAAGATATTAATACAAGAAAATAAGTATGTGTACTGATCACTACACAGAGAAATTCCTGGACAGTAAAGAAAAGCTGAAGACTAAATTATTTTAGTACTCCATTTGTAAAATGTTATTACTGGAGGGCACTTTATTCTTGAAATACATAGCGCCATCATTTAATAGTCTGCTCTCGTATCTAAATATTTGACTTGTAGTTTACTCCCCAACCCTGAAAAACTAACAATAGTGGGATTGAATGTCAAATATTGATATGTAATACTATGTGGGATATACAATCATAAGAGCATGAAGATATTTCTGTGAATATAGCATTGTTTGTATGAATAAATGTTGCCACATTAATACATGCTGCTGACAACATCGTGTATTGGATTTAGTGAAATCATAGTTAACAGATTTTAATTACTTAAAAATTAATGTTTGTAGGTTATAGAGATTCATCTTTCAAACAAACATATCAGTTCTGATGTTTGAGAAAACTGCAGTAATATTTTTTATTGGTTATACTGTACTCCACACCACTTTAAAAGTGGTCTGAATTTCCACTCTCAATAACATTGTTTTTTTATGTGTTGGGTTAACATCACACGTAATACATTTCTATCTGCCAACATTGATAGTTTTATTTTATAAATAAATAAATAAATATATATATTATATATATTTAATATATAATATATATATTATTTAGATAATAAAATACTTTGCATTAATGTAGTTAAAGCAATATTATTGTATTTAAAACTACATCATAAGTGCTGAATAACCACTTGGTTTTAGTGCTGGACTCCTGACCTGATCCCTAGTTATAAAATAGTAAAAAAAAAAAAATAATAGTGCAGGGTTAATTATGCATCAGGATATTGTCTGCCTTTGTGTTGTAATAGTTTGACAAAAGCTGTGATATCACTTTATCATTCATCTCATTTACGTGGAGTCGGCCGACGGGTTACATTTAAGGTCTGTCGTTTGTATTAAAACGGTGAAAATATTTTTACCGTTTTACACTTAATTTTATTCCCAGATATGACAAATCGTGAGAGGTTTTATTTCTACAAATTTTAAATCTGATTGCATATAGCCTGTTAAAAATATTCCTAAACAAATCATACCACAATACCATGCTTACATACGTGATGAGCAACTTAAACATTCATAGTTGCTGAATTTTGTGAAATTGCTCATCATAAGAATTCATCATCAGCCCTGGAATATGGCAATTTAAATTGTGGTAACTGACTTTATTTTCATGTGTGGGGAGTTGGGTGTCTAATGGATACAATGTAACAATTTTGAGAATACCTGTTTAGGTAAGTTAACTACTGTAGTTCTTTGTAAACATTTTGAGCAAATACTTGCATTTGATGACAGAGCCTGTACAGATATTCATTATAATATGCCAAGGAGGTTTTCAGTCGGCTATCCTGTTCTGAATGTGAATTTCCTTTGTATGCAATTATCAATAAGCATCTTAATGTTTGCAATATGCAGTTCAAGTTTAGACCTTGTATACCAAACACGTTATGGTAATTGTGTGTACACATATAAAGAATTATGGTCCTCTGATATATTGTAGATATAAATCTAAAAGACCTATAAAATTAAGTGTTACTTAGTACTCCGATGAAAGTTTACTGGGTATTACATTGTTTCTAACATTTATTGTCTGTATAGGTACTTGTATATACTTGTTTTGAGTCGTTTATTTATTATATAGCTAATTTTTTCTAGAAATATTTTATTTTTAAATGACAACTATATAGGTACTATAATACAATCAACAAAATAGGTGTGAGAGAGAGATGGAAGTTGTGTGTGATGTGTAGGATAAAGGGTATTGATGAACTTTGATAAGTGCATAGTGATGATGGTAATTCTCATCAATTTTATTGTGAAGGTATTGCAGACAACCAACATATTTTTAAGGCTTATTAAGTTCATAAGTCGCATAAAGAAAACCCATAAGTGCATCTTGGCATCCAGTCTGCAGATATACAGGACTAGTTCCCCAAATGAATTGATTCATATATGTATCACTTGGTTATCAAGTTATCAGGTGAGGAATGTGACATAAGGAGAAGTAACAAGGTCACTGTTGCAACCTAATAATTCATTAGTAGATTAGGAAAATAGATACCTGGTACACAGGACATTTATAAAAAGATTGACAAGAAAATGCTTTTCTGCATTTGAAGATGTAGCAAATACATTTGTGTTTAAGATTACGCTTCGGTTCTTTTGCAGAACGGGTAAATGCTACCGCCTTTTACAATTTATAGTGCAGCAATTTCCAAAAAGCCATGAAGAGATTTGTTATTAAACTTTAGATGTATAGCTCATAAAAAGTGATACACTGTACATAGCATCTAATACCAAGAGTAGACCAGTCTTTCCTTTACAAAAGTGTCTTATTATTATTCCTAGATTGGGATAATTCAGTGATGCATAAAGTTGAATGTTATTTGTGAAGGATATATTATACCTCAAGAAAGTGTTATTGAAAATTTGTTTATTAAAAATTTAGCTCTTTCTATCCACTTATTGTATCAACTATGCTCTCTGCAAGATATACTAGTCATCATCACACACTGGAATATATTGTCTTGCCACATAAATATACAACATATAACACATGTCTTATCACCTAATTATACTTGTGAGAAGTCATTAATTTATTCAGAAGTACTGCATGTCAGACTACCTCCATTCAAGATCTCGAGTATATTTCATGTTGGATTCCTCACTGGTCATCATTTAATCAGTCATATAATCTGAATGATGTGTGTGTCATTATTAATCTACTCCAAAAGTACACTGCATGGTAAGTATATGACCTACCCATTGAACTAACTGCATGCGATATATGTAAATACCTTCACCTACATATTCAAGTATACCTCGTCCAAGTAAACTGCATGTTGGTATCAATTAATCTTCAGAGTATGGAATCTTTCCATGTCTGTACAGTCTCTATTTTCCTTGGCAAACTTGCACAGCTACCATAAAATGCATGATGTTTCTACAAATGATGTAAAGTTATATATAATCAAGGCATTAGTGTGTTGTCGAATACAGTATAGTGATATATCGGTAAAGATAGTATTATGTACAGTGCTAGCATGCCTTTAAAGTTGCCCTTAAGAGATTTAATTTTGAACAGACTAATCCCTCCTTTGCACCTACCTTTGGGTTTTAACCTCTGTAAATATATTTATTGCTACAGTATTGGTTTCATGTTAAATATATATTTACTGCAAGAGATGACAACTTTATTTAATATCCCTACTACAAAAATAATTATGTACTGTAATTAATACAGTATTAATTTAAAGCCATTACAAAAATGTGATGGAACTTACATAGATGGGTATAGTGTTAATGATATATTTTGAGCAAAATTAACAATGTTTACTAGTTTAGAACTTGCTAACCCAAGTTTATGGGTACCTTGGCCAAAATCACTTTTTGAACAATAGTGTCTTACAGTCCAGTCATTTATATAATAATCACATTGAATCAATGGCCAGGATATTTGCCTACATAGCCTGACATCTTTTTGCTCTAGTATAGACATCCTGAGTGATATTTAGGATGTTTTGAATATCCCACAACACTGCTAAATGTCCAAGTCTGGCTTGATCCTTTCTTTTAATAATTACCAACATGCAAGCTGGCATTTAAATCTATGAAAAAAATGCTTGCATTCTATTCCATTAATCACATGATTAACACATGGGCAGTTGATGGAATAGAAGCCTGCACTTTGTCAGAACTGCATTGTCTCAATAATGGTCTCGCACCTTGTAGAATGTTCTAATTTTCAGAATTGGAAATTTTGCCATTCCCACTGTTCCTTAGTCACTGGGGGGCAATTAGACTATTTATCCACCTGTCTTGTATTTCTGCTCTCATAATGGCATCCTGAATGATGTACAGAAACTATTGAATATTCTGCTAAAGAAATAAGATGCAACCAACGTTAAACTTGCATTACCATATGATTAGAAAGTTAAAAAGATTCCAGTCATTAATGCATTTAGTTGATTAATGAATATTGACTAAATATTACCTACCTTGGAGCATATAAAATCACAAAGCTCTTTTGTAAATACTGCTATTCAAGGGAAGGGATGTTCCCAAAGACACAATCGCAATAGAATGGAATGCACAGCTGGTAATTAATTGCAACTGAAGTTCAAGTTCAAATATGTTTATCGAGACAATAAGATACATCTCAAAAGGACAGAGAAGAGTAACCCCACTACAGTATGTGGATAAAGTAGCAAAATGTGCAATGCAAACACATAATTGCAAGGAAAGATATACTATTCATACAGTGGGCTGGCTGAAAGATGCATAAATGGCTAATGTTGATGAATATGGGTGGGTTCCAGCAGGCCTGCAACTCAAAACGGCCCAAATTAATGAAGAGCCAGACGACAAATCCCAGGTGACAGGAAGCCAGCTATCATGGGGCACAAGTGTTGAAGACCAGACAAGCAAACTTGGAAAACCAGCAGGAGATTGGCATCCACACCACTCATTGCAAACAGCCTGCCAGTGAGCCTGTTCCCAAATGCAGCCACAGCCTAAAAGGCCATTGTATAAGAAGACCACGAAAGACCAGTGCCAACAAACAGAACATGTTTGAAATTAAAAGGATCCAGAACCCAGCAGGTTGCATGATGGAGGCAACAGGAATGACTTTAAAAATGCCAAAAACTCGTGTAAAAAGATCTGCATACAGCAGGTTCAATAATGGAATCGATTGAGACAGGCACAATAACCCAGCCAAAAAAACACAGTACAGTATCAGATGAACCCCACAGGGAGAAGGAACTTCAGTAACCAAACTGGACACAAAAGGTAGACACAGATGAAGTGTCTCAGTGAGGCAGACGCTCTGTTGATTGACAGTTGAGAGGCGGGATAGAGCCAGAGTTCATGCCCTGCAAGCACAATTAGGTGAGTACTGAACCTTGACCTTGAACACTGGAAAGGAAGGGCGCAAATAGCCACATACAGTATCTTGAAAATCACTTGTGCAATGAAAGAATGCCCTTGCTTAAAGTGCATGGCCCCTAACACGAGCAGGGTCAGTATAACAGGCAGGTCTTTAATGTGCAAAAGCACAGTTCCACAATGAATGAATCTTCTGCACAGCATGGACGCTACGTGACTAGAAGAATTAGCTCGTGGAGGAGGTACCTCTGATGGGTTATAGGAAAATGCCAGCCAACCTCAGTGGGTGAGAAAACCCACTGTCGGATATGGAATTTTAGGGCACATGCAATGTAGGTGGCATAATCATTAGCATGAAGTTTAAATAAAAACAAACAAAACAATGGCCCTTGACAGAGCTAATGTTCCAGGGGAAACCAACACCACTTAACTAAAAGCTAGAAGCTGATGATGGGCACAGCCAAGGGCTACTTGTGTTGCACTGGCTACTCGAGGGGAGGTAGACTAGCAGAGATCACCTATGTTGCAATCTGAAGGCAATCTGGTGTATCATGGCACTTGCCTTGTTTAATTGGTGTCTAATTTACTGCAAGCAGTCGCTTGGTCTGTTACGTCTATATTTTCTAGTGAGCTTTTCCTAGTTTAATCGTTGGTATACAATGCAGTTACTCACTTTTATACCTGGAAACTAGAGTGTTTTCTGCATGAGCTGCCAGGCTTTGATGGATGTGTAGGCCTGCGGGTTGCTCCTTGGTCCAACAGGCTGTTGCTTGCTTTCTCAAATCAAGCCTGGCCCTGGGCCAGGCAGGGAAGTAGAAGAACTGCCAGAAAATCATCCAAGTTTAATCCAGGTACTGTTATCGGGTGATATATTACCTTATCTATGCCAAACGATTTCAGTTGCAGAACCCAAACTCGTATTCTGATGGCCAGACGTCTGGATGAACATCCCAGGATGTTGAAACAATTGTTTTGATGTACTATATTTTAAAACTCTTCATTACAGTGAAATTTTTTGTTATATTATACAGTAATGAACTATACTTTTACTTTACTGCATAAAATGCTTATCAAATTTTGTTGGCAATAGATAATAAAGGGATTGCTCAACAAAATGGCGAGTAAATTATCTATTTTACATTATATTGTTAATATTATAAACATATTTATACCTGTACATGTGCTGCATTTTGTGTAAATGTGCACAAGTATGTGTGTGTGTTCATTTTCTGTAAACAATAATTACACTAGCAAATTTCTTAAAATCATACAAAGTATTTATTTGTCTGGAAGGATGTACAGTAATTCCAACTTTTTTAGATTGCACTATACAGTACTACACTTATTTTTATTTATACAATTTTACCCATGTTACATTGAAAATGCAAACAAGCCAACATCTATCAAAGTCTGAATATTTTTCTTTTGGATTTGATTTGCTGTCTGGAAGCATCTGTAATGAGAAAGTCTATGTTAGATGGAGGTAAACACTGGAAATATATAGTACTACAGTACAGTATATAGTATTGTACTATACATAATTTTCTTAACATTTCTCTTTTTTTTTAAGTAAGAGTGCATTAAATTACACTGTAACCAGATGCGTTTAGGATTGAGACTTCTGAAATAAACTACGGTATACAGTCCATGTAATTGGTTACATATTCTCTAATACAGCATGTATTCATGTAAAAATACGAATAAAATATAATTTAAAATTACAAAATACTTACAAGATAAAATGCATTGCTTCACTTAAAGTCAAAACATTCTTTTAGTGATACAGTACTGTAATGTTGTTTCATACGTTACATATCAATTGTAATCATTCATGATATTCAGAGTACAGTATTAAAACAGTTCTGGATTCAATTAAATTTGGAAGAATACTTATAAAGTTTTAGTTAATCTCCTCTAAACCTTATTTGCTTTTTTTCACCACCTGATTGGAGTCTTGTCATTATTTCTATAATATCTGATTCAGTCATGTTTTGTGCAGTAGGGCATATCAAAGCACACCACACTCTTTGGGATGCCACTCTTGACTCTAATTTTTTTTAATTAATGTGGTAACTCCGGGGATATGTATAAAGCGAGCGATACCTCACAGCTCACACCATGTATAGATCCACCAACTGAACAGTTTTATCTTCAAGACTAAGATAATACCAGTAAGCAGTGAATGAGTACTGGTTTCCGAATGTACTGTAATATACTGTAGCTAATATGCTATGAATGCAATATACTGTAGCTAATATGCAAAGTGACTGTAAACTGTATTTATGGATTTGTGAAGAGTAGGTCTTGGAAAAGGAAGAGTAGATAATATTCAAAATTTAAACTGTTGATAATTCATATTTTTATATTAAAATTTGGCACAAGTGTTCCTGTGCAGATCACAATGACAAAGACGACTGTGGAAGTGTGATGCTCACCTGTGAACTTTATCATTTGCTCCCTCTTTCATATAGGTCATCATCTGCTGCACCAAGGGGTCTGACAGTGCCTCCTCTACGTGAGGATTTTTCAGTAACTCGCTAGATATCAACTCCTCTTCACTTTTTATACTACTATTCATATGTAGGAATGTATCACCTGAAATATACCAAATTCTCAATGATAAAAGAGCATGGTTTGTAAACACATTAAATAAAATACATTTACATACAAAATTTCTACAAAGTTCACTGGGATTTTATCTAATATTGATATTTATGATTTAGGTTAGGTACTAGAACGTGTTAGGTTATTCTGTAAGTTTGAATAGCCACAAGATATGCAGGATGGACAAGTCTTTTTTCTCTGATATTTCTCTAAATTCAACATTGAATGTAATGAAATACCCATTTCTGATGTGCCTGTCTGTCACTACATGGCAGTCCAGGTGACCCATGGTCCCAGTCAACCTGTGTCCCCATCACTGTAGCTGCACGAGTGAACGAGAATGGAGGAGCTACTGGGGGACCACTAGAAAAGGGCAGTTTATTACATTCACTGCTTGATTCTTGCTAGGAACCTTTAAGTACAGTAGTTCTTCGAGATTACTCAATGGGTAAGCTCGAGGAGCTTAATCTCAGCTTAAGCTTAATCTCAGTAGAAAAAGCAAGATTTCCTTGAAAGGGAAGGGAACTATCAGTAGAAAGTACAAAGCCATTCTGATTATATAGCATTTGGAAGGACTCAGGATAAGGATTTGAGATGGGGCAGGGAAAAGGATGCTGCCCAACTACTTGGACAGTCGCGGAAGGCACTATCATGGAAAAGCGCAAAGTCATTACGACTGTTTAGCACATGGAAGGGATGATCGGGGATTGAACACCGACCAGCAGGAAGCGAGATCGCCATTCTACCGTTCAGCAGGGCATGCCTGTGGAAGAGGAGCAGAAGACTTGGGCCAAGGAACAAGCGGACACTCTCAGAACAACTAAAGGAAGCTTTGAGCCAAAAATTCAGCCATGGACAAAATGACAAAGAAATATGTCAAAGTCACATTCAGCCACAAATCCCACATTGGGAACAAACACTATGCTGTCTGTATCAAACCATTACATGGAGGATTAGGAAAGGTAGGTTTTGGAACAAGTGCAACAAACATCCCTGACCCCCAACAACATGAGGATCATGCAAAAAATGCCACACTATGGCCAGAGGACAGAGTAGTAAATAATGGATCCATCTTGAGAACACAAAACTTGAGACTTCCAGAGAAATAGGCAAAGAAACAGCTTTCCCTAAATGCTACAAAAGGGGCTCCATCAAGGCAAAAGGCAACAGTATCGGCAGCAACCAGCAAATCAAGAAGAACCAGAACAGAAATTACAACTGCAACCAACACAAAGGATGGACACTGATGAGAGGAGCAGTCAGAAATTCCACCATTCCATAATGCAGTGCTACTGAAGTGATACACCAAGCGGCCCACCACCCAACTGATACTGGAGATAGAACACAAGGGGCCAAGAAACCATATACTGTACACAAAGATTGGCAGAGAACCAGGAATCAAATCTGAGTGTGCTACCAAACTATGGGTAAGAGGTGGAGCCATGGGAAGAAAAGGGGTCAAGATAATGAGAAGAAAGGGCCAGGAACTAGGGCCAAACTAGACATATGGGAGCTTGTAGAAGAACATGGCCCACAAAAGGTCCAAACCCAGTTAACACGAAAAAGCAACTGAACAGAGGACAGAGGAAGAGAGTAAGATAAGCCCCACATACCCCAAGCATCCTCTATGTGAACACTACACAATTCAGAAAAAGCACCCCAAAGATTGGAAGCCAACAGGACCACTTGGAAACAAAGAAGCCCACCCACATATGGCTAAATGGTTTACAAATGACTGCAGTATGTACATGAACAAGTTGTGGGAATATATAAATGAGAAGATCAAAGATGCCGTATGAATTTCAAAAGATTCAGAATGAAAACAAATGACAAGAGACCAGTCTTACTGTTACCTTGTGATGTTTCCTGGGTAATGCAAGCAATAGAAACATCACAAACATGTTGCTGAATAACCTAACTAGTTCCAGCACCTAAAGCCAGGCCTAAATACCAATATAACAACAAATACAGTTTAATGAATATCCAAGCGTAAGTTCATACCACATACTGTACATGTTTTGCTTACCCAAAACATTGCACAGTTCCTTCAAAGTACTTGTAACCTCTTTGTTGTCCTTGTATTTTTTCATCGCTGCCAAGGGATCTCGTTGAAATTCATCAAGTATTGGTATCCATGCTGGATCAGATATCACATCTCGTACATTTGGGTTTGCTTCCAGTCTGCAAGTTAAAATTAATATTACATACACATAATGCCATACTTCTGCAACATAAAGTGTATATAGTTAAAGTACCAGAAAAACAAATATGGTATCAAGTGGACTTAAACACTTCTTTTTGAGTGTCACCACAGTTGCTTCCCTAGGCCAGGGCCATAAGATAAATCCACACCACTCTGGGCACTAGATGACTTAAAGCTTCACCAAGACCACCAATGAGAGAAACCATTTGTTATGACACCAAAGACAATTACAAACTACTTGACAGCCCCTCTTAAGTTTATTATGACACATAACATAAGAGTTTTAAAAGTCACATGCAAACCAAGATATAATTCTATAGCTTTACTATCGCATAATTAGAAAAGAAAAAAACTGCCTACAGTACCTGATCTTAAATATTCTACAAGAAAATATTTGTGCCCTACCTGCCCTTCCCTACATGTGGAATAGAGTGAGATGCCAAGTGTTCCTAATAATCTAAAGTTTCCCAGTAGAGATAAAAACAATTGTTATAACAAGACAATTATATAGTTTCCCATTGTCAGGGGACAGGAAGCCTGTTAGGCTCATCAGTCCCTCTAGGCCAATGGCTGACTTTCCCCAGGATGCATCCCACAATAATTGCCTAACTCCCAGGTAACTATTGACTGACAAGTGAACAAATATGTTGGATGGTGGCAAATGTGCCCAAATGTTTCGTTTGGCCTGGAATTAAATTCATGTTCAATCGTTTGCAAGCCAATGGTCATCTTAAAAAAATTATAAATACAGTATCAAAAAATCAATTTTATATATATGTTATAATAACCTGTCCCCTTTAATTATAACAGTTCAATAATACTAAAATAACTAAAGGTGCTCACTATTTTAACGCTGCAATAAAAGTTTTCACCAAAACTTACCTCTGTCCTAACTTATCTTGAAACTCCATAGCATTATTAGCATTCATGGCTTCTTGAACTTGTTTAATAACAAGACTTGAATTTTCTGGACGGGCAGTTATCAGGGGAAGATCTTCAGCAGCTTGCTTGTCTCTTCCTAATGATCTATTACTTGTCTGTGATCTGCCACCCCCACTTTTCTTTTCCTTTGAAACATATAGTAGACAAAATGTTAAATATAAACCGATAAGGACAGTAATATCATGTTTTCCTATGATATTACCACAATATCTTGTAATGCTTCTATATATATAAGTATACAGTGTGTGAATCAAATTCACACACTGACAAGAGATAAGTCTTACTAAAAATGAAGCTTGAAGATAAATGAATGACTAGTCTTCACTAAACATTACTGACATTAATGTAATTTTTTACATACATTATGCTTGCATTAATTCACATTGGACTCTGTCATTTCATAAATCTCCCACAAAATTTTTCACCCACTTGCAATGCATATACAGTAATGCTGAATTACTTTATTAAATATATTATAGTACAGTACTTTATATACAGTATTCAGACAGGCTATGAACATGCATTATATTTTCACTACATTTTCTTACCTTTGTGTTACCTCCAAATAAAAAGCCTTTCTTCATTCCACAAAAATTTGATGAAGATTTCCGAGTTGAATTTTGGGGATTAGAAGAAAGTTTATTCTCTGGAGCCACAGGTTTTATAACGCCCCCATTCTCTGTAAAAGCTCGCTTCATCTGCTCGGCATTTTCTACTTTCTCCAAAACCTGTGGTACATCCTCCAGTGGTGGTGCTGGTCATAAAACAAATTTGACTAAATAAGTGTCAAGATATGGTAGTGGTGACTTTACTTAATTAAAGCTATATTATGAAAGGCTAATTATTATTTAATCATGGTACTATCATTTCCCATTATAGGGGGACAGGAAACCTTTTAGGCTTATGGAGCATTTCAACGAAGCTCGTTTTTTAAGCGTTAGGTTAGGCTATGCTAGGTTTGGTTGGATTAGAATACGTTGGGTAAGGTTAAGTAGGTTTTAAAATTAGTTGGTGAGCTGTCTTGGGTCCAATATGACATATATACCTTACGTAACTGAACCTAAATCAACACAACCTAACTTAATAACACGTATGTTTCTGATAATTAGGAAACGAGCATTGTGGAAATGCCTGTGTATAATTTCACCAATCCCCGTGTCACCTAGGTTAAGCACAGTTGAGTTCGGGCCAATATGTGGATGGGTGACAATGCGCACACAACAGCCCTGCCCTAGGCTCACTGGAGAATCTTGATAGGCCTTGCAGGTCGATAGGCCTTCCTTCTACAGGCCATGGCAATCAAGAGAGCACTACAGTACTGGGTTGCTCTACACTACAGCACTTGAGCACTAATCGGTTAAAAAAAAAAAACCTTCCCACCATTGGCTTGAAGGTCATATTTCACAGACAGGCATACAAAATTTCCTGCTTATTTATATATATACATTTTGCTACAAGGAACCATAGGGATACACGTAGCGGTAGAGTATAAGTGATAAAATAAAGTAATCTTAAAAAAATAGTAAGATGCACCGAGACAATTGTCAACACCTTCGTCCGCCATGGTGACGCCGAGCTGTTGCCATGGAAACTGTTTATAATACACATATGTTGTACAACAGGTATTTAAGTGATGTTCTTCAATAGTGTAATGAATTTGTCATTATATTTTTATTGGTACTGGTTTACATAACAGAGTGAAACCTGAAATGAAAAGTATACATTATGTATTTAAGTATACATTATGTAGCCGCCTTCAAACGCCATAGCAACTTCAAATTCATTTGACGTTTTGGAGGACGAGTGCTGTGGAGAGACTGTGGATCGCGCAAAAGGGAAAGCAACGAAGAGAAAGGAAGCGCAGGCCCCTCAGAAAGTAAAGGAAGTACCTAAGCAAACATTAGTTGTGGGAGATTCCCAGATAAGGTATTTGGATAGAACGTTTTGTGCTAGAGATAGGGGGAACAGGTTAAGGGTTTGCTATCCCGGAGCTGGCATTGGTGATATTATAAACAACATGAATGATATTATGGCTGGTAATGGGAACAATCCCATTATTTGCATTAGCGTGGGAGGAAATGATGTTGGTCGAGTCAGGAGTGAGGAACTGATTCAGAGGTATAAAACAGCCATAGAGTTAGTTAGGAGCAAGGGAGGAATCCCGATCATATGTGGCATTCTTCCAAGAAAGGGAGTGGGAAATGAATGGATATCGAGGGCACTTGGTGTCAATTGCCGGCTGGAAAGATATTGCAAATCAAATGCAATATCTTTCATAGACAACTGGGAACACTTCTATGGAAGAAATGAAATGTATGCTCGTGATGGGGTGCATCTATCGAGAGCTGGGGTTGTTGCTGTTGCGAACTCGCTAGAAGAAGTGGTTAGAGGTGTTTGTTTGGGTTTAAACTGTTAGTAGATAGAGGTATGGGAATTGATTTGGAGGAAGGAGGTAATAAAAGTATGTGTTTGTGGGAGAAAGGAATTGGCAAAACGATCAGGGAAAGAGAAGGTCCGCAAAATAACAATTCACTTAGGGTATATTACACTAACAGTAGAAGTCTAAGAAATAAAATTAACGAATTAAATGCTCTTGTCTGCACAGAAAAAATAGATATTATTGCACTTACCGAAACGTGGATGAATGTAGAAAATAGAGAACTATTAGCTGAATATCAAATATATGGATTTAAACTATTTCACACAGATAGATATATTATACGAGGAGGTGGAGTAGCCATATATGTTAGGGACAATTTGAAATGTAGTCTCAAAGAGGGAATCAAAACAGAGCCACACACAGAAACTATTTGGATTGAATTAAACGAAAAAGCTAATAATATTATAATAGGAGTAATATATAGGCCACCAAATTTAGACAGAATGGAAGCAAAGCATCTATGGGATGAAATATCTAGAGCATCTAGATCTAACAGTATTTATGTCATGGGTGACTTTAATTTTAGCGGAATAAACTGGTTGAACAAAACAGGGAATAGTGAAGCAGAAGATTTTCTAGAATTAATTGACGATTGCTTTCTTACGCAACACATTAAGGAACCAACACGGGAAAATAATATTTTAGATTTAGTGTTAACTAACAGGGAAACGCAAATTAATGACATCGAAATAGGGAGTGAGCTAGGGAGCAGTGATCACAAAGAAATCAGATTTAGCATAGAATGGAATAGACCAGTAGGAGAAAATTCTGTTAAAGTGCCAGATTTTCGAAAAGCTGATTTTAATAGCCTAAGAAATTTTTTGGGTCAAATTGATTGGAAAGGCTTGGGTATGGGGTGTGGGCCGGTCTTGGAGCGAGACATGAACCAGCGATAGGTGACTTAAATGGGGATTTCGATGTGGATTCAATATATAACTTATTTAAGAATATTCTAAACAAAGCACAGGAACGTAGTATACCATACAAATTGAATAGATCGTATACTAATGACCCAAAGTGGATAACAAAGAATTTGAAGAACCTTATAGGTAAAAAGAGAGCTTGGTACAAAAGGATTAAAAATGGGGAGGTCACTTTAGAACAGGAATTCGTACAACTGGTTAGAAATGTTAAAAAAGAGATAAGGAAAGCAAAAAGAAACTATGAAGTTCGCATAGCAGGGCAAGCAAAGACAAATCCTAAAGGGTTTTTTCAGTTATATCGTACTAAGACTAGGGAAAGGATAGGTCCATTAAAAACTGAGACAGGTCAAATAACAGATAGTGATGAAGAGATGAGTAGTATTTTTAATAAATATTTTGTATCTGTATTTACTAAAGAGGAACTTAACAATATGCCTTCAGCCAAACAAGTCTATGTGGGTGGGGACGAGGACAGGTTGACGAGTTTAGCAGTTACCAGGGAGGATGTTCTTAAACAAATAGTAAAACTCAAACCAAACAAATCCCCAGGGCCGGATGAAGTGTTTGCTAGGGTGCTTAAAGAATGCAAAGAGGAGCTTTGTGACCCACTGTCAACCATATTTAATAAATCAATAGAGTCAGGCAGAGTGCCAGAGTTTTGGAAAGTTGCTAATGTGATACCAGTTTTTAAGAAAGGAGATAGATCACTTGCGTCTAACTATCGACCAATTAGCCTAACGTCTATTGTGGGAAAGTTACTCGAATCTATAATAGCAAATAAAATTCGTCTTCATCTTGAAAAACATAAATTAATAATTGAGTCGCAACATGGTTTTATAAATGGCCGTTCATGTTTAACAAATTTGTTATCTTTTTATTCTAGCATTGTTGAGGCAGTTGATAGTGGTAAGGATTGCGATGTTGTATACCTTGACTTTAGCAAAGCTTTTGATACAGTGCCACATGAAAGACTGATTAAAAAAATAGAGTCTCATGGTATTGGGGGTGCTATATTAAGCTGGATTAGGGCATGGCTATACCAAAGGAAACAGAGAGTTAGTATAAATGGAATCAAGTCAGAGTGGGAAAATGTTGTAAGTGGAGTGCCTCAAGGCTCTGTCCTGGGACCTCTGTTGTTTATAATATATATAAATGATTTAGATTCAGGTTTGAGTAGCAACATTTGCAAATTTGCCGATGATACGAAAATCGGTAGGGAAATTAATTCGGAGGAGGACTCACTATCACTTCAAGTTGATCTAGATAGGGTTTTGAAATGGTCAAAGGATTGGCAGATGCAGTTTAATGCTGATAAATGTAAAGTTCTGAGGTTAGGTAATGATGATAGAGTTACAAGATACAAGCTAGATGGTGTTGTGATTGCGAAGTCGGATTGCGAAAGGGATCTGGGAGTTATGATTAGTAAGAATTTAAAACAAAAGGATCAATGCATAAATGTTCGTAATAAGGCAAATCGGACACTTGGATTTATTAATCGCAGCGTTAGTAACAAGACACCTGGTGTGGTTCTCAAGCTATATCTTGCTCTAGTTAGGCCCCATTTAGATTATGCAGTTCAGTTTTGGTCGCCATATTATAGAATGGATATAAATTCACTTGAACGTGTCCAGCGTAGGATGACTAAGTTAATTCCCCAAATTAGAAATCTTTCATATGAAGAAAGATTAACAAAGCTTAAGAACATAAGAACAAAGGTAACTGCAGAAGGCCTATTGGCCCATACGAGGCAGCTCCTATTCTATAACCACCCAATCCCACTCATATACTTGTCCAACCCGTGCTTGAAACAATCGAGGGACCCCACCTCCACAATGTTACGCGGCAATTGGTTCCACAAATCAACAACCCTGTTACTGAACCAGTATTTACCCAAGTCTTTCCTAAATCTAAACTTATCCAATTTATATCCATTGTTTCGTGTTCTGTCCTGTGTTGATACTTTTAATACCCTATTAATATCCCCCCGGTTATGTCCATTCATCCACTTGTAAACCTCTATCATGTCACCCCTAACTCTTCGCCTTTCCAGTGAATGCAACTTAAGCTTTGTTAATCTTTCTTCATATGAAAGATTTCTAATTTGGGGAATTAACTTAGTCATCCTACGCTGGACACGTTCAAGTGAATTTATATCCATTCTATAATATGGCGACCAAAACTGAACTGCATAATCTAAATGGGGCCTAACTAGAGCAAGATATAGCTTGAGAACCACACCAGGTGTCTTGTTACTAACGCTGCGATTAATAAATCCAAGTGTCCGATTTGCCTTATTACGAACATTTATGCATTGATCCTTTTGTTTTAAATTCTTACTAATCATAACTCCCAGATCCCTTTCGCAATCCGACTTCGCAATCACAACACCATCTAGCTCGTATCTTGTAACTCTATCATCATTACCTAACCTCAGAACTTTACATTTATCAGCATTAAACTGCATCTGCCAATCCTTTGACCATTTCAAAACCCTATCTAGATCAACTTGAAGTGATAGTGAGTCCTCCTCCGAATTAATTTCCCTACCGATTTTCGTATCATCGGCAAATTTGCAAATGTTGCTACTCAAACCTGAATCTAAATCATTTATATATATTATAAACAACAGAGGTCCCAGGACAGAGCCTTGAGGCACTCCACTTACAACATTTTCCCACTCTGACTTGATTCCATTTATACTAACTCTCTGTTTCCTTTGGTATAGCCATGCCCTAATCCAGCTTAATATAGCACCCCCAATACCATGAGACTCTATTTTTTTAATCAGTCTTTCATGTGGCACTGTATCAAAAGCTTTGCTAAAGTCAAGGTATACAACATCGCAATCCTTACCACTATCAACTGCCTCAACAATGCTAGAATAAAAAGATAACAAATTTGTTAAACATGAACGGCCATTTATAAAACCATGTTGCGACTCAATTATTAATTTATGTTTTTCAAGATGAAGACGAATTTTATTTGCTATTATAGATTCGAGTAACTTTCCCACAATAGACGTTAGGCTAATTGGTCGATAGTTAGACGCAAGTGATCTATCTCCTTTCTTAAAAACTGGTATCACATTAGCAACTTTCCAAAACTCTGGCACTCTGCCTGACTCTATTGATTTATTAAATATGGTTGACAGTGGGTCACAAAGCTCCTCTTTGCATTCTTTAAGCACCCTAGCAAACACTTCATCCGGCCCTGGGGATTTGTTTGGTTTGAGTTTTACTATTTGTTTAAGAACATCCTCCCTGGTAACTGCTAAACTCGTCAACCTGTCCTCGTCCCCACCCACATAGACTTGTTCGGCTGAAGGCATATTGTTAAGTTCCTCTTTAGTAAATACAGATACAAAATATTTATTAAAAATACTACTCATCTCTTCATCACTATCTGTTATTTGACCTGTCTCAGTTTTTAATGGACCTATCCTTTCCCTAGTCTTAGTACGATATAACTGAAAAAACCCTTTAGGATTTGTCTTTGCTTGCCCTGCTATGCGAACTTCATAGTTTCTTTTTGCTTTCCTTATCTCTTTTTTAACATTTCTAACCAGTTGTACGAATTCCTGTTCTAAAGTGACCTCCCCATTTTTAATCCTTTTGTACCAAGCTCTCTTTTTACCTATAAGGTTCTTCAAATTCTTTGTTATCCACTTTGGGTCATTAGTATACGATCTATTCAATTTGTATGGTATACTACGTTCCTGTGCTTTGTTTAGAATATTCTTAAATAAGTTATATATTGAATCCACATCGAAATCCCCATTTAAGTCACCTATCGCTGGGTTCATGTCTCGCTCCAAGACCGGCCCACACCCCATACCCAAGCCTTTCCAATCAATTTGACCCAAAAAATTTCTTAGGCTATTAAAATCAGCTTTTCGAAAATCTGGCACTTTAACAGAATTTTCTCCTACTGGTCTATTCCATTCTATGCTAAATCTGATTTCTTTGTGATCACTGCTCCCTAGCTCACTCCCTATTTCGATGTCATTAATTTGCGTTTCCCTGTTAGTTAACACTAAATCTAAAATATTATTTTCCCGTGTTGGTTCCTTAATGTGTTGCGTAAGAAAGCAATCATCAATTAATTCTAGAAAATCTTCTGCTTCACTATTCCCTGTTTTGTTCAACCAGTTTATTCCGCTAAAATTAAAGTCACCCATGACATAAATACTGTTAGATCTAGATGCTCTAGATATTTCATCCCATAGATGCTTTGCTTCCATTCTGTCTAAATTTGGTGGCCTATATATTACTCCTATTATAATATTATTAGCTTTTTCGTTTAATTCAATCCAAATAGTTTCTGTGTGTGGCTCTGTTTTGATTCCCTCATTGAGACTACATTTCAAATTGTCCCTAACATATATGGCTACTCCACCTCCTCGTCTAATATATCTATCTGTGTGAAATAGTTTAAATCCATATATTTGATATTCAGCTAATAGTTCTCTATTTTCTACATTCATCCACGTTTCGGTAAGTGCAATAATATCTATTTTTTCTGTGCAGACAAGAGCATTTAATTCGTTAATTTTATTTCTTAGACTTCTACTGTTAGTGTAATATACCCTAAGTGAATTGTTATTTTGCGGACCTTCTCTTTCCCTGATCGTTTTGCCAATTCCTTTCTCCCACAAACACATACTTTTATTACCTCCTTCCTCCAAATCAATTCCCATACCTCTATCTACTAACAGTTTAAACCCAAACAAACACCTCTAACCACTTCTTCTAGCGAGTTCGCAACAGCAACAACCCCAGCTCTCGATAGATGCACCCCATCACGAGCATACATTTCATTTCTTCCATAGAAGTGTTCCCAGTTGTCTATGAAAGATATTGCGTTTTGTTCTTATTTATTTTTTTCCCAAAAATATACAGAAGTTTAGTTGAATTTACCTGAATTTACAGCATATCACAAAACATTACCTATGATCAGACTTATAAAAATTTGTATAGCAAATAGTATAGACCAGCTTGAAATTTAATAAATGTAACCATCCTTTTTTAAATTAAGAATCTTGAACACCACGAGTACTCTTAATGATGCAATTATCTTGTGAGAGTGCCTTTATTGTCACCATGAGCAAATTGTTGTAGGAATACAGTGTGTTGTATGGCCTAGAGCCACGGCTGGAGGCAGCTTGAGCGTCCAGCAATCTGGGAAGGGAACTGTCATGGGAAAGCACCAAGCCATTACGACTATATAGCATTGGAAAGGGGTCAGGATAGTGATTTGGGATGGGACGGGGGGAAAGAATGGTGCCCAACCACTTAGACGGTCGGGGATTGAACCCCGACCTGCATGAAGCGAGACCATTACAACCCAGCTCCTGTGCCAGGTAAGTCCACTACGGGATCACCATAGCCCGTGCTACTTGGAACTTTTTGTTCCGAGTGAAATTAAATTTAAATTGAAATAAGTTTGAGGTAAAATGCACACAAAGGGATGAGGTAGCTCAAGCTATTCTCACCCCGTTCAGTACATCGTGTTAATACATACATAGATACACATGACAAACAATATACATATTACCGAACATTCTAAAGAGATAAACATATACATTTCCGAGTGGTTATATGTAAACAACAACAATAACAACAGGTGGGGGAGAGGGAGACAAGGTGGCTGCTGGCTGGCTCCCCGGCTCAGTGCTCCGGCGACAACGGAGGTGGGAGGTGCGCGTCGCAGCCGGTGGGTGACTCTTTACTACGTGTTTCTCCGCAGTCCGCACGTGGCCGGTACTCTCTGCCAAGCTAATAACTTCCCCGTGGGTCGGGGCAACGTGTTAGCTATTTGAGAACATTGTGACAAGTGCGTGGCCCCGCTAAGGGTTATATAAGCTCTCCTCAGGTTGGCTTTCTCGCCACTTTGAAGACACCTTCAACAGGGGTGATTACCACACATTTTGCGGGCTATTCATGCCCGTGCCACCTCCTGGTTGGCTTGATCTTAATCAATCGCCACACATTTGTCGACTTACAGTTTAATTCTACTGACTTTAATGAGGATTGACATCTGCTGAAGTTGATTATAAAAGTTTTCTTTAAACATAATTTGGTTTATATCGCTTAAAGACTTAACATCAGCGCGTGATATAGCCTATAGTTCGAGACTGCACAACCTGTATATATTAAACGTAAGGTGGAACTCCAGTTGGTTCAATTAGCAGGATCTGTGCGACCTGGCAACAGCAGTGTGTGGGCTTAGGCTCAACAGTCAACAATCAGGAACAGAAGAGTAAAATGTTGAAAAAGTTGACGTCGATTTGGAAGCGTTATAAGTACCGAAGTGTTCCCTGGCTTGCCTTCAACTTGCACAACAGGTAAGCGTCTTTTTATTAATTGGTTTTAATTTGTTTAGTGCTCACGATTACTAGTAATTTCCTTTATGTAATGTGTTCGTCTAATGTGCTTAAGAATAACCTAGTTTTCTCTATCCGCAAATTTAGTCTCCGTGGCGTAGTGGTAAAACGCTCGCCTGGCGTTTCGCGAGCGCTTTGTCCCGGGTTCGTATCCTTGAGGTTATCTTGAGATGATTTCGGGGTTTAGCGTCCCTGCGGCCCGGTCCTCGACAAGGCCTCCTTTTTGTTACACATCCCCAAAAAGCAGCGTGTAGTAGCTGTCTAACTCTCAGGTACCTGTTTACTGCTAGGTGAACAGGGGCATCAGGGTGAAAGAATCTGCCCATTTGTTTCCGCCATCACCGTGGATCGAACCGGGACCCTAGGATTAAGAGTCCAGAGCGCTGTCCAATCGGCTATCAGGCCCCAGACATCGAGAAATATATTACCTAATCGAGTTGAATATTCTAATACATAAGTTGACACTAATACATAATGTTCTAAGGTGTGGGCGTGTGGCATACTACATAATTTACACTCCTTATCTTTTTCACTGACATCAACACCGTATTGCCAGATATATTTGTATCCTAACCTTAATCTCATGTAAATTGAATCCTTCCAAGTAGACTCCTCTACCATAGGTGAAGGACGAATTTGTATTTATTATTAAATAATTCTTAAGTGTGTTACTACTGTCCACCATTGCCATTTTCTTTACCATTTCGGCAATGGTGGACAGTAGTAACACTCAAGACAAACGAGTGTCAAAGATTAACCCCAGAAGTTTAGCAGAATCCTAATACAAAAAGAGGATTACCATAAAGCAACAGAGGGGGTCGAAGAACGACCTGCTTCCGAGTAAAGGTCATAGCACAAGTCATGTAGAGAACTTGAAGCCATGATTGGTGGCCCAGGACGACACAGCATCAATCGCAAGTTGAAGCTGCCGTTGAAGGAAAGGCGAGTCATCACCTTGACAGCAGAGGGTAAGATTGTCAACATAAAGAGCAGAGAAAAATGTCAGAAGGAAGGGAGGAAAGAAGACCGTTGAGGGCAACCTGGAAAAGAGTAGTGCTCAGAACACTACCTTGGGGCACACCTTAGTATTGCCGTTTCCCATCAACCAATCAACGAGCAGCGTTGATTCAAACTGAGGCAGGTGGACGTCTGACCACAGTATCAGGGGTTTACGGGCTATTCATGCCCGTGCCACCTCTTGGGAGGCTTAATTTTTACCAGTCAAATCAATCAGCATCGGGAGAAAAAAATTAAGCCCACTCCAGTGCCAGTAAGTCCACTACGGGCTCAGCATAGCCCGTGGTACTCGGAACATTTTGTCCCGAGTAGTTGAATTTAAAACATCGTCAGCATCAGGGGTGAGGGGGCATTCTAACCACAACTCGTCAAGGAACATCACCACCTCTTACAAACCTTGGTCCTCACAGTCTCACCGGACGGATCTAAAAACAGCCGCTATCCGTGACCTTGCTTCTGCTCCCACCGGCACTCCTCAGCCTCGCTTACAGCTTGCTGTCATGACGCTGTCGTACGACGCAGCAACCACCGTTGTAACCATTTACATCATATATACTATATATCTAGTTACCATATTTTGTGTGTTTAATAACCTTTTAGGTACCTAAGTACCAGGAAGTTACTCTTATCTAATTTGTAATAGTCTCAAGCGGGTATAGTCACAGATCTCATACTAGCCTGGAGTATGTCACTAGTATACTATCCACTGCTCAGGAACAGATTAACACAGACAACCCCCCCCCCACACACACACACACACTACACACTACACACATTAGAGCCCAATAGGCTCAGGAACCTGTACACCTGTTGATTGACGAGGTTGAAAGGCGGAACCAAAGAGTCAGAGCTCAACCCCCGCAGGCACAACTAGGTGAGTACACTAGACATGTTTCAGTTAGATCGTTCATCTTCACTTTAGTGAAGCGTATGAAATATATTTGGATTATTAAACAATTTGACATAATTTGCATTTAATCAAGACTATATAATAACTTTATGAATAACATGTATGGACCTATATATTTTGTAACGGGCAATAGTTTAGATTTGTTTTCCTATTGCGAGGGACCACTAGGTCTGAAGGATTGATCCGGGTCAGCTCGTGAACTCGCCTAGTTGTTCCTTCAGGGATTGAGCTTCAGCTCTTGGCTTTGCTTGGATAGCTTTAAAACAAACGGTATGCCAGTGTACTGTGAGTATTCTTTTAATTCATGGGCTAGATGCTTAAATGATTTGTTAAGGTAAAAAAAAGAACACGGACTAGTTTATTTTGCACAAAAACCTCCTTTTTTTCATTATTAATAAATTACACTGAATTTAAATAAATCTCTAGCCATTACTTTAGCCACGTGTTACTATTTTTGAAAGTCTAAATGCAACGCACGCACATGCTCTGAATGCGGTCCATATATTTCCTGGCAGTGCGTGCCCATATATACCACACCTGCACGCCCAGTCCTCGTATATTCGTCGATTCGGGCTGAAGGTAGGGAAGCGTGTCCTCGGGCGTCGCTGAATATGTCAGGGGAGATATATGTGTTTTTTAGGAAAACTTAATTTATTTTAGGCTAAATAGTTTAGGTTCGGGTACCATAAATCACGTCCGGTGAGCGTTGGGTTATTTGGGGTTACGTCTACATATAGGTTCCTTGAAGGGAGTTATATTTAGCTCACAGGTTTGCTTTTTATATTGAATGGCAGACATTAATGACAATTTAGTTCATTAGCAAGATAGATTTCTACATAGAAGGAATACTGAGAACATACATGAGGCGCATATACATAGTTAAGCAGCTTAATTGTTGAGGCCATCTCAAAGCTTTCAAGATGTACTTCCTGGAAGTGAGACGAGAGAAAATTAAAATAAATATGCAATAGAAGATAGTGAAAGGCTATCTAAGTTTGCACAGCAAAATTACATACTCGAACCATCCAACGAACCTGCTTCTATTATACTACTCTGAAAACTGTTCATTACAACACTACCCAATTTCTAAAGCAGTATTTACCTAAATTATATTGCTAAATATAGACGTGTTCAAATTCACTGTTTCGTGTAAGTAGCATTTTCGATGTCCTCAACAATCTCCGATGTAACCTTGTCAAAGGTTTCGCTGCGTGGAACACTACCAGCAAATGTCGCACACTGGCGCGAGCACAGCTGTCACTGCTTAAAACAGGAAGAACTTGATGACCAATACGCGCGTGAGCGAGCATAATCTCCCACCTGCGACATCCAGGGATGAAACGCTAGCTATTTATATCTCCCTTAGGTTGTTGGGGACGACAGTAGCACCCCAGTATTGTTGCCAAGACACAAGGACAGGAAGGTAGTGCCCAAATGTGAGGAAACGCCTTGGGGGAGGCCATGGTGATCTAGGCAGTCTTGGCAACCTCATCAGCTCGCTCCTTGCCAGACACATTGACATGTGCCGAACACCACTGAAGTGTTTTGACGGCTACGCTTCGTCTAAAACCAACTACTATAATATTTCCTAAGCACGAAAATTAAACGGGTTAAGTTATTAACGTGGGTTGGACATGTATATGAGTGGGATTGGGTGGTTATAGATAGGAGCTGCCTCGTATGGGCCAATAGGCCTTCTGCAGTTACCTTTGTTCTTATGTTCTTAAGTTTCTAGGCCTTGAAGTACGCTCCGGAATCGCTTACAAAATTAGGCAGTGCATTAATTTAAGTTGTATGCCTAGGCACGCTGCTTCAGTTGTAGAAATATACACATAGAGCCCGTCCTCAGAGCAAATCCATTACCATGTGACCTGCCCCCTTTCAAATCACATGGATAGTTATCTAGATATTTGTGATGTTCTAAAAGCATATTACGGTTTCAGTAATGGTCTACATGTAAAATGAACCTTTGTCCCAAACAGAGATTATTCTCAAGTTATAACTTTATTGTATTATAAATCGTTGGCTCAAAATATAAAAATTATATACTTGAAAAGTTTTCTTTGGAGAATTTGGTATTCTGTAAACAGAATTCCTGGGTACACTCAAATAGTTTTTGAATTCCATATTTCACATCAATAATACACCATATTAATGTAACCAACCATAATGTCAGTTCATTTTGAAATATCAACTACTGGGTCAGTGATCCTCAAAGTGGATCACTGATCCAGTGATCCATCCGAATGAAACCATCTGTCATGGTTTCATTCAAGTAGAAACCATGGCAGATGAATGATTATCCATTCACAATGGATGAGCTCCAAGCAAGAAGGAAAATCACTGACACGGCTCCTGGGCAAAATATGGTAACATACTCAATGATTAAACAGTCTAGACAGCAAATAGTGCTCGTCCTTATCAATAAGTCTCATGTAAATGGAAAGCTTCCAAATAAATGAAAGGAAGTGATGACATTCCAATTTCCAAACCAGGATTAGTAGACAAATATCGCCCTTTCACTGGCCTTGTACAGCCAAGACAGCAGAATGAATTATTCTCGACAGACTCAAAGGGAAAATTGGCTTATTTCATCTATATATACTGGGATTCAAGGAAGGTGTAGGAGCACCCACCTGCCTTCCTAACGTTCTTGGACACCAAAATGCTAATTTCCTTTTCTTCCAACTTTGAAAAAGCTTTTGAGTTAAAAAAAACTCCATGCTATCCTACATTCGTTGATTGCAAAGGGAGTGATGATTAATTAACGTAGCTAGATGCATGATTAAACTCCATTAATTCCCATTAGAGTAACAAATCAAAAAATTTGAAACTATAATTGCTGCTATTTTTTTGAAGTACAGGATAAAAAGTCATACTGATTAACAACCACGTTCAACCTTTATCCTTCTGTCATCTTTATCTCCCCCCCCCCTTCCCTTTCTTACTTTGTATCCCTTTTATTGCCCACAATATATGATTTATTCCACATTTGTCGCCTAGAAATGTAGCCTAGTAATAACTTTATGGAACAAAAATAAATCTTAGAATAATCTCCTTTACAAACTGTGTGACCCATGAAACTAATTCACAATATCTGTTATTTTTAACGATAACTATAAAATAAACCTAACAATGTAAAGCAAAAGTATCTTCAAATCGGGTCACGTAAAAAGTTATTATTGTAGGGTTTGACTTGCAGAAAAGGAATCAACTTCAATGAAAACGGGTGGATAATATGTAGCTATCTCTGACTTGCTCTCTAGAAGGAATCAGTACATTAATGTAACCAATGGAATAGAAGAGCTCATGCACTCTTTTCCTTGCAGACTCAGGCACTCAACCCATGACCATGCATATCAAAGAAGCCTTCACTTATGATTATATATGTCAAGAAAGCCTACACTCATCAATATTCATGTCAAGAAACCTTTCAGAGCAATTTCTGTCTTTGAAGTCTCCGTTTACTGACAAGCACCTACAGTAAACCTTCGCGACGCGAGATACGGTGAACAACTTTCTTCGTCAATCTTGCCAAATCCAGACCTGTCAAATCTTCCACCCGGTGTTTTTCAAGCCAGCTGATGGACGCTGTACTTAAAGGAGTGAACCCACGTTTGCGTTCTGGGCTATAATATCTATAGCCTGTGACACCTCATGTTTTCCATAGTGAACCGTATGTGACCCTGACGGAGTTGTATAACCTGTGAATCCTACTATCATTTATTGTGATGGAGATCGTGGCCTGAAGTGATCCCCTTTCCTTCAACAATTTGAATGATAAGCTCAAAAATTGACCTGAGTATTATCATAATTTTTCGTAATTCCTGTCACTTAAACTGTTGCGGAATATGAAGTAAATTTGCAACTACCATTCACCGAGTTGAATGGCCTGTTATGACAACCTTGTTACCATTAATTGTATTTTAAGACCTCAGTGAAGCTACCCCCTATAATACCACAATTAAGATACGTATGATTTATGATTGAACCCTCAAAAATTACCATACAGTGAATTGTATGGCTTTCAGTGACCCTTGCATGCATAGGCTATGTATACATTGTATTCGGTAGCCTGTAATTTGCAAAAAAAAAAAACTACGGTACCATACATTGTGTTGCATGACTTGTCTAAAATCCTACATGATGCATATGCTAGTTTTAACGAACTCTCAACAATGTCCCTGAAGAGCTGACATGTACAATGTATATTTTACATTGCCTCTAGGTTTCACGCTACCAATAGACTTGTACTTGAAACGGAAGTACATTTATGTAGAGATGAGTTTCAAAATTTGGTGAATTTCAGTGACGATAGTGCTAAATTGTCAGTGTCCGAATATTGTGTGAAGCTTTTATGCCATATTTTTTATGTCCGAAGCGTTTGATGTACCTGTTGTAACACTGAATGTGAAACTTGTGCTGCTGGAAGACGAGTGCCGAGGGAGACTGAAAATGATTTTTGTCAGTCCTTTTTTTTCCTGGTAAGAGTAGCGTGATGTTTTCAGTTAATACTAGCGAATATATAGCTTGGAAGAAGAAGAGAGGGAGTGTTATCGCTTGTTATATTAATGCACATAAGGTAAAAGCAGATTGATTATTGCTTGTAATGCAACTGGAAAACCAGACACACACAGGCTGACATTATTCGGTGGTGAGATAGTTATATTGACAAGGAAATCAACAAGTGCAACAATGCCACCACTTAAAAGACTGAGCAGTCTGAGGGAAATATGCGCAATGTGTGTGTGGCAATGGTTGTTGAACTGTGGGAGACACCAGGCAGTCTTCACCTCCCACTTCTCGGAACAGCGCAAGTATCTGGTCTCTGCCCTCTCCCCACTCCTCCGTCAGCGGCTGCTCACCATCATCTTAAACATGAACAACAACAAACTGTTTATGGAAACCAAGTGCAAATTGCTGCAGGCACTGGGAGACGACACCACACAATGGGTCGACATTACCCGTGGAGGGGCTGTCTTCTACGATGAAATGTTGTGCTTCTACAGCACCGTCGGTCTCGTGGGTAGCTTTAATCTCACGCGGTTGGGGGCGGTTTGTGATGCGAGGCTTATAAGTGATCAAAAATACATATCTGCTGTAAATAGCACATTTTACTGGGCATTAAAAAAGATGCATAACTTAATATGGATTACTCTCGGTGGTATTGCTGATGACACCATCCTGAAAATCGTGGGCACAAATTGCCCTCAACTGCAGCATCTTGATGTTTCAAGCTCTTTGAAGGTGGATGACGAGGGCGTGGCAGCTTTGGTACTGAAGAACCCTCAAGAAGTGCTAGGGTTGAGTCCCCAGCAGGTTGGTCGTAAAGCACTAGTAACCAATTCTTGCTGCACAACTCTTAACTTCGTGTGTGTGAGCAACACCCAGGTGAGTGCGATGGGTGCTGCACTGCTACTCCACTGTGTCCCGGGCCTCACCTCCTTAGGGGGCTACATTAACGCTTGCTCACTCACTAGCGTCATTGAACTACTGCAGCCAGAAGATGGTATTACACAGTTCAAGTTAAACCAATTGTGGGATTTGGATATCTTGCCACGTGAAGCCTCTCTGCTTAGGGAAGTTTGTCAGAACATAGCTGCAATTACGACCAACGAAGCCTCTCTAGCCGCTTTGCACTTAGTCCTCCCTTTCGAATCTCTCTCTGTTGAGGCTGACTTCAAGAACACTGTCGACTCTCTGTACAACTATCTTGCAATACGAGGAGAAGTATTAAAACAACTGATTATCACCGACAGTATAAATTGTCCTCTCGACCTCATGTGGTTGATAGAGCTAACCCCAAACTTGGAACGTATTGAAGCAACCTTAGAAGCCAAGCAAGAGAATGTCATACCAACATGGAATGATCTTAGAGAGGCCTCAGTCACGGTTGCTTCTTCCATCACAATTGTGACCCTACTGACGCACACCCCTAATCTGTGTGACCTTAACCTGACCTTCCTTGAGGGTGTGTATAATGAAGAGAGTTACAAGTGCATCAACGACGAGTTGTTGCTGCTGATATTGATGGCTGGTGGTTTGAAGAAAGTTGAAAAACTAAAGATAGATCAGTGCATGATCAGCCCATACGGCTTGGACTTGCTCCTGCTGCACTGTCCGGACTTGCAGTATTTGGCTCCGCTTGTGTGCTGGCCAAATATTACACAGGACGAAGTTGACAAACTGCATGCCAAAGCAGCTCAGAATAACTGGGTATTGAAGATAGTGATGCGCTCAGACTGAGAATGGACAGCGTGTGGCAGGCAGGTTGCCGTGGCGGTGACTTAGGTGAGCACACTTAAGCATGCTGATTATACTTGACATTGAGGTATACCCGCCTAACTGCACTTGTCAATCTGTGTTGTGGGAATTAAGATCCAGCTCCTGGGTCTGGCCTCTTGACCATTAAACGCAGTATGATGGATCTTCCTACCCTCATTTGCGTAGGAAATCTTGAATGGAATTTTTCTCTACTAGGCAAACCCCTGCCCTCAGGCTTCATTCCTCGATATTGTCTTATTCTTATTCCATCACGCTAAAGCTTTACCTTTCTCATGGTCTCAGACATGTCAAAATGTATGTCCTTATATCAGCATGTCCCTGTGTATATTCGAATCCCCAGCATTGTAAGAGTTCTTGCAGCTTAGCCTCATCTCGGGAGCAGCCTAGTGACAAATCTATGGATCTTTTTCAGGTTCTCTTGTATTCTTGAAGTGCATGCTCCACGCTTGTGCTAAATACTCTTAATATTGGGGCATCAAGTTGTCCAATTTCTTAATACACTTCTATTTGGAAGATTTCGACCCCCGCTTCCAAATTGAGCAAGTGGAATTAAAAAAAAACTCAATTTGAATGTTTCATCAGAGTAATGAGTATCACCTCTTTAAAGTAAACACATGACTTAGGTTATACAAGATGAAGCACACACTGTATCCATTGGCCAGTAGAAGATGGGTTTCGCAAGCCGGTAGTGTGTGAATGTAGATGGTGTGTGTGTTGTAAGTTTTAAAGACAATATGGCTATTTACCGAACAGAAACCTATCCACAAGTAGAAAAAACAACTATGGTTTGGTTTGGCAGGGTGTCACCCTGCCCACATGTTTCTTCACTACTCGTCCTTGTGCACCCAACGATAATTGTCGACCAGAATGTAAAAATATTGGCAGATCCTGTTTTGAAAAAAAAGTGCGGTATAAAAGTGCAAGAGAGCGAGCTTGAGGAAGGAAGCGATAACTAGCAGTTATAAAAACATGATGCTTACTCAATTATTAGTCTCGACTCCAACAGGAAAGTAAATGAGAGGAGACAGGGTTATGGGACAACGAAGCTAATTCCTAGTCTTTTACGGTCTTTAGATACTTTTTTTTTATAGTCTTGTTACACTTTAGATAGAAAAGTGTTTCAGCAGTCATGCTCAGCTACCCGCCGGGTCGTCGAAGATGTACACCCCTTCCCTCCCCCCACCAATTTTCCTTCCGGCCAACCACCACAGAAAGCTGATATGCAAAGAGGAGCCAAAGTAAGAGAAAAAAGAACAGGAGTGTAAATAATACCGAACTTAATGTCAAGAGGTCCATATAAATAGAATAATGTGTGTGGCGTATGCCACGTTGGCACGCATAGCCATCAGTTAGAATCTCAAAGAGTCGTTCAGGATACGGTGTACGCTCACACAGTTCTCAAGATTGATTGTTTAGTTTATTGTGTATAACATCCTGTGAACGGTAACGCAAAACGTCTTTATCGGACCTCAACGTAGATCATATTAACAATTATATCTGTCCTGCACACCTTATACTTGTAATGTTAGCTAGTGTGAATTTTTTTTCATTTCATTGGCAATGTTTCGTTATGCATTAATAGCAGGTCATTTCGCTAATGCTTAGGTGTTTTAGCTATGGAGGTATTACAGTCATCAAAAAGCTGCTGTATATTAGTATTATTTATTAGTCTTCACACTACACTGCTTGTTACTTAATCTTACGTCATTTATCTACTTAAAGCGAAACATTGATACAGTGCAAGGATTTCAGATATACATTTGTAATGAGATGGTTTGCCATTTCATGCAGCGTGAGTTTAGATTTATCTCTTTATAAAAAAAATAAGTAAGATGTAATGCTCTAGTGCGTGTCTTTGTCTACTCATTTTTTTTAAGATATATACAAGAGTTGTTACATTTTTGTACAGCCACTAGTACGCGTAGCGTTTCGGGCAGGTCCATAGAGTACGATCCCCGCCGCGTGGAATCATTTAGAATCATTTTACTACATCAAGATCTCTGTAGAAGCTGAACTGCCAGATGTACTTGTAGCCAAATCTGATTCATGTTGCGGAAACGTCAGTTAGTCTACTGATTTTGTTACTTGACCGTGCAATTTGACGTGATGGACTAATCACCCGATTTACACTCTTATGTTGAGCAGATCAGAAATTATATCTTCCCAACCAAAAATAACGTTAGACGAGTACCGAGTGTTTTTTTTTATCTACCACAGACGTGGCCATCCATTTACAATGCTAACCATTATATACACATTTTCTTCTGTCCTCCGTGGACAGGGTGAGAGATCTGTTAAACATATAGTCCAGGGATTTATTGAACAATCAACCACAGAAGGTGATTGTAGTGCTTTTAAAATGCTAATCTAACCTACAGACATAAATACATAGATACTCTGTATCTATGTATCTCTATAGATACTCTGTATTTATGTCTGTAGGTTAGATTAGCATTTTAAAAACACTACAATCACCTTTTGTGGTTGATTGTTCAATAAATCCCTGAACTATATGTTCAACAGATCTCTCACCCTTTCCATAGAGGACAGAATAAAATGAGTTTGTAATTACCTCGTTGTTAACGCGCCAGCTAATTTATTTTGTAAATTTAAAAAAATCTCGGCGCCTACTGCCGAGTGTTTATGGTATGAGTTCCTCTTAAACCCCACTTAGGTCAGGTCAAGAAATTGGCGATGCAGTTATAAGGTCGGTGCTCACCCAAGTTTTCAGGAGTTGAACAAAAGCTTCTGGTTGCTCCATCTTGAGCTTGCAGTTGATACAAGAGAACAAGTAAACATGTTTACTGAATTTAAATTTCATCATGCATCAGAAATCGTAATTAAAATTCTTGTTAAAATTGAGGTAATGTTAATTAACATTCTTCAGGAGCATATGGCGGTCCATCAGTTTGGCGGTCGTTCACCTCATAAACGCGTCTCACTGCGGCAAATATAACATGTGGCAGGGGATGGACAACACTTCACAGGCAGGCCGGTTGAAAAGGGAGGAGGGGAGAAACTAGAGAAGGGGAAGGGAAAGATAAGCAGCAGTGTGTGGGAGGCCAGAAAAAGAAGGGTACCTAAGGGTACGAATACAATAGGGGGCAGAGTGATGGAGTGGAAGGGGAGAGAGTTGGGGAGGGAAGAGGTAGATTGGCATGGTGCCCGCTGAGGGTACGTTGCCAGGCCCAGGTAGTTTACGCGTAATATCAGAATATCATCTGTAAATAAATCATTCTCGATGTTCTTGTACAAGCAGTGTTAAGTAGTATGTTCGTGCGTGCGCAGTTTAACTAGTTGTACGGTTTATATTTTCTGGCGCAGACGTGGATCTAGTTGTGCTGTGGGGGTTTAGCTTCGGCTCTCTTGTCCCGCCTCTCAGCATCTAATCAACTGGTGTACAGGTTTCTGAGCCTATTGCGCTGTTGTATCTGCATTTAAAACTGCATGGAGTCTGCCTCCACCATATCACTTCTTGTACCTGGATGGGGTTCTGGGAGTTCTACTATCCAAGGCTTGACTTGAGAGCTTGGTCCAACTATTGCATTTCATGTCATTCACTACTGACGCTGAATTTCTTTTTTTTTTCAAAATTTCAGTTGGGTACTAAGTTTCCACCTGTGCCCTTTGTGCGAGTACCACCCGTGCTAAATGGTCCGTCATTGTCTACCCTATCAGTTCCCCTGATAATTTTATAAATGGCAATTGTCTATCCTAACTCTTCTGTCTTTCAACGACGTGATGTGTAATTCCTGTAGTCTTTCCTCGTAACACGCTTACCTCTCAGTTCTGGGACCATTCTGGTGACATACCTTTGATGTTTTTATTTTTTTCGAACTACATCTCGTGCTTGGCTAAATATAGACTCTGTTGGAGTCACATACTCTTGGATTGGTCTGCCATATGTGATATATGAGGTCCTCAGTAATTCTGTACACGAAATTTCTAAAGGTAGCCAACCTAGCATTGCTGCTGAGATTTGCGGGCCCCATGTCGCCACCCCTCTGTATGTTACTACAATTTCTGTGGGCAGGCCAGTTGACAGGTAATCTGATGTTCATATTTCGGTTTATAAAGTGATTGTGTAGATTATGGGTTAGTGACTTCATTTGCATTTGCTTATTAATTGACGTATGCATTTTTTTAGGGGAGGGGGAGTTGTAGGTAGTTGTAGTTGTGTTTAGTGTTTTTTTTCATAATTAGTGATTAGTTGTGAACGAACTAAGTACTTAACTTCCACAATGAGACCCATTTAAGAATGGTTACAAGTTTGTTGCTTATAGTAATGCGTGCTCCTCTAACAAACTACAGTATTAATTATTAATGATGAACAAATCCACAAGGGCCGTGACGAGGGTTCGAACCTACGTCCGGTTCGTGTTATTAATGATGACAAGTCTTATTAATGTTATTAAACACGTTATTAATGATGACACTATTGCCAAAATGTTACATCATTGAAGTATACTTTCATAATATGCAAGCCCACCACATGCACAAATGTTCTTTCTTGATGATAATATACTGTAGGCCTAAGCATATATTTGGTTATAATAGTTGGTGCGGTCACATGGATGACTGGAGAGAGCAAGCTTTTAGTTATTATTTTAAATATAATTCAGTTACGAACATTTTCCACATTGTTAAAGAATCTTTTTGAATAATAAGTGTATGGGGCCTAAAGTTAACATTTCGTTTATAGTTCAATTAACTTTGACTTATGACAAAATAGGTAAAGCTGTGTAGAGTTTAATACACACAAAATATCTCGCATAGAGCAATTTAAGTAGTTATTATTGAAAATAATTTCTTCTTGCAGACTGGCAGGTGGTGCGTAGTCAGTTGACGGGAAGCCGGAATCAGGTGGTACCGTGTTGTTTGATAGGCTATTGATCCCTTAGTGCAGCCATGTTTTATTGTCTTTGTTAGATGAGTATACACGTACGAGTGAAGGCAGTACTTGCATTTAAATACTAAAGCACCAGTGGAGAGCATGCCACCCTTCAAGAAGATCTGCTCCTTGACGGAGATATGCACAGAGTGGGTGTGGCGGTGGCTGAACCACTGTCTCAACCACCAGGCGCCGCCCCGGGACCGTATGCGTCAGCGCCAGTACGTCCTCTCAACCCTCAACCCAAACATCCGCCAGCAGCTCCTTAACCGTATCTTCAATGTGGACACGAGAGACGTGATGCTGGATAGCAAGTGTATGTTGCTAGAGATGCTGGGGGACCGCAGCACCCAGTGGGTAGACCTCTCCCGCAGCGGCTTCGGTTATATAGACGAAGTTTTCCAATTCTATCGAACTCTCACCCTCGGCTTGCTAATTAATATTACACGATTAGGTTTGATTTGCAATGTTAAGTCAAAATCTGATTGTAAATATCTTTTAGATATTAATAATACCTTTTATCGAGTGTTAAACCAGATGCGCCATCTACAATGGGTTACTCTGACTGGAGTGGGCGATCGTACCATCTTAGCAACTCTAGGCGCCAACTGTTACCAGCTGGAGCACCTTGATGTCTCTGATTCTGTGAAAGTGGACGACGAAGCTGTGGCCGCTTTGCTGCTGAAGGACCCTCAGTCTGTGGAAGGTCTGAATCTAAAGCAAGTTATAGAACAAGATTTGTCTAAGAATCCTTGTTGTGAAACTCTGAGCTTAGTGTGCGTGTGTGGGACACAAGTAAGTCTTAAGAGTACCCTCTTCCTCCTGAGGTGTGTACCTGCGTTGACCTCCTTTGGTGGCGCCGTGGAAGATGGATCCTTATGTAGTGTGATTGAGCTGCTTCAACCAGACCAAGGGGTGACGAAATTCAAGCTCAACAAATTTTGGGACGCAAAGGTTTTACCGACTCATGCTTCTCTACTAAATGTGGCCTGCCCAAAAATCACTTCTGTAACAACTTCTGTATCTTCGTTGCCCTCTCTACATTTTCTCTACCCCATCACCTCATTAACTGTCGATCTCAACTATCTCAACTGTCGCAATTGTGCAAATTACATATATAATTACCTTCAAGTACGAGGAGAGACCTTGAAGGACCTCCTTTTTACTAATAGCTTGAACTGTTTCCTTGATCTGGCTTGGTTGATGGAGCTTACCCCGAACTTGGAACGTCTTGAATCTGGCTTGTACATAGAAGAAGGATACGAGATTCTCGGCTGGAAGTTACTGTGGGATGCGTCAGTGACTGTGAACTCTTGTGAAGCTCTCCTAACACTGATCTCCCACACCCCGAGTTTGAAGAACCTAAGCATTAACTTCATGCCGGAGCCTTACACGGAGACTTTCGAGTGCATCAACGACGAACTTGTCATCAAAATCATCTCCGCAGGAGCGCTCACACGGCTTCAGAAACTCAAGATTGCCGAGTGTGCCATAACTGTTAAAGGCCTTAATTGGCTTTTCCTCCATTGTTCTGAGTTGTCTTACATAGCACCGCTTCTCTTCTGGAAGAATATATCACAGGATGATATACAGCAGTTGCACCTACAAGCAAAACAGAACAATTGGGAACTGAAACTTGTCCTTCGTGAGTGATCCTAAATGGGGAAAGATTCTAATTATTTTTATTTTCTTTGGATGGAAACTCGGTTTAAAATGTGGCATACAGTGAATATAGGGATACATTATGTTTACATTATGAAAATAAATCCCATTTGCCTACTTGCTGGCTTTCATGGACTATAGTTTAATAATACGTGTGGTTACATCAGATATTGAGATGTTAGTCATCCCATACAGAAGCTTATGACATTGTAAGCAATCTACTGGTATCAAGATTACATCTATTTTTGTTCAATATTTTACTTAAAGTTGTTTTTTTCCATTTGGAAGAAATGGCTGTAATAGCTGGTAGATGTGTATAAGCTAACACATCATGCACACTGGATAAAAAGTTACAAATAGGCTAGGTTTATTGGCCATATCAAGATTCTCGTCTATTGGAAAAAAGTAAATAGCGTACCAAATCCTTTTTGATGGATTCTTTTTTTTTCCAGCAAGATGGTCTCGATATATCAAGATTAAATTCGTAAATAGACCAACAACGAGGATATGTCTGTTGGTATGCAGTAATTAAACCCATTGGTGGAAAATCTTGGTGGTTGAATTTTTTTTATCAATTTGCAATTAGAATCTAAGTCTGAATTGCCGCAGTTTATTAGTCAGTTATTATGTATAGATCTTGTGAGGAAATTGACTTACTATTGTCGCCAGCAACGGATAGTTTGTGCACCTCATACTCGTCATGTGAGGAAAAGTGTAGTTTGTCCCTAACGTAAAGGTCAGCGATACTGACTTTTCAGCAAGTAATTATCAAAGAAGGCACCAAGCCGGGAAGGCTATGTAGCAAAACATGGTTGTAGTTCCCAATGTCGGACAAGATTGGCTTGCGGAGGACTTGCCAGCTAAGGGTGCAAGGCTGTCCACATGGTTACCCAACCAAAATACTAGTCAAACCCTTACAAGCACACTTGTGCTATGTATATACTTGTTTTAGCGAGAAGCGTGTATCTATAAAAAAAATTAATTCTCCTTTGCAAGGTATTTGAACTGTGTTTTGGAAGTGTTCAGTACGTTCAACAAATGGCACGTACCGAAAGAAGGCGTAGAAGCCACCTTTATTCACAACTTGAAGCTCAGATTTGACAGAACTATAGTTAAAGAAAAACACACTATAAACCCAGACCTAGTAGGTGATGTATAAAGGACTCTTGCTTCCACGCAGTCACTTATTCTAGGTTATAAATCTGACCTTGTTCAGATGCAAGCCAAGACATACTATCTTGCAGGACAGGTTTAATGTTTACAGATTGTGATATTTTAATTTTCATGTTAAGACTTTTGTTGTATTGCAACCAAGTCTTTATTTTAAAATAGGGGTCAATACGAAAGTTAAATTAACAAGCGCCTTAACTTATAAGCCAAATATTTTTAATTGAAGGTTAACTATATTGTTCTGGGTTAGAATGTAGTCATACTTCTGAATCGCTCAGCTAAAACAAACTAAAGTAGCAAATGTAATTAGTCGTAAATGTTTGTAATTACCTGTAAATATACGCAGAAATCACAGTAGCGTGATATATCAAATGAACAAATCCACAAGGGCAATGATGAGGGTTCGAAGTTCGAGAAATTCGAACCATGCACTGGAACATCCAGTGCGTAGGTTCGAACCCTCATCATTGCCCTTGTGGATTTGTTCATTTAGCTGTAAATATGTTTGTGTTCAGACGCTATGATTTTTCCAAACACTGGTGTTTTATGTATAGCTGTAAGCCTTTTTTTAATGCAATAGGTCTGCAATTGATAGTATACTGTATATAGTTTAGCATTTTGTATTACATTATACAGTAAAATAGCAAAGATTAAAATATTTTTCTTTGAGCTCCTTCTTTACCCGTTCAATATCATGAACTTTAAATTATATTAATGGGCACATTCTATAATTAATAAATTTTTCTTGAACGTCTTAAAATACTTGATAAATGGATTTACAGGATTTGTCAGTAATATTATGCTGCTTATTTTTTAATAAACAAATCCGTTAAATCAAGACGTAAAAGAAAGGCGTCAATTATTGTCGGTCGCGTTCCCATGTATACGAGGACTTAATTAATAAAGTACCCATCATTATCTTTGTTCGTAACAGCAGCAGCTGACTAACTCCTGAGTACCTACTCACTGCTAGGTGAACAGAGGCATTAGGTGAGAGGAAATGTGCCCAACCATTTCTGTCCCGCCCTGGATTCGACCCCAGAATACTCGATTGTGCGTCGAGAACCTGGTTGATACCTGGTTGATGGGGTTCTGGGAGTTCTACTCCCCAAGCCCGGCCCGAGGCCAGGCTTGACTTGTGAGAGTTTGGTCCACTAGGCTGTTGCTTGGAGCGGCCCGCAGGGCCACATACCCACCACAGCCCGGTTGGTCCGGCACTCCTTGGAGGAATAAATCTAGTTTCCTCTTGAAAATGTCCACGGTTGTTCCGGCAATATTTCTTATGCTTGCTGGGAGGGTGTTGAACAACCGGGGACCTCTGATGTTTATACAGTGTTCTCTGATTGTGCCGATGGCACCCCTGCTCTTCACAGAACGAACCCATGTGTACTACCGGGACCCATTAAATGATTGACAATCGTTGTATATTATTCATTTTGACCTTAAATTTTAACCCTTGGCCACAATTACCCCCAGCACCTTCCCATTAATATGGTCTTTCAAGTCAATTAGTCATCCGAGTGCCCACAAGCCATAGAAAAACATAAGACAGTACTAGGCGGACATTAGCTAAGTAACATGACAGAAGAAGCCATTCTGTAAACAAACCAAATATATACAAAACGGGAGAGGATACCTGCATTTAGTTCGGCCGGGCAAAGGGCCAAGTATATGCCATTTCATGCACCCGCCCCCCCCCCACGCGGGCAAAGGTGCCAAGTCTATTCCTGCGCGGGCCCTAAACCTCTGGCTGGCCCACTAAGTGTTACTTGTTTCTTGATTCTGTTTTACTTAGGCGGAGTATGAGTATTTAGGACTCGTATGTTCGCTTCAGTAAGATTATGCCCCATGTGTTTAACAACTGCTTTGTTGATTCTTAAGTTGAAATCTTATTCTATGGCATCCTATGACCCCAATCTCAGCTCCCCTCCACAACACGGGGACAAAAGACCCAAGTCTGTGGGGCATCCCATTATCGAATGACCCCTCCCCCAATGTGCCTACAAAATTAGTCAAAATCATCTTTAGTGTAAGCTTACAACTATATACTTACAACATCTATATTACTACCACTTCTACTACACCTATAGTAAACTGGCCGTTACCCAGGACACCCACACTGGCCGTTCCCCAGGACACCCACACTGGCTGAATAATTTGTGTGCATGTATACAGAAGTGTGCGGAGCGTGGAGAACACAGACGTGGACAAAATCATCCCAGAATGGGTTCTACTGGAGCAGCTTCGAACACTAACTACAGCCCTGGACAGCCTCCATACCTCACTAGGATCTCGGCACACACTCGCCTACCAACTGGCTCTTCAGGTAGGCATGAGCATTGCATTACCTTAATAGCTTACTCATTACTGTAATATGTATAATATATGATATTATAAATGAGTATTTCATAAACAGTAATGTATGTTTAGTTGGTTTCTGATGTAACTAGGTCTAAATGTTCATGGAATTGTTGTGATGAAGGTATTTTGTATAGTGATGAAAACTTTTGTTTGGTACATAGATAACTTTGTAAACTTGCTTAAACTGATTTTGGAAAAACTTTTGTTTAATTAATTTCTGCTGAGAAGGCAGAGTTCTTAAATCAGTATATCTGTTTAAACCATTTCCAAAAATCTATAATGAATAGTAAAATTACATTAATTCCAATCGCTAAGTAACTGACTTGGTTAAATGCTAAGGGGTGCTTTCTGTATAGCAGTCACATAGTCGTAGAGCAGTAACATCAGCTTTGATTTATGGAACAAAATACAAATCAACACAATCCAGTGATGCCATGTCCATTATGTTAGGTGTATGGTAATATATTAAGTGAGTTCAGTCGGGTATAAATATGAATTGTTTCTTTTGAATGAATGGGCCTGAAGAAAAATTAATAAATTTCCTGAGAATACACTTTGTTCCTATATCACACACAAGTCACAGCCTCGCTCCTGTGCCAGATAAGTCCACTATGGGCTCACCATAGCCTGTGCTACTAACTAAAAGTAACAAAGATTTTCCACAACATAGGTAAAGTTAGGAAAGAAGCACCAGGAAACTAAATTCATATAGAGGCAGGTGGGAAAGCACTTATTTTGGAGTGGCAATTAAAGCAGACACTGCATTTTACAAGACAAACCAGTCTACTGCATTTTCAATTAAGTTCAGTGTCTTGTGTTTCAGGTGATGGAAGAAACCTATGGATTCCACATATACCGCGCTCCAAGCTGTTTAGGTGGTACCGGTGTATTTGTAATGACAAATCGTGAGAGTGATGTGGCAGTGCAGCGAGGACAGTTGGTTGCTCTATACCCTGGAGCCATTTACCTCCCCTTTCAACCCATTTTCATTCAGAGCATTAACAATCCATTCATCTTTCGTTGTATTGATGGAATATTGGTAGACGGTCATGATAAAAGAATTTCCAAATATCTCTTCAGGTAAACATCAAATCTTTCAGCATGGTCTCTCCCTTGAAGCTAGAATTTGCTAATCTAATAACTATTAATTTAGGAATAGATTTACGTGCTTATATTAGTAAATCAAAGGCATAAAAGATAAAACTCGTATATAATTCAAACAAGATGTGAGTCAAAAACTTTCGGGGTTTGATATCCACTGGAGGATAAAGGCATTTGGGCAAGGAAACTCACCTGGTACCATTGTTAACCAAGCAGTCAATAGGTACCTGGGAGTTAGGTAACTGTTGTGGACTACAACCTTGGGGGTCATTAGTTTGCCTAGGGTAAGGGACCTCGACGAGCCTAACAGCCTTCCTCGCTCAACTATGAAAAACAAAGACTTGGCAAATGAGAACCTGTACTAAAAACTTTTTAACAAGTATTTTTAATTTTTCCATTAATTACCAATAGTATAACGGAAAAATTTCATGATTTTTTTTTTTAAATTTTATATCATATTGCTATTATATAGATAAGTAGAAAGTAGTTGGCAAGACACAGTTCTTCTCTCCCACACTAGCGCCGTGCAACATTTATCAATAATTTATGAGCATGTTACTGAAACGTTAAATTATATATACAGTACTGTACAGTACAGTATATAGACTGGAAAAAATTTGAGCTAAATAAATGAATAACCTATACAATATGCATTATAAAAACTGTTAACTTGGATATGCAAGAAGGTAGAATGAGTGTATGTATACACTACTGAATATCAGTGAAAGTACATTTTATTTTAGGTACTGTAAAGGTTAAATAAATTAATTATTAACCAAGTAGTTAATTAAGGCTTTAGGATAACATTAGGTTGTGTGGAAGATGAAGGAAGAGTTGAAAATTAATTTCTGAATAAATTTAATAATAATATAAGAGGCATTCGTGCAGATTAGATTTATAATGTATCTTTTTCACAGATCTTGTGTAAATCGAGATCGTGTTGGGTCCTTCCCTATTGCTGACACCACCTGGCTTACGGACTACCCAGCAAACCCTTTAAATGTTGGACAGTATGTCAACAACCAGTCTACAGGTATGGAGTATTATTGAATATGTTTTGTATGTGTGTATGCACAAAGGCATACAGATGCATATGCAGAGATAAATATAGAGTGAGTGAGTTAGAGATATAACACACACTAATAGATTTACTGTGTGATTGGAGCAGTACCTAAAGGATGGAATTGAGTGTGAATGTGCCACATTATAGAATGTGGAATAGGGGAAAATAGGTATCGTGCAACCTGCAAATTATGTGAAAAGATATTACAAGATTTTAGACAAGGAAAGAGATCTAGAGGTGGTTCTATTTAGTAAACGGTCACCAGATAACTATATCAGAGGTGTTAGGTTATTCTTGAAAACTCTAGAATCACTTAAATACTGTAGATGGATGGAGAAATACTAAAATTTTTCATGACATTTGTGAGACAAAAATTAAAGTACAGTGTATGCTGTAGTTGTATGGTGTCATTATTTCAAGAAGCACAGCAATAAACTACAAAGGGTACAAATGCATACTATTGTATTAAATGACTTTTGGAACTGAAAAGTAAGAGCTGTGTGGAAATGCTGGAGGTGTTAAATGTGCTAAAGGTAGACAATAGAAGCTAAGGAAACAAAAGATCCCAAAAAGCAAACAAATGGTCTCTTGTGAACACAGTTGTGGATGGTTACAAAATATAAGTGAAGTCATGGATGCCAAAACCATCAGCAGTTTCCAGGTGTCATATGACAAAGATTACAGAAAAGATAACACCACAAGCATAATCATCATAATGCAACTACACTTAGGTACTATAATTACATACACAAGATTTCAAAATGATTTAAACAAGCTACGATAAAAAAATCCACGATTATTCCTGTGCTGGTTTGAGCCTCTAGCTTGGCTGCTCTAGGAACAGTTGATAGGAAAAAGTAAGTGTATCCTAAGAAAAAGGCAGCGAGTATATTAAGAGAGAGAAAAGGACCTGTGGGGTGAGCATTGTAAGAAGCCATAAACAAGATAACCTCAGAAGCTTACACAAACCCCACAAATACGTGAAATATATTGTCCACAGATTAACTAATGGTAACTTCATGGAACAGACACCTTCACCTTAATGTTAAAATTACAGTGTTTCTTAAATCACTTGCCTTGTAGATTACAATATCCTGATTTTCAGGATGATCAGAATTTTACTTTCCCATTGTTCCTTCAAGTTGGGTGTCTCGATAATATCCTGGGTGAATCTGCTTCCATTGATATCGCTTATCTTGCTTTTCTACTTTTGTATTGTCATCCTGAATGATGTCAAGGAACTTTAGAAAAATCTAATAAGTGGTGCTATATAGCGATCTAGGCTTAGTGCTTTCTTTTTATTACTTCTTTTGTTTTAAATTACTGTGTAGTATAATTTTTTTTTATTTGATTGGTAAATATGCTTCAATTTTATTATATCTACCTCGCAATAAACAAGAATAAATTTGTTCAGGTCATCCCAGCAATGTTGCATATCAAGAGATAACGTTACAACCTGGTGACATCCCTTTACAAGAACGGCAGTACCTTCCTAACATGTGGTATTCCCTACCTCAAGGAACACCTGTGGCAGACATTCCACTTCGTACAGTAACACTGGTAGCTACTAGAGACATTCTTGCAGGTGAGGAGCTATTTTCAGATTATTTTACTATTATACACTGACTGCACAACCAAGAAGATGGTGACTGTGAAGTTCGATAGTTTTTCCAAAGTATACCAAGAAAAGGACAAGCTTAGATAGTATAAAACTGTTCAAATTTTGGTTCGAGGAGCAAGAAATTCCTCAACAACAAAGAACGGTACACCTTTACCCTCTACTGCTGTGGTATGGAAAATTTCCTTTTTTGAATGTACATATACTGTACACTGTATGGCACTGTGTTTCTATTCTATCATTTGGATATATATAACCTATCTATAAATGTATAACCTATAAAGGCATCTATCATTTGGATATATATATAACCCAGTACAGTATGATAATCCATAAAAAAAATAATTAAGGCTTTAGTTTGATCACACATGGAAAAAAAACTGGAATGAATAATGAACTGTCAATTTCTGGGCGAGCCTTAGTAGTTTCCGGACACCCTCCCTCTCCCAGGGAGTCAGGTCTCATCATTTGTCGAACTGATGGTGGAGCGACCTGTGAGCCGTGGCCTGCCCCCTCTGGGTGCCTTCCTTGGTGGTGGTATAAATGAATTACTTAATACTCTAAGTAAATGCCACAGCTCCCCGTGTCTTGGTGAGGGGACCAGAGAGCTCCCCCAAGAAAGGTGTATCTGCGGCAGCATAACTTCAGGGTAAAAACATGGTGCATGCTTACAAGATATTGCTCAAGGTCTTCCCCTTGATAAGATGTTAACATGGCTCTAAGATCAGCTGCTAGCAGAATACATAGCCCAGTAATAATGAGGAACCTTTATAATTTCCTATGATTAGGAAGTCGTCTGAATTTACTTCCATCTGAATTTTTTCATAATTGGCAAAATTGTTAATGTTGCTTGTCAATGCTGTCTGAAAACAAATATACACTACTAATTTTGAACACTATGTTTAATAGCACATCCATTACTTTTATAGAATGCATGTGACTTTTGTATACAGGATCAGTGTATATAATTTTATATACTAAACACTAGTGCATGCAGTATTGTCCATGGAAACATTTAATGCTGCAATGCAAAATATATACAGTACCACATACCTGTATTACAATGAACTTTATAGAAACTCTACCTGAAGTGTTAGTTATATTGAAGACTCATGTACTGTATTTTACTATGAATAAAACTAACTATACCCTATATAGAATTATATTTATTTTCCTTCAAGGTACTTGATGATTTATCAATACAAGTTTTGGATTCCATTTCAATTACATGAAAAGCTGCAGCACTTATTTGGAGAGCATATGAAGGTTGTAGACATGTCCACCACTAGTGAAGATAACCTGCAAACTTGACAGTAGTAGTACATGAGGAGGATTGGCTGTGAGGCTCCAAATATATTTGTTTTAGTGCTAGGTTTCTGCCTAAACTGTGCCATTTGATAGTTACTTACGCTGTATGCTTGTAGCTAACCACCTTCCCGGTTTGGTGCCTTCTTTTGATAATTACTTACTTACTTGTAGCTAACCAGTCTTGGGAAATTATAGCAAGCTGCTATAGATGATTTGGTGTCGAGGTGCTGGTTCTCAGTGATAATAGAGGGAGGTCCGGAGCTAATGTGGATTGTTGCTTTACTATGTTAAGATTTACTCAGTGATAATAGCATAAATTAACATGGTGTGATGAAAAAGAAAACTCGTCCAGCGATTTCAGATAAATTACAGATTCCCATACAGGAAGAATTCACATGGAAAGCAAACTTTGACTACGGATAAATTACCTTAGTTGTGGAAGTAGAAAATAATTCAATGTTTGTTAGTTTCATTACGTGTATAGTCATTTCTCTCTTAAAAAAGATTTACATCTTCAGTATAGTCTACCAAAAGCCTAAAGAATAACAATTCTTTCTACCTTGTTGCCTTTTTTGATAATTACTTTTCTCCCTACACTTTGTTTTCAACTTTTTATACTTTAAGAAATAAGCATGATCTTTATATATACCAATAGTCAATATTGCACTATGCTGAAAGTCAAATAAATTGCCATTTTGAAATATACTAAAAATGCCTTATTACTGTATACTGTACTGTACTAGTATTTGTAACATGTGCACATTACAGTACAAAACATAACGTACCTTACTTTTGGGTGTGGTGGGAGGTGATAGACTACATAGGGAACTTACGCCTCGCATCACGATGGACGTGTTGTTGCAACTCTCGTTCTTTATATTGTCCAAACATTCAATCAGAAAATCCATCATTAAAATCATTTTTCACTAATATGGAATAATTCATGAATATTTTATTTACTAAAATCACTAAAAGTTCAAGGGAGATGGCAGTCCCTCACAGCAGTTCTGTGGGGGTACTGAGGCACATCAGCTGGCATATGGGTATTATCCGACTTCAGACGATCATAGAGGAGACCCAAATTTCCACAGACTTTATCTCCAATAACCCAGAAGTTGAAACATTCACAAACATTTAAACTGCAACCCAAAGAAAGTCATTCTTCATTTACAAAAATACATTGGCAACAGGTTACAAACCCAGCTATATTAATATTCCTGATTAGGTTTTTTATTCTGTATATACTACCTAACCATTTTGTTATTTATTTCATTGTAATTATTTATGCTAGGATTGCTTTAATGAATTCATGTGGTGGTAATACTTACTGTAAATACAATGTCATTTTTATCGAGGCAGCAAGTGTAGTAGAGGCAACCATCTCTCCACACCTCTCCACCAAATCCAAAGTGGTTACTTTATTTACATATTACTATTGTGTGGTATTAGAGAGATGACCTCTATTCCCCATACCGAGTACTCGTGGAACACACTATGAATGGCATGCAGCAAAACAGCCACTTTTAAATAAATGGCTCTGGCAAAAACACTTCTAGATGGGAAAAACCTGACACCCATCATTGGTATCCAAGCATGACCTCAAATCATGAACATTTTATATATATAAAGTTGTAGCCGTGGTCTTCCCTAATAAATGCCCACCAATTTGGCCATATTCCATAATTAAATTAAAACTTCCAGTACACGGTATTTAAGACCATTTTTTAAGTTGAAGCTGTCTCGCAGCAAGCTTCCTTAAGAATAGCTAGTCAAGCCGTAACAAATATTAATATGCTCTTGACTTTAAAGTCAGATGTATTAAAAACCTGTGTTTATAATGTTTAATATTAAAGTACTGTATAATGTTTGACAGACCAACATGTCAATTTAACAAGCAGAAAAATAAGTGAATGGCATATTGTTAAATGAAACGATTATTAAATGACTTTTTAATAGGCATCTGTAAATGTGTTTTAAACTACAGGTTAAAATGTGAATGGACCTTTCTCCAGCTAAGTTTATCAGTGTGTATAATATGTCTACAAAAGTTTGTGATTGTCTACTGCAATGTTGTAATTTAGATTTCTAACAGTAATATATATAACAGTTTTAATGGTAGTTTGGCAATCTAGGACATCTTAAGTGTATTGTAGGATACTCACTACATTGGATATTTCAATTGAATTAGACACACATGCTTAAAGAATTTAACTTCAACACTGACCAATAACCTCACCTTTGGTGCTATTTTAGTGTACCGGTGGCTGGTTTAGTTATTCTGTTAAGTGTTGATGGATAAACAGCTTGAACCTACAATATTTTACTATATGGAGCTTGCAACATTTAAATATTGTGAACGACTGCTTAATCTTTACAAAATGGAAGGGCAAGACGAGACTTTATTCCTCCAATCAGAAGGTGAATAAAATATTTTTTCTATTGAATGTAAATGTCTTCATTTTATTATAAACCAAATCAAGTCGTTTTGTATGGAAGCTTGAAAACGGTGCACCATCATCACCCTGTAAAGGCAGGAATTCAGGAAGAGCCAGGGGAACACAGGTCAAGTCACCCACCTGCTAGTGGTAATTACTAAACACCTTAATTGCTTAAAACAAGCAAAATTTATTTTTATTCCCTGCAAGTGCACAACTGAACATTAACGAGGCCTTCATGCTTTTATTTAATTATACAGCAACAATATATTTCCCAGAATGTGTTCCCAAATTTCAACTTGTGTAACGTTTACTACAACTTTAAAATCTCGCCAGGAAAACCATGAGCCTACTTGGTCTAGCCTACAAAAAAAAAAAAAAAAAAAAATCCTCGACAGAGTTCAACTTCAGATACAGCTTACATAAAACATTATAAACCCATGCCAAAATATTGACAATCTTCAGCGCAAGACACCATAATCAGCCTGTCTTCCAATAGTGAAAGAACCTATAGCTGCTGTGAATGGGTTGTACAAAATACAAACTATTGAACCCTAAATGTAAATATTGAACCCTAAAGTAATTACAGATTTGGACTACAGTATTGCAATTCTACAGGACAAAGTGAAAGTAATAATAAACCTAATTTGCCCTCAGCCTAAAACAAAGCAATCCTAGGCATAACATGTGGCATATTAGACCTAATCTAGGAACAGTTAGGTCTGGTTGCCACCTTTCTGTGTGCCCTCTGTTGCAGCAATAGTACAAAGTGGAAAATTTTTAATAGATGCTATAGTCCAGATTCTTTACCACCATCCATTGTAGTTATAGTTATTCAGTTTTGGACGACAGGTTGCCATAATTACAGTACATGTACTGTAAACTTGTGAAGCAAAATAAATTCATGAGCTTTAGTGTGAATCCCACAAAATATTTACACCACAAATTCAAAAGAGAATTTTAAGTAATTGAGAACAATGGCCGGAAATCTACACACAATGGTTGCAGGTAGTCAGGACACAAGGTCAGCAATGACTAGTTAACACACATCTAATGATCACATTATAATGACAAATTGACCAACCAATACATAACCTGTGCAATATTACCTCTACCATAACTATATTAGCAGCCATATACTCATTTCTACTTATTCACCATTTAAAAATGTGGAAACTTTAGCTGTAATGAAGGGGGTCAAAGTATATACTTTGTGTGCGTTATAAGAATTGGCAGTGTGTCCAAACTTAAATCTGTGCTCTAGCTAGGGAAGATGTGACCTCTGGAGGTCACATCACAAGTTTGTCCTGACTTACCAAGCAAGTGGCAACCAAACATGCTAAATACCCAGTGGGCACAATACCAAAGAGTACTGTAATGTTAATTCAATGCTCAATCAATGCTATAAATGGTAATTCAACGCTGATAACATTAAATTATCATTACTCATGGATACTGTGCCCACTGGGTAGTGGGTCAACTCAATGTACTTGCATATAATTACCAACAGAAATACAGTATTAACATTTAATATTTTATTAGCTTAACATTTACATATATTGGCCCCAAGCACACATTCACACTAATTGCATTTATCACAAAAATAACAACTCTGTTTCATGTCACAATATCTACCAGTATTCTCATGTGCCTAAGAACATGCCTACACACACACACTGGCCACACATACACTGAACCGAGACTCCTAAATAATGGCAAGGATAGATGGAGGAGCAGAAAAGGAGAAACTAGTTGTCAAAGTATATACTGAGCTAATAATCACTTATTTAAATACCTGTATTTCAGTCTCGTGTACGTCTCTTCTGCTTCAACTGGAAATTCTGGGTATTTAAAAATGAAGAATAATCATTTTGTTTACACTTAAATACTTAAGTGAATATCTATAAAAAGGAGTTTTTGCATGTGTACTTATTAATCACGTATTAAAATACATTCATACTAAATCACTGGTAATTCAACACTACTTAACACAGGGAAGTTAATAACTGGCACATTTACTTTCAAAAAGCTGCAGCATTCCTTCAAAGCACACACATTTGGAGTTTCTATACCATCTCTGTGAATTTGTTTCCAATACTTCAGCCACTAGTGCTTTTCACTTCTGCAGCTTGACATTAAATGAATATATTTAGCAGTATGGCATGAGAAGTAAAGCACACCACCACAACTACACATTTCCAATCATCACTGGTACAACGTTTGAGTTGTATACGAGACAATATACCACTCATGTCCCATACCGGGTCTGCAGGAACACACAATTAAAACATCACTTCAACAAAACGCAAAGTGCTCCATTTAGTAGTCAGAAGAGCATGGAACAATAAAAACACTGAAAACATCACAAGAAAAATAGACCTCGAGAATAAAATATACACGGCTTCTTTTCCACAATTTTATCTTTGACCGTAATAATTGCCGTATGTTCCCCAGCCTTGTTGTCCATATCCATAACCGCCTTGCTGGGTGGGGTAACCCCAGCCCTGATAATGTGATGCACCATAACCATGAGTATATCCTTGGTTGTAACCTCCATATCCTGACTGCTGGTATCCCTGGTAATTGGCAACCATTGTTTGATTGGTGTTATTCGTAGTTCCATTCATGGGTCCCGGGCTAGACTTTTCTTGGCTGCTGCGTTTTTCTCGTCTCGATTCAACCCTGTACAAATGAAAAGGCAAAATGTTCCCATCTTTAAATTTTAAAGAAATGTTATTGGCATTTTGAACCAAATGGAACCAGCAGCAACCTGTCAACAAAAATTACTAGCAAGTCTTTTCTTTCAATTTATCGCATGCTATTCTATCAAAGAGCAAGTCACTAGATGTAGAATTTGTCGAAGACAGTCATTTAACGCTAAGAGATAAGATTTATTATTTTCAACAATTTACTCCGGCTTACCATTCAATAAATGAAGATGTTGGATATCTAGTGCTGCTATTGGTAACCAATAAACACAACATTGTTCACAGAAAAATATAAATAGGATTAAAGATAACAATAACCTCACTAGTAAGCTACAGTGCATCTAGGTCACTACACCTTTAAATAAAGTAAAACTTTATATTGACAAGTCCAGTACATCAAAGCACTTACACAGCAATACCACCGCCTGTCACATCTCCCTGCTTGCTGGTGTTGCTAGCTGTATCAATTTCTGCCATAGCAGAGTCCATTTGTCGCATCTCCATCTGAACCTGACGCAGCACCCTCAAACCTTCACTCACACTACAGGAAACCACAAGGTATTAGCACTCGATCTTATGTTACAAAAAAATTTATATATATATTTGCAAGACCATGGATCTGTCCCTCTCATAATAGCAGTTGTAATTTGGTAAACTTTAAAGCAAGCCTGGAGAAAATTAAATTAAAAATATGTGAAAGCTTACCTGCCTATAAAAATGCTAGACAGTGAAGAAAGACTAGTTTACCGACCACTACTTTTAGCAATAAACAGAACAGCAGGTTTAAACTGATCTCAAACTTTTTCACACCAACTTTAAAGTACATTGGGGAAAAATACAGCATAATAATAAATAATAATTATAATAATAAATCAAAATCAACACCTCCATTTTATTTTTATTTGGCAGTTAAAATTTGTTTTCAATATGTATTTTATATCCTAACAGCTTTAGCACTATAAAGGCCCATTAATTCACTTTAAATGCTTGATTACATCTTATGCTTCACAAACATCAACTTTGCAATTCAAAGCCGAATTTCTATCAATGAAAATTTATTGAAACTGTTTAAATCTGTTTAATGGTAAATATGAAAAGGGATTGTATTTACTGTGACGTCCAACATATGCTATAATACCCAAACCGTTTAGATCAGTGGTCTGTGTTAGAACCAGAGACTAGCTAGCCCAGTGTCCCTGTGTTAGAACCAGAGACTAGCCCAGTGTCCCTGTGTTAGAACCAGAGACTAGCTAGCCCAGTGTCCCTGTGTTAGAACCAGAGACTAGCTAGCCCAGTGTCCCTGTGTTAGAACCAGAGACTAGCTAGCCCAGTGTCCCTGTGTTAGAACCAGAGACTAGCTAGCCCAGTGTCCCTGTGTTAGAACCAGAGACTAGCTAGCCCAGTGTCCCTGTGTTAGAACCAGAGACTAGCTAGCCCAGTGTCCCTGTGTTAGAACCAGAGACTAGCTAGCCCAGTGTCCCTGTGTTAGAACCAGAGACTAGCTAGCCCAGTGTCCCTGTGTTAGAACCAGAGACTAGCTAGCCCAGTGTCCCTGTGTTAGAACCAGAGACTAGCTAGCCCAGTGTCCCTGTGTTAGAACCAGAGACTAGCTAGCCCAGTGTCCCTGTGTTAGAACCAGAGACTAGCTAGCCCAGTGTCCCTGTGTTAGAACCAGAGACTAGCTAGCCCAGTGTCCCTGTGTTAGAACCAGAGACTAGCTAGCCCAGTGTCCCCATGTTAGAACCAGAGACTAGCCCAGTGGCCCCGTGTTAGAAACAAACTAGAAAAGTATCCCCAGTGTTAGAATAGACATTATCAGCAACAATATGTGCACTTCAGAAGCCTGTAATATTCTGCAAACAAGACATTTAAGTTAAAAGATTCCTGATTTACATTACATTTCTGAAAAGCTCAACCTTACCTACTTGCATCCTGACCACATTCAGTCATGAAATGGAAAAGTCTATGAGCAAACATGAGTCTGTTTCCTGGCTGTTGACAATTTTCAACACCTTCCTTCAGAGCTTGAATTGCCTCGTCAAACTTTGGAGGCCGACATATGAGGGCTTGATCCACCAGTGCAAGTAAAACATTTCCATTTTCCTAAACAAGAAAAGATTTGTTACAAATATTGAAGTAAAAACATGAAAAGTAAAACTTCCTGGGAAAAAAGTGACATTCTGAGGGATGCAAAACTGGCTATTAAAATATAAAATTACTACATTTTAAAATATATAATGCATACTTGTAATATGTATACAAACCTTGCATCATGAACAGAGAAAATACTCACTATAAAATATTACAAAAAGTCTAAGTGGAATCAACATGTATGAAATTGTGACAAATCAAAAAATATTACAAGGACGAAATTTTGCTACATATGCAACACAACAAAATGTCATGGATTCAACTTGAGAAAATGAATTTGCCCAGCAAACATGAACAAATTTCATCTTGCAAACATCTGGGGGATAATATATGCTCAAACATCAAATGCCTCAAAACTTGACATAAAAGACTGTAGGGAAGATAGAACACCATGAATGTTCATGTTTTCACACTACATGGAAAACATGGAAACACCGTAAGCATAGCTCATCCTGTAACTACATTTGCATAATTACCTACTTATCAGTAATGCCACTTTCAGCTAAGTTGAAACAACCTTTCAAGAGCAACATTAAAATTAATTCGTACAAGTATATATTCTAGCTTTTGTGTTTTGCAGCAGGCACGAAAGAAAATTGGCCAAATAACCGATATGGTCCAGAAACTGACAGTTTTCCAGTCTAAGCCTGTCTGACACAATCACAAAATTATTCTGCTTGCCAGTCATTACTCAAACAAAAATCCTAACATTCAACATATAACTACTGTCAATGCAGGATGAAATGAATGAAAAAAACGTGTGAAGATTAGAAATAATAAAAGGTAAAATTGGTTATCACGTCTGGACCAATGAAAAGACATTCACACTTCCTGAATACCAGAAATACACCTGGAAATAATTTATAACAATAGAAGATGGATAATTTGTATTTAATTTTGCAGAACAAAGGAATCCAAACAGTACAACATAAGAAACAAGTGGAATGCCTGGTGGTGCATGACGACAAGGTTATGACACCATAAAAATGTTAAAAGAAATCCATTAAAAAATTTAATAAATTAAAAAGCTAAGTAGAAACTCATTGATTTGAATTAATTGGTACAGGACCACATACAAGTTTTACAATAGGATATATAAGGCATTTAAACTGAAAACTTTTTATAAATAATTTAGTTGTGCAAATGACAACTTTTACTAGCACAAACATCGATACCAAAATATAATGGAAATGGCACATTAGGTACAGTTTATTATTTACTGGAAGTTCAGAAAAAATGAGGTCGTGTAAATCAGGCGAAAGCACTAAGCCATTACAACTATACAACACTTGGAAGGGAGGAGGATAAGAATTTAGGATAGGTGCAAAAAGAATACTGGTGCCCAACCACTTGGACAATTGGGACTGGACGCTAACCTGCAAGAAGTGCAACTTGCCTTACTGCCCAGTCCAAGTTCTAGGGCATTGAGGGGGAAAAGGGGGGGAATACTGTGTAATCTGCAACTTGCAAGTTTAATAATGTGTATTTATATACACCAGTAAAAATAAATACAATTTAGATAATTAAATTTACAGTACTAGCACTGAAGGAACAATTCATTAAAATAATTTTTTTTTTAAAGAATGATACTACTTACCTTGTTGTAGTCATGGGCTTCTTTCAGAATTTCTACAGCTTTATCAGGAGCATTGTCAAACTGTGAATGAAAAAATTAATATTGGGCTAAAAGAAGTAAAATTGTTAGTTTGTTACTGGATATTTAAAAAGCTCCTGGGATATTCCAATTTTTTTTTTTAACACGGTTGAAACCTTTTAAAAAATTTTGTACTCCGATAACAAAGATCAGCAGCCATCTAAAAATTCCCCCAAGTCTCACTTTTTTTTATGGAGCAGTGTGGGCCTAGCTTATCAGACCATTTAGAGATCACCTCGGCCAACCACCCATCACTCAAGGGAATAATTGCTCTGTATTGTCACTGTTTGCAAATTACCTGCCAGAAAAGTTTGAAAGTGGTTGGTGTTCTTAATATAGTGATATACTGTAGACCGATCATGTGCACACAGTTCCACTTTTATTAATTTGTATTGAAAAATATATATTACTAAATATGAGGCATGTCAAAAATGTTTATAAAAATTCATACATTCAGCATCAATATTTTGAAACAATATTGAACTCTAGCAAATTAATTTGCAAACATTTTGACACAAAATTATAGGTATAACCCAAAACTTATTACAGAAAACATAAAAAGGAGCATAAACATTTTAGGTGTGGCTCAGCGGGACCTTGAGATGCCTGGAACATTTATGCGGGTATGTGCCAACTGGTCAGAACGTCAAAGTGTTAAAAGGCGCTACAAAATATAGTAACTACTGTAGTCTAAGTGCAATGAATAATTAATCCCCACAAAATTTGCTCTGATTTTGGCCTAAGACAGCTTAGGGAAGACATCTTTAAGGTACCTGAAGGCTGTCAAAATAACGTGCCTCGGCTTTAGAAAGGAGTCGGCAGTCTTAAAATAACTTTCCAGGGATCTTTCCAGATCTAAGGCAAAGGTCGAAGCAAATTTTGAGAGGAAAAATATCCATTTTCTATTACTTTGGAAGCATAAGCTATCAGAAAATAACACTTATTCCTAACAAAAATTGTTACATTGTGTTATAAAAATAAAATAATCCAAAATCATGTTCAAGAGTAGACTTGATTCAAGGCCCCTAAAGCTTCAATGACAAGCAAGCAATGATTCCACCCCCACTTTAAAATAATGTAAATGTGCGCACACATGGGAAGGAGAGTTTATTTAGCAAGACTATTTTAGTAAAATAGTAAACAATTATTTAGCAGCTGGCTACTGTGACGCATTTACACAACAATTAGGTGCCAAGTGCAGTCTTATTTTAATTTGACTACGTAACACAAGAACTTACTAATGTGTGAAATCTTGCTAACTTCAAAGATACATGGGAGTGAGCATTCTTATCTTCTCGCTCTTGACATTGCTGGAGGCAACGAGAAAATACTTCTGTTGCAGCAACCAGGTTGTTTCTCCGGCGCTCAACCCCAGCAGCCTGCATCCAAGCTTCTAAACTGCCTGGTACACGAGTCTGGACATCTTCAAGGATTTCCAGTGAACGGTCACTATTACCTAAGGAAATATTTGGAGTAAATAATGATGTTTGTAAATCTATTAGGCAGGTGACAGCAGATATGTTAATTTGTATGTCGACTACTCGAAGTGGCCTCACCCTATCTGAACAATATATGCAAGTGGCAAGCAGAATGCAATAAGTTACTTGATATTATTTAATCGTTACCAAATATGGCACAAACTAATAAGACTCCAACATTAATAGGGTTCAGTTAGCATCAAACACCCTGAGGTGAACCAGGAAGATATGTACATATTTCTCAACCTGTCAATGAAGAAAGACCTAGCACGTGGGCACCACCTCAGCTATTGTACAGTAAATGGTGCATTTATACCTCCCAACATTATTAACATCTGTTGAAGCAATCTGCAATAAACAATTATAGAATAAAATCTAATATGCTTCCCTAATAGGTAAACAATTGCTCATATATTATGTTAAAATCAGTGTGAAACCTAATCCTCACCTTTTTCCTCTTCAAAGGCTGCCCAAGAGAGATGAGGACGGAACCTTTCTCGAAGGTGGATGACACACGCCCGCTGGTACACTGATCGAATGTCTCCTTCCACTGCTCCCGCTTCTTCCAAATACCGAATATACTGAAAATAAATAAATCTCATGACAACTCCATGCAAGTCATAATTCACGTTCTGGTAATACCACAATACATTATCCAATTACTATTCACAAAACATTTGTATGTTCATTGCTGTTATGGATAATAAACATTCTTGCATCGGTTCTCTAGTGTTCATGTGCGAACATTTTGATACCAAATTTATTGCCTTAACCAAACAAATAACCGAGAAGACGAAATGATTGTAAACCTTTTTGTGTGCTGCTGAATGGCATTTTGTCCTACTGTAGCCAGGTGGATTAAAGCAGTTGTCTTGGAATCACTAGAATGACAAATCAAGTCTACCTCATTGCCCCAAATGAGTTCATCATTGATATTTCATGCCAGTGATTTGTGTGATCTGTTAATTATATATCTTTGAATATACTCGGTAGTTTCCAATGACATTTAATCTTATTTTATATTTTCATATACAAACCTACTAGTTAGCAACTAACCATTATTGACATTTTTTGCAACCAAAAACTTAAAAATGCTTACTACTTCAAAAAGTAGCAAAGTAATCAAGGCTTTCATATAGAAATAAAATGTTAGAAAAAATTACTCTTGGGGGTGGGGGCCACTCAACCCTCAATGTACTGTCAATTTTTTGTTGATCACTTTTGAGCCATTCATTTTGTAATGGTTTATTATGTGACATCGAGTACTAGGATCCTACGGTTATTGTAAATGATGATTTGGTCATTCCCACCAATGTCTGAATCCATGCCTGAACAACATTCCCAGACCATCACAACGGCCTTGCAAGACACTTCCTTTGAGCAGTCACAGACAACTTTTCACGCAAAAGATGCACATTACATTGTATACCTATATAAAGTATTGTTTGTTAATTATGTAGATATTAATCAAATAATTTAATATGAATACTACACTGTTTAGACAAGCATTTCTCAACCTCGGCTCTGTGGATCCCCAAGGTAACTAGGTGTTCCGTAACAAATAGTGACAATAGGCTATTTCTAATTTGTAAATGCATTTGTTATTTTTTTTTTTAAAGACAGAAATGTCTCCTTTCAGTTATCAATGAAATTAATGTTTGCTTTATCTAATGCAATACCTGGAATTACTTCAAGGGTACGCCCTGGGGAGACAATAATGCTCCTCCCTTTATGAATGGCCAATTTAGACTAATAAGTGAAACAATCATCCAAGGTGAACATACGAGTCTTCTCCCTCATTCCACAGTGTTAGCAACCCTAGCATCTGACACAGACACTATGCCCTCCCTCCCATGCACCCACTCCATTTTCAATTGCCTTTTTATCCCCTTCAACTTTCAATTAAATATTATGCAAAACATTTTCATTATTTTTTAATTCTACCAGAAGTATTGATTACAAAATTGAAAGATAAAAATAAATATTTAGCTAATATGTGCATTTTTTATTTACCAAGTAACTTACCCTCATCCAGAATTCCTCGTAAAAGGCACAGGCAATGAGGCACCTCTCAAACAACACCCTTATTCTAGCTGGATTCATATGTTTAATTTCATAATCCAAATAATTTCTCCAAGCAGTTAGTTGGCTCTTTTCCAGAGGCTTGACATGGAAGTAAGGCCTCTTGATAGCATCTTCATAACTCCATAGGGCTTTAACTTCAATCACATTAGCATCATGGATTTTCTGCCGAGCCGCAATGATGTTCTTCTGTAGGGCCTTCGTTTCTTCATCCTAAAACAAAGGCAAACAAAATGTACACCACTAATAATGGCACGTCAGTGAACTTCTCAAATATTGAAGATGGTAACATCCACATGGGTTCTTCACTGAGAAAAATCTGTATTTCTTTATTTAAATATCAGACTTATTCATAACAAAACGGAGATCGAGGCATATGCATTGTCTATGATTTACCATGATTATGGATCTCTTCAAGGCCAATCCTTTCTGTTAAGCTCACTCTACCTGCAATATAGGAAATTATCTTAACTTGAGATAGATAATTTAGCACAATTTTATGTCACTGATATATGACTCTGCATGAATGATTCATAACTATAGTAAAGACTCAACCTCCCATATTTACTTTGGGTAGGAAACTATTGCCATATCACCTTGTGATTGCCATAAGCATCAAATTATCAATCATATATACGAAGCATATTCAATACTCTGAAGGAGTAGACACTCAAGGAAGAATACAAATATGGATATTGCAATGCGTAAACAATCTTAGTACGAGTAACAAATCATACAATGCATCAATCACAACTCGAAACTTTTTGGGATCTATAAATTACACCCAGTGGAGGTATCCAATACTTCTAAGGAAAAGTTAGCTACACATCATTTCAAAGTCAGAACTATGCTACAGAAGATGTACAAATATACTGTACATTATTCTTAACCAGGAGCACATATTGATGTAAAGATATAAATAACTTTATACTTTCATTTGCTTAACCCTCAAACTGCACACTTTTTTTTAAGTCCTTTTCTAGATGCTCATAAAAAAATTATATTGCAAAATATTCATTTCTGATGTTGGAAAAATAACAAATTCTAATTATTTTAGTTTGGCATAGTGAAGGGAAGAAATGTATTCTGACATTTTAATAGATTTCTCCTTTTTATTTTTGCAAGCATCTTCCTGGCCTATAAATCGTTCTTGAAATCGTGTACAGCGTCAACGTTTCTGCACACGGGCATAAGTAGATGGATGATGCACCCGAATTGATGCTAATTTTGTTCTAACAATGCCCAGGAAGATAGCCAAGGCTTTCAAGATTGCGTTCCCAATATGGTAAGCAATTGTCACGGGTCTCTAGTGTAGGATGACAACCACATATTAAGCACAGAATATTAAAGAGGCACATTAAATCATTCACAAACGACAGGAGCACCAAGGAGTTGTCGTTTGAGAATGACAGCAGCAGTTTAAGGGTTAATGCTGGTTCCAGTACTCCAACATTGCCAATGCACAACAAAGGCACATACTGAAGTACCACACACTATCTTTTCAAGAGAACATGCACACATGTCTTAGTTCCTCATTCTTTCCCTTCTTATTCCCTGTTTATTCTATTACCTTGATTTTTAAGATGTCATACTGATGTGGGAGAACCAACTTGGATGAAACCTGCAGATAGGTTGGGTGAAGGGAAAAAATAATGAAGACAGACCAAAAGCCAAACTCAGATCTTAAGATCCAAAATACTAATTACTAATATATCTTTAAATAAAAAATGGATAACATAACTGGACAATTACGCAAGTTCTGCACTGTGTGGAGATTAGCAAAGTGAGCACTTATCATGTTGATTCACAACACTAATAATCATAATGAACAAGGTCCCAATGACCAATTTCCAAGCACTAAGTTATTTTTAGTCAACTTGAGAATAAACATAGCAGAACTCAAAACAAATTAAATTATATTTTTACAATTACAGTATATACACAAGTGGATGGACGTTAATAATTTTAAAATGGTAACCACGTTTAAATTGTTTACTCTGCAATAGCAATTTTATAGTTCTTGTCCTTTCTTACAACATGACTTCCTGCACACCACAGTGGCTCTCAGTGGTGGCAGTAGTTACATGCACTAAAATAAAATACATGAATACAAAAAAATACATAAATACACACATCAGATGGAGAATTACCTGATCAAGATCCAAAAAGTAGAGAATAAGAGCAGTTGGAGAAGACCATAATTGAAAAAGTTAGGAAAGGGAATACAGTGAACACATTGGCAACATATGGGAAGGTCTTGGCAAAGTACAAACTTGGTGGTGTAAAACTGATCAAATGACAAATTATTAAAGACTATTAAACACCCTTCTCCATGTGCTGTGCTTCCGTATGTGACTAATGAAAGAACCAAATGCAATGCATATAAGGTCATGTATTATTTATTAAATAAACACTCAAGTTTTTGTGGGGTAGGGGGGATGATTATTTACTATACCATAAATCTTTAGTTGGGTTAAAAATAAAAAAATAAAAAGTTCTAGAGCTAAGAATTTAGCAATACACCAAAAATTTAATTAAAGATAAATTTTCCCATTATAAAAAAAAATAGAGGTTTTTGAACAACCTATGCCAGCAAACTGATTCATTTTCTATCATCCCTCATAACTTGCCTAGATATTAGTCAATTTTCCCATAAACTGCCAATGCCAGAAAGCAAATTATCGTGTAAACATACCACATTTGTCCCAACATGTTCATCCCCTGGAGCCGCCTCAACACCTGGAGGAGCTTCATCTGGAGTCTCAATGTCTGACCTATTCAGTTCTACCAGCACTTCACGACGTAAACTCAAAAATTCATCTACACCAACAATTTCACTTGGCAAATGCTTCTTCACATGCTCCTGGAACCTATATAAAGAAAAAGAAAAAACTAAATCAATTTTGTTAAAAGGCCCATTGCTGATTAAATGAACAAATGTCCCATTAACATCCTGACTGGCTGAAATTCTTCCTTGGACAAAAATTCATTTTTATGAATTAAAATGTGTTCATATATTGAGTTAAATCTTGAAGCTTATTATTTCAAAACCAACCTACACATTTTAAACTTTTGCAAGCAAATTTGATATAAGGATGAGCAGAAGACTGAAAAAGGGCCAATACAATTGTACAGTATTCTGACTTGCATGTGCACATAGTAAACATTTGTGAAAAACATTGGAAGTGGAATAAATGATTGCCATTTAATTTTTGTATTATAAAGTGCAATACATTATTCCAACTCTTAGTGTTAATGACATCTGTTAATACCACCATGAGTATTTTAAATTTGTTACTATAGTTCAATTTTATATATTTCTGTGAAGATGTTGCTATATATTTACATTAATATATAAACTAAATTGATTGCAATTAAAAAAAAAAACTCAAATTTGTTCAAATTTTTACATGCATCGTACAAAATTAGAGTACTGGACAAGCGCAGTAATTCAGATTCCGTTAACCTGAAACTCACGAGTAATCCAAATGAATTCACTTTTGTTTTAATAGTTTTTTTTTTTTTTTTGGTGGGGACTCAAATGGGGATTTGGGTTCAAAGGTTATACAGAACGAGAATACCAAAATAATTTGAGTTCAAGTGCTTGACTAACTTCAAGTTACCTGATTTTGTCATCAGGTTACTGAACAACGCTCATAACACATTACATTAAATCAATGTACAAATACCATAAGATAAAGAAATATATATTATAACACGAGTCTCCAAACTATGGCCCCGCAAGAAGATTTTATCTAGCGCACCGCAACTTAAAATACAAATAATAAAATTAATAATTTCCCCTTCATTTTCCTCAACAATGCAGTCGGGCAGATGACACATCCAGTTCCTGTCCACCATGCTCCTTCCCATACAACACCAAGCCTGTGCTTCTCCCCTCATGTCATTCTACACAGTACCACTCCAGTACCAAAATATTTTCTTTCCATTACCGAAAGATTTTCTTTCCTAACATTTTTGCGCTAATGGAAACTTTGACAAATTTGTGCAAGACCATGTCTGGTAGCAGTAGCAGCAATCTACAAGGAAGCACCAAGAAGGAAGAAAGTTAGACTCTCCATTAAAGAAAGAGTGATTAAACTTCATGAAAATGAGAACAAATCAATTATTTGCAAAGCTGAACTGCAGAAAGTCCGTGGTCCACTTACTGCCTATCACCGAGTTTGTAAAATTATTCTACTTGAACATTGCCTCCCACTAAAGCAAACCCAGTGCTACTGAAGCGCTTCTGGAAAATATCTTATACGGTACACAATTACAAGTAGATGGCCGCTAATAAGGCCAAAAAGTTATTTATAATAAACTGAAATGACTTTTTGGGTCAAAGCCAAAATTTGCAATGTATGACATTACACAGCTTCTAGATACTGATTTATTCTAATTTTGCTTCTATTTTTTCATTTATATGTTAACTATATTAATGAAACAAGATACTTCAAAATATACTTGAAAACAAGTGCACTTACTTCTGCCAATGCTGCATATATTTACTGGTCGGCGTTCCTAAAATTCTTTCATATAGTAATGTCACGTTCTTCCACCTCTTGCCGGCACTCTCCCAGGCAATGTAAGATTCCCATAATTTATCTGACCTGGAAACAAGGAAATCGATAGCTGTACTTCATTTACTTTCACTTGGTAAGGAACAGCAGCCCACAAAATTATAAAACAGGTTAAAATACCCATGCTTTTTAAAAGTACAGGACTTTAAACATTTCATCTCTCAATCTGGATGGGAAAAGTATTGACACTAAAATACAAGCCTACATATTCATTGGATAAAACGAATCTTGCAAAGTAATTCTGATGGACAATGAGCCTGATGTTCATCCTGGTTGGTAAATCTCAAAAATAAAGCAGAACCATAAGAACTAAATGCACCTTACTTTGTTTACCTAAATTTCTGCACTTTAAAATCAAATTCAGGGATAAATAAAATGGCACATTATATATTTGCAAAACTTCTTAATGAAATATTTTCTTTCCAACTTTAATGAACTATGCCACAGTCTCCGTGGCATAGTGGTCAAGACGCTCGCTTGACGTTTCGTGAGCACTTTGTCCTGGGTTCATATCCTGGCCGGGGAGGATTTATTGGGCGCAAATCCTTAAACTGTAGCCTCTGTTAACTCAACAGTAAAATGGGTACTTGGTTGTCAAATGATTCTTCGCGGGGGTCGTATTCCAGGGTACATAGGATTAAGGACTTGCCCAAAACACTACGCGTACTAGTGGCTGTACAAGAATGTAAGAACTCATATATGTATATAAATAAATAATAAAATAAATAAATTAAGAATGCCAAATTTTACCTCAACAATACCTATGATTCTAAGCTAGAAGATTGCTATACCTAACGAACATGCCAAGTAAAAGCCATCAGCCTACCTACATAAGGAATAATTTAATAATGCACAACTAGATATTTTTCTATTGTAGCTGATCCAGGTGTCCCTGGATCCCATACCAGGAGTAATCCACAGTACAAAAATATGAGTATGGTGCAAGCCTACTTCCTAGCATCACTGGTGCCAATTTCTACCCGTGTTGTATAGTTCAACTTCTTAACTTTAACATTGTCCATTTTATGGGAGACAGTGTCAAAGGATTTTTTGCAAATGTAGGAAGTTGCAATCCATCCATCCTCTTCTCATACCAATCTTTGTGATTTGGCAGAAGAGGGGAAGGATGGGCTGATTGCAATTAGATAAGGCATGAATTTTCCTTCCCCCAAATCCTGTTGTCCGAGAAAGTTTAGTCACCTAAGGATATTTCACCGTTATTTCTGTATTAAATAGGAAATAAAATATCATTCAAAAACATTCTTCATCTTTAAAAACAAAAATGTACAGTATTTTTAAAGAAGAAAAATAATTACCTTAGTCTTGATTTAGAATGCAATAGGAAAAACACAGTGCAAAACTGAGAATGTACTTACAAAATGCTGCTCCTGTCAGTCTGAACTACGATTAATTGTTATTTTCGTTAATGTATTGAGGAACACGCACACTCTTCCAAGAAGCAAACATCTAGACCGTATTAACAAATTACAGTCTCACATTTTTATGGGCCATTCATCTACTAGAATACATTTAAGCCCACAAGTTAACAAATTTACTATACATGTCACAGCCCTATAATGTACAAGTCCACAAGGGCCGTGACGAGGATTCGAACCTACGTTCCGAGATCATCCCAGACGCTGCCTTAATCGACTGAGCTACAACATGGTCAAAAAGTTAAAACCAGAAGTTGTACCTAACTTACTTGGATCCTGCAGCCTCTCCGAGACACAAACCGGGGTTTTACACAACCCACAAATCTACATACCCTTGTGGATTTGCTCATTTGATACATCACGCTATTGTGATTTGTGTGTGTCCTATAATGTATTATGAAGGAATATTACTGTATACTCACTTGAATTCCAGCCCACAAGTGTCCATTGCTCGCTCAAACTCTTGACGCACGAAGGCTTCATCGTCGGGAAACTGCGTAGTAATATACTCCATGTAATGGAGCCACAAGTCAACACTCAGCCGGATCGCATCCAACCCTCGATTAAATACCTGTTGCCATCAAACAGAAAGGAGAGGTAAGTATGCATCACCAATGATTTGATGACTGACTCTCTGGCCTACTCTGCTGACACCAAAGAGAGGATCCTGTATATCCATAACCCAAAACAAAAATAAATTACACTTTGGATATCCTTAAAAATTTATAGCAAAATTTGCTGCAGTAAAAAGATTACAAGATCCCCAACCAGAGTTTATAGACACCAGGAAGTCATGCCTTCTAAATGTATCATCAATTCAACAGAGTGTCGGCATATAGTTCATCATCTGACCCAGTCCCACACGGATAGGCAAGAAGCACTCAACAGGGTTCCATTAGGCATACCAGAAGTTATACCTTCTTCATCCCATATTTTGTGTGTTTCAAAGTAAAAATGTGCATAATAATTACATGACAGGGAGGTTATCAAGAGGTGAAAGGGTTTTCCCCTCTAAACGTGTTCTGCTGATGCACCTCGAGGAACCCTGATAGTGGTGCCAGTGGGTAGTGAGGGCCGGTATATTGAGGGAGTACCTACTGTTGTTACCCTGGGGCGCTGCACCGCTACTCTGCGTGAAGACACCAAGATGACTGATTGAGAGAGGGACGCGACACCCCTGCCGCTTCGCCAGATAACGCCAAGAGTAAATTAAGTGCACAAAAAACCTCACACACACAGTGCAGCAATCCTCAACACAATGTTTGCAGCTCTGTTTTATTCCATTGTACACATGTAAAAGCAGTCACAAATATACCCAATACATATATCAATTTATAACAAACGAAAACAGTTTATGTGCAGTAAGTTATAAAACTACAACAGCAGTATTTGTATTCCAAACACATTCAAGACAAACCCTTTCTCTGTATTTTCTCTGAAATAAAATATGCACTTGGTTAATATTTATTGGTAAATAATATATATCCCAATGAACCCAAGCATGCAAACATTTTCCTCCATTACAGTTGTTTTCCATCATTTAGTTTGGATTCAGAAGGCTATAGCAATACCTACCATAAAAGTCACTGTAAGAGAAACAAGTTATAACTGTGTTCATTTTTAACATCACATCATCATCATCATCATCATCATTATTGCTGCTTCAGTTGCTAGAAGTTGGACTCACCTTGCAGGTGGTTTCTTTAGTGCCTTTGCGTCGTTCTAAGTCTGCGTATTTCTTCCAGTAGCCGTAGCAATATGGATAACGTTCAAAAAATCCATCATAGGCTTCTCTACCAGATTCCAAATCACTCTGAAAATTTCAGAAAAAGGGTTTAGCAAGCAGTGGGATACCCTTCACAGCCCAACTTTCCGAATAACATCAGTGGTGTATGAGAGGCTGGCTAACATCAGAACTGCCTTCAGAAATCTGTGAACGGAATCTTTCAAAACCTTGTATACCACATGCGTAAGACCAATCCTGGAGTAAGCAACCCCAGCACCTTGTCAAGCACAAGATGAAGCTGGAAAAAGTTCAGAGGCATGCCACTAGGCTAGTCCCAGAACTAAGAGGCACAAGTTACAATGAAAGGCTGCATGAACTGCACCTCACATCGCAGGAACACAGAAGAGCTCAAGGAGACATGATCACGACATACAAAATCTTCAGGGGGAATTGAAAGGGTAGACAAGGAGGGATTATTTAACACGGGTGGTACACGCACATGGGGACACAGGTGGAAGCCGAGAACCCAAATGAGCCACAGACATTAGAAAGAACTTTCAGTGTCAGTAGTTAATAAATGGAATGCACTGGGAAGTGATGTGGTGGTGGCTGACTCCATACATCGTTTCAAATATAGATATGATAGAGCTCGAGAAGCTCAGGAATCTGTACACCAGAAGAATGACTGTTGAGGTGGGACCAAAGAGCTGAAGCTCAAACCCCACAAGCACACCTAGGCGAGTACACTCTGGCCTGAAGCTAGGCTATGAATGTTTGCAAGCTGTAAGCCCAGTCACCACAACTCGGCTTATCCAGACTTGCAGACTTGCCATTCCCTACAAGACCTTTACCTTTATTCTTGCATAATGTATCTTATATTATAGCTGGCTGGAAAGTCTTATGTTGTCTTATAAGTCTTATAAATATCAACCTCTTATGTTGATATTTTCAAAACCATGCCAATGGCTCCAATCTTTTTCCTCAACTGTATCCAAAGGTCTCATCTTTTCCCGCAATTTAATACTTGTGAAAAATAGACCCAATAATTTAATTTTGTATGTAGAAATTAGTAAATAGTGTACCTTATTAGTAAATATTGTACCTTATCTCCATCCCAAAGAATTACTTTTGCATTTTACAAGGCAGTTCCTGGAATTTTCCCCACATTACCAGTCCTATAATACAGTAGTTTTAAAAAATAATATTTTTAGTCCAAATATACATTGCTTCAAAAGAGGAAACAAGCATAGAACAGCATTATAGACAGACTGTAGTACTATCATTGATGTAGCATACCTTGGTTAAATGGATTTTAAAAACATTTTCCAGCCTCGCCTACATTTTTACCTATCAGTGACTAGAGAGCAAAATTTGGCTCTTGTACCCTACTCTGTCTATTGGTACGTGGTGCTTTTAATTTCTTTTCATTCTGTTCAAGTTCTTCATCTAATACTGTAGCTCAAACTGCACAGGGGAAGTATTCATTTACATCAGATTAATTTGTGCTTTCTACCTTCCACTCCAAGTACTTGTATCTTATTTTCTCGCATTTCGAAAATGTTGTCTATGGCCACCTTGTCATAACCCCCCAGTTTTATGTCCATGTTTTTATCTTTTATATATCATCAGCTGCTATATATGACATAGCAGCTGAAAATACAGGCCCTTTCTTGCTTCCTTTCCCACCTCCCCAGCATCATTGCCTTACACTTGTTGGGAATTAACTATAGCAGCCATTTCTCTGACCCTTCTTGTAGCTTATTTAGGTCTTCCTGCAGTAGTCTATAAGCCTACTCACTATTTTTGCTACTATCTACTGCAAATATTTTGTGGAAAAAAGATGGTGAGGGGGAGAAAAGAGGGGGGGGCAGCTGAAGAGGGAATCAGAGGAAGGGGGAGGAGAGCAAGGGAGAAATCTATTGAGAAAAAACTAAAGAAAAATAATTGTAACACGTTATAATTTATTATTCTATACAAGTAGTAATAAACACAATCTATTTTGTCAATACATTACTGAACAGTGAAGCCCCTCTGGTCAGATGCTGAATCATGGCCTAAATCTAACACGTTTTAAATCAGCTTCAATGCTGCCAGATTCACACACGCACTTCTTAAAAAACTGGAGTCTAACATTAAATACCAAACACTTCAATCTACACCAACCATGAGCCATAACATTTATTATTATTGGTCATTTCTATTCTAACCTAACCAACTTTCCTTGAATCTTCATATAATTCCATTAATATTACATATATATATTTAACATTTTTTTACAGTATTATTTGTAAGAAAAATAAAAAGCAATTGTAATTACTTAAATTGATAGTTTTTGTTCGAAGTTTGGTCTTGGAAAAGCCACTGGGCATATTTAAAAAACAAAAAAAAAAAAAAAACATTGAATTTGGTTTTAAAGTTAGCGGTTTTCGTTCTGTAAAATATGGGCCCTTTTTTTCTTTAAAATTAGGTATCCAGGCTAAGGCATGGGAAATGTTAGATGTGGTTAAATCTCTTCAGACAGGTTCTCATGGTAGTTGTCCTTCACATGACAGATTGAATTAAAATTTCTCTTTGTGAAACCAGCCCATAGAGCTTTGAAAATATTATAGTATGAATGGTAACATGTACTCTTAATATGGCTCTAATCACTTTTTTTTAATGATTTTCACCCATGAATGCAACATTGCAAGAAACAGTTGGGGCCTTGAGAAAGCCATGGAGCGTATTTAAAACCAAATTTTATGGTTTGTTTTCCTTTTGAGAAAGCAAGCTTTTCATTCACTTAGGTATGGCCCTGCTACCTTTTGAAAATGTATTTTGAGGCTGGGAATGTGAGAAATAAACTAGATGTGGTTAATTCTTATTTTTTTTTTACAGATATGTTCACTTGTTAGATACATAGCCTATAACCTATGTTATAGGTCGAAATGAAAATTTCATCAAGTGAAATTAACCCACAGGCACGGGAAACTAGTCCTGGAGGCATCGCTGGTTTGCAACAAATCCCTCACTGCAATTAATTGGGGCTGGTTCTGTATAGTTTATTGAATTAAGGTTGCACTGAATGTAATATGATATCCACCTCTCATCCCATCCCATCTAATGCTAACTTTATTAGTACATCAATTGTGATATGAAGGATGTGGGGCAGGTGTTGGTGCACACTTCTACTCTCCTCAGGACAAAGTGAAGAGGTAACTTCCTCAACTGGTTATATGGTTTGTTAAGGATAACAGATTATGTACTATCTACTAACTATGCAAAGATAAAACTGTTGGCTGCAAATTCCCTTCACTATTTGCCTAGTTCTCAAAGAAAATTATATTTGCAACTGAATTTAATCATTTTTATTACATCTTGGTGCAACTGACTTTGAATTTTCTTCACTTCACCATGTGCAGCTACCCTGACATTTGATTGTATTTACAATGAGCAAAAGATTTAGAAGATTTTAGGTTTACCCCTCAAAACATCAACACCTTGCTAACAATGTTATCTACTTGAACAGATTACACATGTAGGAACAAGACTACTTACTCAAACCTGCCATCCAAATAACTTTACATGAACTTGTGAGAAAGAGAGAGATGTAGAAAGGATATAGCTAGCTCTCAAGAGTTTAATTTCATGCATTTGTTTTCATTAGCAAGACACTTATTCCATATACACATTAAGAAAACTTAAAGAATACTGTACTGCCCCTTGCACTTACCACTTGATCAATGTGTTGCAACAACAATGTCCATGCCTGGAAGTCATTTGGATTATCATGAACATTTCTCCATAACTTGTCTACCTCATTCGAGCGTTTCTTACTTGAAGGCTCATCTTCTGAAAGACATGTACTTGCTGGCCGCTTTAACATAGACCCTTCACCTCCATCTTCCTCCTCCTCCTCCTTTAGGCAAACCTGAAATTTAATGGCACATTTAAAAACAAAGAAACTATCATTGTTCACAATTAGTTAACAACAATATTAACCCTAGCCCACAATTTTCTGATCAACCTAAAATGTTTAAAATTTCCTTGAAGGCTATGGCAACATGGCATCTGCTCATTTATAAATTGTGAATGATAGCGGGGAAAGACAACTGCTAATTCAAAGGCAGCATTGCTAACCAAAAATAAGTGCACTAACAGACATTATAGACAATTATCACAAATTCATAGTAATGTTTCATGCTTACTTCTGCTTCATCCGAAAATGGCTCTGTTGATTCCCCATCCAATATCTCATCTTTAATCATCTCACTTAGAAGGGGAGATGAGGGCATCTCCATTTCAGTCTGGCCTTCCATTTATTTGATGTAGTATGTTACTGAAAAATAAAAAATATTCAAACAACAAGTTTATGAATATTAGGCAATTGTCTAAAATGTTCAGAATCAAAACACTGTACATCAAACTAAATTTATCTTTCATACTGTACAAACCATTGATCGGATAAATATTTAATGAGCATATAAATTTGGTATTTACATTCTTACCATTAGCACAAGTACTGTAATAATTTCAGATTCCTACAATTAGTGGTTGCAAATCTACAAAGGCCAACCAAGTGTTGCATGGTACTGCATCAAACCTTATATAGGGGTTACCACTTCTGGTTACATTGGCATGGCCTTTAGCCTTGGCAATGAGAACCCTGTAGAGAGATTTCAATGGAGCCTTGTATGGATCATCCATATGCACTTTTACACTGATGCGTAACATTTGATTTCAGCAACCGATTGCCAGGTAACTAAAAACCACAATCAATCTTCACAGTCTCTTGACAAGAACAAAGTCTTAATTTTGAGGCTTAGTGATTGGCTTCTTATATAACATGCAGCAGCTTATTTTTACAAATACTGTACAGTACTGCACAAAAATAAATTCAAATATTGCATTAATACAAAATTTAAGAAACTTACAGTGTATTAAATATTACAACAATCAATTATCGATTGCTAGAAATGCCTGCATTTCTCTGCTAAAATAAATGGACCTGTACCAATCCTGCAAGTTAGTCATGAGTTTCTGGTGTCTTGAGGGATACAACAAGGTGACACCTTGTATGATTTAGCAAAAATCATCTTACCTTTCTAGCAATTGATCATAATTTAACCAAAAACAGCCAAAAGAATGCGAGCCACGCAAGTCCCAATTTTTTTTAACTTGGGGAAAACAATAAATCCTTCACCGGATGTAGATTTTGAGCTATCAGTAAAAATGGTAAGAGAACAGGAATGTGTACCGAAATGTTCCAGGAAATGTGGCTTTAACCCTCTTGATGTGATGGGCAGAAGCACTTCCATGACGAAAATTCGTCACTAGCTACCAAAAGCAAGTTATAAGAATGTAAGAATAAAGGTAACTGCAGAGGGCCTATTGGGTCATATGAGGTAGTTCCTATTTATAACCACACAATCTTCACTAAATTGGGTGGTTATCAAATGCCTCTTAAAGAAATACAGTACTCGACTACCTTCTAGGTTAATAGAGCATGCAAACCAGCCTTATCACTCCTCTAAATATACAGTATTTATTGAAACCAAGGGAAATCCAGATACCATACATGCACCAATTACAAATTCAAGATTTTATTTTTACATTATAAATTTTAATGCAATTTTAATACAAACCTATATTCAAGTACATTTTCTATTACTGTGCTAATATCACATCAATTGAAGCACAAATAATAAAAATGATAAAAATCTCACTGCAATGGAAGGTCACAGAACTAACTGATCACAATAACCAAGACTTCACTACTGTATATATTCTGTAATCTAGTTCAACTACAGAATACAAATGTATTTTTAGTAAACATATTTTAGATACAGTATACATTTTCATTCAAGTGGTTTTACTTTTAACATAAAAATCAAACTTCTACTTTAACTGGTTGGCATTTTAGCAAATTCTAAAGTGCTTTTGTATAAAAAGGGACAAAATATTATTGTATTTATAATATCCATAAACACCACACTTAAAATTATATATAAAGTAAATTTTGTAAATATGTCAAGCTGAAGTGAACTGCACTGCACGGAATATGTTAAATAACCACATCACATGGGGGTGCACAATTCCATTTAACACTAGACATATAGGGGACGTTGGAAAGGACTAATAATTACAGTATAGCTGGGGCGAGAACCGAGCCTTGCCAGCTGTCATGTGCAGTCTGTAATTGTAGTCAAATTGTCCCACAATAGACCCTGATGTGCTACTTCCTATGACTACCAATCTACTCCACTTCTCTCCTACTCTCTTCACCCCTTCCTTCCCCCTCACCTTTTACATGCACACACAGTACTTGTGCATGTGTTCAAAAGGGCATTATAATAACTTTCAAGTGAAAGATAAGGAAGATTATCAATCCTGCTATACTGTATATAGAACAGGATACATTTACAAGTTGACAAAACAAAAATGAAATTATATGAATACAGTATTTGTCTTCAAATTTTACTGCACAAACTAGGCATAACTGACACATAGCTCGAGATACTGTACATATATTTTAAATACTACAAAGTACACTACTGTATGAGCTACTGTATGATTTATCTGAAGCCTGCTGAACAGAATATTTGGGTTATCAGGCCGCAATCGTGTCCAGATAATTTTCTGGAAAACTTTGCCATATCCGGACAGAAATCCAGATAACCAGAGATTAGGTTGTGTAAATTTACAAGACCTACACATTTCAAGATCTACAGTATCAAACAAGAATAACTACAAGATAAGCTGAAGTTTGTTTTAAATATATTTTTGATTTACAGTGTGAGGGAAATTTGAATTATGTTGGTTGTGGTTCAAAGAATTGGGAATATGGTCATTTTTAGATTTCCCCAGTAAGAATTCTGGTTATCGGGATGTCTGGCTTATCCGGCGAGGGGTTCTTCCCATATTCTCAGTACAAGTGAGTTTAGACAGTACACATTTTTTGAAGGAGAGCAATGCACCACAAGATTGTCACATGAATCCCAAATAATCATACAATTATGTATGATTAATAATTTCAAGATTATTAATACACTTGCAGGTATAGTATGTGCATTCCCCAGCAGGTGGATATTCCACCAAAACTAACACATGAGGGGAAACAAAACAGGATATCAAAGCAACATATGCAAGACTGGTTAATGTAAGGCTGCCCATCAGTCATCTTAAGGAAGGCTCCAAGATAATTTACACTACATAAGGCAAGACCAATACCAAATGGGTCATCTTACAATTTTACGTAGTTGTGGACAGGAAACTTGTTTGGCTTATGGTCCCTTCTACGTCAAATACTGGTGGCCGGCCCCAAGATACTATCCACAACAGTTGGTTAACTGCATTAGTAAACTATTTACTACTAGGTGAGCAGAGGTGTCGGGTAAAAGATGTGCCCAGCCATTTGAGTCCCGCCCAGGGATCGAACTTCTTGGTCACAAGCCAAGGAGGCAAGGATATAGACCACTGTGCCACAGTAGTCTACATCCACTGTAGACCAGGATGCAACCCTTAATGTACATCTCCAGGGATATCTATTTACTGCAAGGTGAAAAGCAGCAACAGGTGCAAGGAAACACACCCTATATGTCTATCCCAGGAAATGAACCCGGGACCTTACCTTGCGAGCCGATAACAGAGTTACCACTACACCACACAGCCCATTATAAAGTGCTCCCCAGAAAAATAAATAATTATTTTGTATTAAAACTGCAGTGCAAAATATAATAGCTTTCATATTAAAAAGGTAATATTTACTCAAGAGGCAAAATACTTTCTCTTTCACCAAACAGCATATATTGGTACTGTAACAGCTGTTTTTAAATTTCAAGATACAAATGGCAGATACTCCGACAATCTTAATCTTAGCCTGGTTTATGGGAAGTACAAACAGCCAGGATGGATCTAACAAGTTTCTTGTGGCGGGAATTCCTTTGTAAACCATCTGGTGTACCAGTGAGGTGCACGAGAGCCCTCAGCAGTGGTTCCTGGAGCAGTGGGCGCCTCTGCTCACAAACCTCACACTATTAAATAAACCACAAACACCGCTCTCACTTCACTACCCGGTTTATGCCGCCACAGATAAACCTTCACGTCTATATTATACACAATAAGCTTTAGGGGAAATTTGACTGTTATCGATGATTTTAGTATCAAATACCTTCCCAAGTGGAGCTAGGCGCCACGGCTCTCCCGGCCACACCAACACTCAGCCAATGAGGTGACCTCGGCCACACAAACACATCAACCAGCCCACCATCGCCGCCTACAATGGCTGTCTGGTCCTCCCAGGACGGGTTTTACCTCTCTCTCATCCCCGTCGGGGCCTCCACACCTCTTCCCCACCTCACAATAAAGGCGCCGAAACACTAACTATACCCACCTCGAGAAAAGGATCAGCTGGATTACCTAGGTGTGGGTTAAGACACAGCTTTTCCGTCCACCAAGCGGTTAATGCTTCTCTTCTACGAAAATGGCGTCGTCTCTGGGGCAACGAGCCTACATCACCCTATTATTATAAAACAAATTGCAAGTAGGAAAGGTAAACTCGATTGTAATATTTGAATTATCATTTAATCAAATAAATAGCATTAATTGAATTCATATAAAATGCCTATGTCCAATTGTAGTAAAATTATTGAGAAGCTTTTATCCCCTAACCTGCAGACGTAGTGTTGGTATAAAGTTCATTATTTTACGCAGTTGTGGAAATTGATGTATTTTCTCACCTGGTAACTTCGTATTATATTTTTGTATTATTATTAACAAGCTTAGGTATACAGAAATTTGCTGCTACCCTATCATATATGAAAGATTACACAGTGTAGATCAACAACTAGATATTCCCATCTCATATTTTAAAAGTGCCTCTAACTTTAAAGTTTTTCTTCATAAAATCATCAAACATGTGAATAGTATTCTGTATGGTAAAAAATAAATATAAATAGATAAATGTATATATTTAACTATACTGACTATACATGACTCTTACTTGCCCGAAACGCATTGCTTAATAGTGGCTTTAGGCATTGTATGTACTAGCTCTATCTTTATATCAATCCATTAATGTAACATCACTTGTATGTATGTACCTTACCTGAATAAACATATTTACATTTATTTATTTATTTATTTACAAAAAAAGGTTGGAAATCGTGAGACTTTCAATTACCCAACATTCCGACAGCACTCGATGGTAATTTTTTTATTTCCCTGACATATTGGCTTAAATATTCAAGCTTCTTCGCATATATATATATATATATATATATATATATATATATATATGCGAACAAGCCTGAATGGTCCCCAGGACTATATGCACTGAAAACTCACACCCCAAAAGTGACTCGAACCCATACTCCCAGGAGTAACACAACTGGTAACTACAGGACGCCTTAATCCGCTTGACCATCACGACAGGACAAAAGGAAGTGATAGCCGAAGCTATTTGAACCACTTCCCCGCCGGCACTCGGATGGTAATCTTGGGCATAGCATTTTATCAAATCACCTCATTCTTTGGGGCACACGTGAGGAACACAAATGCGAACAAGCCTGAATGCTATGCCCAAGATTACCATCCGAGTGCCGGCGGGGAAGTGGTTCAAATAGCTTCGGGTATCACTTCCTTATGTCCGGTCGTGATGGTCAAGTGGATTAAGGCGTCCTGTAGATACCAGTTGCGTTGCTCCTGGGAGTATGGGTTCGAGTCACTTCTGGGGTGTGAGTTTTCAGTCGCATATAGTCCTGGGGACCAGTCAGGCTTGTTCGCATATATATATATATATATATATATATATATATATATATATATATATATATATATATATATATATATATACAGTATATACACACTCAAATTACGGAACTATTCACTTTACCCACCATGAGAATAAGAAGAACGTGAAGATGCCAACATAGAAGACACTGCTCGACTAACAGCGCCCATTACGCTTGATTAATCTTTGTGTGTACCCTATTTAGCCTTCTGATCCTTAGCTTCTTTTCTCCTTTATGCCTTACTCTTTACCCTTATGTTGACCAGACCACACACTAGAAAGGGAAGGGACGACGACGTTTCGGTCCAGTCTTTACCCTTATGTTTACCCAATGTATTCCCATTGTTTACACCTGACCCCATTGTTCGATCCATTTGTATTCACCTGACCCACGATTCGCCATAGAACTTGAGCGTCAGAATAGTTAAGCTATAACGCAACAGGAACAAGGCTCGTAGACTCTGACAGGTAAGTATATAGCACTACCACCAACAACAGCGCAATAACGTCCGTCAACACCATCACCACCAACAACAATTAACATCTTTATCATCAGATAATCGCTTGGGCACATCCTTGGGGTCCAAACACTTTTTTTTTCTTTAGCCTAGTATTGCCCAAGCTTTCAAATATGCCACTGGCTAAACTTTCTCCGTTAACACGCCTTCCACTCATCTTTCATCCTCCTTTTATCACCACTGGTGCATTTAATTACGTTGTAAATCCTATTTGAAGTGCTTTAGAACTTAGGTTTATAATTTTTGAGACGAGTTTCATAAACTGAGTGGAGGTGTTAGTGGGTGTTGCAAGTGTGTCTGGGTGTCGACGCTAGTAGCCTCCTAGGCCCAGGATTTTCACTTTCTGTCCAGGGGAAGAAAGATACAGGCAGCATGGGGCGTTAAAGTTTATTGAAGATTAAATTCTGCAGAACATGTAAATATATAAAGTAAGAATTAACAGTAACAATTCCAAGTCCGAGGACTAGGTTTAACTTAAAAGGTACACCCGTAGTAATTATGAGACCTTAGCCTATAGTGACATGGAACTAATTCTGCAGAAACGTAAAGCATTAACTGGTACTAGAATTAAGGCCGAATGCAAATGTGAGTAATTATATAACACTAGGATATAACAGGCAGGACACAAAGAGTAACTAATAAGTGAGAGACCACATAACACATAATGTACCCGACCAACCGCGCTAACTGTGTTGACGATTGTTGTATAGCCACTGCCACGCCTAGCTAGTGCCTACCACCACCACCACCATCATTGATCAGTACCCACCACCACCACCATGATCAGTGCCCACCACCATCATCCTCAGTGCCCACCACCACCATCCTTAATGCCCACCACCACCACCATCCTTAATGCCCACCACCACCACCATCTTCAGTGCCCTGGTCAACCCGTCCTCTTAAAAATAACGTCACTTTTCGCTCGTATGCTCGCTATGGCCAAATTTGGACGTAATTTGAAATGAAATCGATGACCCAGAAAAATCTGCTATCAGAACAATAACAAACTCTGCTTTCAGAAAACACTCCGTCCCCCCTGTTTAAATCCCTAAAAATCCTCAAATTGTGCTATAATGAGCCAGTTGATAACCCTCCATTCTCACCCTAATGTACCTACTAATCTTTGTCATTATTGTGTATTAATCTAATCTTTGTGTATTGTGTCAAATTTTCTTACAATGTACCTGCAAATTTTTTTTGTCAATTTGCTGGAAATTGCCTATTTAAAATTACCTACTTAAAATTATCTGCTAGATTAAGGACCTGCCCGAAACGCTATGCATGCTAGTGGCTTTACAAGAATGTAAAATCATCATTGCTACTGTACTCTCTTAACCCCCAATGTACCTTCTTGTATATAAATAAATAAATAAATAAAGAAATAAAGAAATAAATGAATAACAAATAATAATGTGGCCGACATTGGTGTCGCCATTTTGATTCCAATTGTTGACCTTAATGTACTTACCTAGTTGTGCTTGTGGGGGTTGAACTCCGGCTCTTTGGTCCCGCCTCTCAACTGTCAATCAACTAATGTACAGGTTCCTGAGCCTACTAGGCTCTATCATATCTACACTTGAAACTGTGTATAGAGTCAGCCTCCTCCACATCACTGCCTAATGCATTCCATTTGTCTACTACTCTGACACTGAAAAATACTTTCTAACGTCTCTATGGCTCATTTGGGCACTCAGTTTCCACCTGTGTCCCCTTGTTCGTGTGCCCCTTGTGTTAAATAGTCTGTCTTTATCTACATTTATCTACATGTCTTTTAATGTGTGTGTACTCACCTAATTGTGCTTGCGGGGGTTGAGCTTTGGCTCTTTGGGCCTCTCCACTGAGTGTGTGTGTGTGTGTGTGTGTGTGTGTGTGTGTGTGTGTGTGTGTGTGTGTGTGTGTGTGTGTGTGTGTGTGTGTGTGTGTGTGTGTGTGTGTGTGTGTGTGTGTGTGCGCGCGTGTGTGCGCGCGCGCGACCAGAAAGGTAACGATAGGACATCCTTTCCAAAACAGTAATGTGTAATTATAGTTATGAAGTCGTTGAGGCTCAAATTGTCGAGTCCCTGTTGTCAACTGACTCAAACGTGATAATGACACAATTTGACCTTTGGCACCTTAAATGACACTCAAAAGACAAACTTAATTCTCGTAAAGAATTAAATAATTCCTACCGCGAAGCCTGAAATGATTACTATCCATCCCTTTCTTAAATAAAACAAAATATCATTGAAGCTATCATAACATTTGTTTGTTTTTCCATTTAGCTAAAATTATTTGAATGTCAGTCATAAAACTGGAATATTTTTAGAAAATCCCTCTGGGGATTATTTTATTTTTGAAAGCTATAGTGTTAGGTAGAAACTGTCCATTGTTATCAGAGAATTATCTTGCGCGAGCGGAGATGATTACTCTCTTAACTATGGTCTGATTGGTCTCTCCTACATGCTGCTGAATTCCAGGTATAACACACACACACACACACACACACACACACACACACACACACACACACACACACACACACACACACACACACACACACACACACACACACACACACGTCAATTGAAGAGAGGAAGGCGGAACCCAGGAGGGAGGGAACTATCAAGGGAAAGCGCCAAGCCATCACCACTATATAGGTCTGGGAAGGAAAGGGGTCAGGATAAGGATTTGGGGGGGGGTGGGAGGGAAATGGTGCCCAACCAGCTCTACCCCGCAAGCACAACCAGGTGTGTAAAATCTCAGATACTGTGAAAACAGATCGACTGATGTATACAAAACTGAACAGAAAAGCAAGTTATTATTACTGATATAGAACTCGAGCCTCAAACTCAATTAGCTATGAATTCTAAAGTCTAATCAGCGAATGCAAGAGTTATTAGATTAGAATAGCACTATTAAAACATTTAAACTATTGAAGCATTTAATGGTGAGGATGGTGGTAGTGGTGGTGTAGGACTGGTGGAGGTGATGGTGTAGGACTGGTGGAGGTGATGGTGTAGGAC